GAATGGGATAGGCGATCTCTGTTACCAAGCACCTCAGATTCTTACAGTCTCATTTCTTTCCCAAGTGCTATACCAATCCAACGAATAGTATGGATAAAGAGAACATTGTAAAAACATTTAAGGAATAATGGAACTTAATCCCTCAAGAAGATTACTCTGTATTTTCAGACAGATCTGAATAATACAACGAACACAATCATTATGTGAGGTATGGCTTTGCAATCTATTATAATAAGCAATAGATCGATAGTGGCTATGGCTATGTATACGAACAATCATATGTTTTTGATACTAAAGCAATTAGTATATAGCGGGAACTAAAATGCCTTCTGAGTATTATTGATTGTTTCTATCAGGAACAAATATGATTATATATTAATAGCATCTCAATAATCTAGGAAATACAAAAAAATACTACTATCTCCTCTCAATAGATATATTATAAGTGCTATTAAGTAATATAATATTATAATATTATAATCAAGTAATCCCCTGGGCATATTGAGATTGAGGGCAACGAGGCAGCCAATCGCCTCACTAATCAGGGTATAGTTGGACTGCTTGACTTTGGCTTATCTTGTCTTCTTACAGTCAGTAGCTTCTATTCTATTCTATGTACCAAATATCAGTGTTTTAAGAGTAGATAATAAAAAGAAAAAAGGAATCTGATCTCCGAAATATATAATATATAGAAACCAATATATAATATCTTGAAGTCAGAAAGTCTCAAACTCCTTTATAGGGTATTATACAGACTTATAACAATATGAATCGGATATGGTGATTTTGCAGCCTATTATATCAGATTTAATTACAAAAATAGTATGAATACCTGTATATATGGAATTGAGAAAAGCCCATTGTATTTCTTTCAATGTTCAATCAATAATCAGATGTACAGCGATTGATTACTTGTATTAAATCGACTTCGATCCGAATGGAATGTGATAGTATATATCAACCACATCCTGTAAATATAATATAACTTTATTAACCTTTTTATTAAATCCAGATTCTATATTAGGATATACTCAAACTATGTGGAACTATACGAATTCCAATCTGCTTTAATATTCTGAGGATAAGCTTTTCATCTCAATCAATCTAAAACCCGTACCGAATAGTCATAAGTGCTTTGAGCACTCTTCCAATCGACAGTGATCGATCTGATTATTTGCCGACATTTGGATGGTATACGAAATAAGACCCTCTAAAACAGAACCACAAATCCTTAGATAAAATAGTTACAGGATTGTTATAAGCAGTATTGAATAGGGGAATATTAAAGGCAATAAGTTTCTATTTAACTAACATTATATTACTATAAGCAGCTGGAATACTAGCGGCCTGTAGGCCTACTCTTTAGTATATCTAGAATACCTCTTGGGAGGTCAGATATTAGATGTTAATCACTATAAATAAATAAATAAATACTCAGTTTATACATAATCGGCTTTAGCCGGGTTCTTATAAATAACTACAAGCTGATCAATCAATTACTATCCTATCAAACAAGGAACTTAAATATACAGCGAAAACATATATTCTTATACCTCTCCTTCCATCTGATCTACTATATAAAATTACCATTGTACTTTTGAGATAAACGAATTTTTATAAAATTCGAGTTATTCAATAATTAATAACTACCAGAGACTTGTTTTTGGTTTTATACCATCTTTAAATTTGGATAAAAGATTGATAAGCTTCAAAATATACGAATACTCTATTATAATAATAAATAAATAAAAATAAGATATTTAATAAATTTGTAGATTGCTCGATAAAACGATCAGGTTTGAAAAAAGTCTGCTATCAATATTCAAAAAGGATCATTGTAAAGATTGACTTTACAAACAGAGGTTTTTCTTATTCTTCCTTTTTCTAATAATAGAAAATATCCTTTTAATAAAATCAACTAGAATATTAAAAGTCCGGACTCCACGATTTATAAAGAAATCTATATGATATTGCTATTGATATCTTGAAGATTAAAATAAATAAGTAATATTAAGATTATACTATAGCAATTCATCTTTGAGTTTTATAATTTCATTTTATAAATCCTCAAAGTCTTTAAGAATCAGTACTTATTCTTCCTATAACAGGAGAATATGTATCAATATATTATTCTCGAGAATTAATACCTTGATTGAGGAATTGTTTCTAGACTGTTTATCCTTTTTATATCTACCAGTATTTATATTAGAATTATAAGAACTATAATCATTACTCCATTGAGATTAATTGTTGTCGGCTGGGGACACTCGACTGATAAGAGGGGAAAAGCGATAGAGTCCCTTTGAGATAAATAGATCGGATATGATAGTGATACTTGTAATTCTATATATTAAGGGTTTATTATCTTTCATCAAATAGATTTACTCGAAATCAGCCTTTTTCCTATAAATGATATCGAATGTCCTCGATATATCCAAAAAGATATTATAATTATAAGTGTCACGGTGTGAGCTCACGTGATATGCTGGTCCTATCGGAGAGGACCGAAAGGAGCGCTCGCACCGGAGCGCAAGCGAGCTAGGGCCCGATCGGGCTAGCTCGCTGTAAGAATTCCGTATATCTTCAACTCAGAAGATCCTGTATTGTAGCTCTTTGAGCTACGTCTTAATCCTCAATCTGAACCTATTACCCGAATCAGTATAGCCTTGCCAGATTAGGGCAAAGTTATTAGAACCCTATCCAGCCCGCCTGCCCCGTGGTAATAAGATATTATTTAATCGGCTATTAGATGGCCATACAATTGTATAATAAATTATAGATAATATAACACTTTACTTTAAAAAAACTGTGAGAGCAGAATATAATTTATCCTTAGAATCTATAACTATAGAATTGGGAGCAAAGCGCTCATAAAGCGCTCCTATATACTAGCTATGTACATATGATCGTGCATGTGCGCAAGCGCGCATATGAGCGATCGCAGCTGCGATTGAGTGCGATCCGTGACATTTTCCTATTAATCTAGCTTTCCACTTTCGTTTATTTCTCGTAGATCTCTTCCTAATCCGGCCATTCCATCAAATAAAGCTTTTCTTTCTTATTCCTTATTCGATTTCGCTAGTATTATGTCGATCTTACTACGAATGGATTGAAAGAACTAATAAAGAGCTAATAAAGAATTGATTTTCAGGCCGTTCTAGGCTAAGAGCTCTCTTAAGCGACGATCATGTGATTTGATCATGTGATCTTGTGATTCGCTCTTAGTATACTATATGAATATAGAACTATATATATATATAAAAAGATATATTATTATATTATTTTTTATATAAAAACAATACTAAGGATAAATTGTACCCTGCTCTTACAGTTCTTCTAAGGCAAAGTGTTACAGAATTCAGATCAAACCAATCCCCATTAACTTACTTGAAGCTATTTCCTTAGAAAATAGGCTCGAAAATCAAACTATCAAATAGAATTAATTGAAATACTATTAATACATTCTTGTCACGGGGTGACACTAAGCCCTTTCTGTCCTATCCTGTCCTGCTATATATATAAGAGTAAGATAGAATTTCCAATTCTATCTCCTAGTCTTTTAAACATTTAGTTTAACAATAAAGCTTCTGAATATTCCCAGAAGTGATCCCATGACATTAAATAGAACTACTCTTGGTTATAAGTGGAACTATATAGAGGGCTCACTTATAGTTTACAAGTCTTTATTGGTTTGAAGGCTAGCATATATAGATCCTATCTGCCTATCTGAATACCTGAAGTATTAGAATCCAGAATCCTGAATCCTGAAACCTCCTAGTAGATAATGGTATGGAGACTATACTTTAAGGAGGGGGGTGATGTCATAGAATAACACTAAGCCCTTTCTGTTCTATCCTGTCCTGCTATATATATGAGAGTAAGGTAGAACTTTTAGTTCTACCTTCTAGTCTTTTGGACATTTAGCTCAGCGGTAAAGCTTCTGAATACTCCCAGAAGTGATCCCGTGACAATTCTTTTAATTTAAATTAGATTATAGATATATTAAATCCTATTTATATTGCTTCAAACTTTTTAATAATAAATATATATATATAATAATATCAAGATATTACAATACCTCCTTATTAATTATCCCATATATTAAACTAAAAGAAAAAAAATCTTAAGGAGATACCTTTATTTAAAATCATTATATAATTCCTATTTCATATTAAAATTGATATCGAGTTAGTTATTAAATTTATTAACATTACTAAAATAGCTATAAGAGTATAATATCTGACTAAAGCTCTAATACAAAATGAAATAGGAGAAAGAGAGATAATAGAAAAAGAAAAAGATGCAATAATAAAAAGAAAAAGAGTTATTATAGAAATAAAAGGAATAGTAATTAAAGAAAAAGAAGAAGAAGGGAAAAGTTTCTTTCTAATTTCTTAAATGTTATACTTCCCTTTCCTTATTATATATAATGTATATAATAAGCGGGTATTGATTCTTAATATTTGTTTTCATTTTCCTAAATCAAATATATCCATCTTTGTAGAATAAAAAGTTATCTGCTAGAGTCTTTAGAGGCCTAGCTGTCCTATAGTCTTAGACTGAACGTGGACGTAAATGAAATCAATCAATCAATCAATTTATTTAATTGTTGAGGAAAGAAAGTCTTCAATGCAGCTTGGAGATCATGTGACATTGGTACTGTTATTCAACCTAGCGCTTAGGTTATGGTGGAGACTGCGCTTATTTTTTCTTCCTCAGAGATCCCGAAAAATTTCATTGTATAAATTGAGTAAAAGTCTTTGCAATATTTCATTTATTCTTTCTATTAACCCTACTTTTTTTTCTCAAGCTTTTTCTTAAATTTTTGGAATATTTCACATCTGTAAGGTGTCGAACAACCAACATTCTTCGGAACGGCTTCACATCGCTTCCATCCTTCGACTTCCTATTTATAGGATATCGATACTAGCACAAACATGTCATAAACACACAACAACCCTCCTCTCACCTCCCCCCTTCCTAATTTGACACAATCAAAGATGGACAAAATAATTGATACACGATTCGATCGAGTTGAAAAGGCTCTTGTCAATCTGATAGCTTCAATCTCCAAGTATAGTCCTGTACCTGCTTTAGCCCAAGACCTTGTTCTTGCGGATCGAGAGCTTAATGATGGATTATCACTTTGTGCGTCAAGTCTCCCATACCTATTCCGCCCTTCTATCACGTCCCATTTGATTCTATTTATTAACAATCTCTTCACAGTAAACCAGCATCAGCAGAATACCCATACTCTTGATACTCTCCATGCAACCTCTGCAGCCCTCGATACGAAAATTCGCGACTTTCTTATCCTTCTCACCAGCACACGAAGTGAACTTCTCGGCACTCCATCCTCTGAGTATCCAGAGAACAAGAATCCAGTAGAGTATGAAGAACTTCTTAGCTATGCGCGAAGAATCTCTAAATACACAGCTCCGCCGGAGACTCGATCTTCTAAACCTGAAGCATCATCACCGAAGCAAGAAGAAATTGCGACAAATGGAAGCACTACACCCAGTGTTACTGTGACTGGTAATGGAGCGAATGGAAACGCTATGGATACAGATATCCCTTCAGTGACTCCTAACGGATCCAATCCGCCCGCTGCAAGTCAAGACCAAGCATCACAACAGCCTTCTCAGTCGCAAACGGCTCTTGATGCAGAGATTGTACAGGCTCTTAACACGAAACTCGATGATCGTCCATTCCAGCCATGGGCTCGTGAAGAGGATATCAGAGGGGGTGCATTAGCAAATATCCAAGCATTGCTTGACAGTGGGATCGATCCTGAAGGATGGGATCCCGAGCTTGAAGAACAAAAGAAGAGAGAGAAAGCTGAAGAGTTAGAGAGGGAGAAAGAGGCACAAAGAGTGAAAGAAGAGGAGAAACACAGAGCGGATATGGAGAGAAGGAACAACGCTATGGGTGCTGGTGCAGGCGCAGGCGTCGGTGCCGAGAGACCAAAGGTATTCCAACTTGATGAGTTTGATGACGACGATGATTGAGGGATATCGTAAGCTTTGGTAGGTTCGGTGCTCTTTTTCTTTGCACATTTTGATACGAAACTATATGATGATGGTAAAAAAATCGATTAGTCTTGAAGACAAAATACATGGTTACAAATATTACGCATGCGAGCCTCTCTGATTGTTCAGCTACATTTTATGTCAATTATCCGTACTTCAGTTGAATGCAGCTAACAATCTTCTCTTAGAACATGGCGACAGCCCATCAGTTGTGTCATTGTCGCTTGTTGAAACATGTCGATGATATTTCCAAAATCTCGACCATCCATATTGTTTCACATCATTTTGATAAGATCTTTGAATCGGCCTGCGTATTTCAGTGCGGGGAAGAACATTGGTACAAGCATCACCATAGGCTGTCTTTATCGCGATATGCAAAGACCAGACCGTTTTCCAGATACAGTACGTTCCCCTCAAACTTTATTTTGACTTTCCACCCCGCAATGATTAGACACGAGTTTCATGCACCACTCATATAGCCTTCGGGTCGTTGATGAGGAACAAACCACTTTTGAGAATGAGCAATGGAATACAGCACTTCTTTTGACATGATTTGAATTCCTGAAAGGACTTCCGCTAATCATTATTATAGATATTTGTCAACATTTGATTATGAGTTGGTGGATGGTTGTTGCTCTCTGTCGAATCTCTGGAAACAAGTCTTTTTGCCTAAGATATTCAATTCTACTATGATTTTGCTTTCTACGTAACGTGTGATAGTTACAGAAAGTGTATGTTCCATGGTGGTGGCATCTTCATATTCATTCCCTCAGGTTCACCCGGGGGTTGCATAATAGCAACAATAATGATAATGATAATTGAAAATTTGAGTGGAATAACATTTGATTAGAAAGATAACCCTGCGTCTAAGCTATACTAGTGATCCTTATCCTAATTAACATATGTAATGGCCAAAAACCATCCAGTCGATGTTCCCAGCATATTGTTCCTCAGACCATTTGCAAGCTCTTGTTTACAGAAAATCGTTTGGATCAGCCATGCATGCTATCATATTTGTGCACACTTTTGGTTGTCCCATTTAGACCTATTGAACACCGTACGCCCACGCCACGCTCCAATGAAGATGATCAACTAATAAAAGTTCACAAAAGTCTATTCTTCCATCCATCCATCCATCCGTACCCTACCCTACCCTAGGCGCAAGAAGAGCTATCCATCCATTCTTTGGTACAGTCAATTCCCGGGTGATATTTCTCTTGTCTTCTTTCTCTCCATTCGCATATTGAAAGACCTCGTTCCTTGATGTCAGTGGACAATCATGACCTTTCATTAACAGTCCACCTTCTCTTTGGCGCATGTCCAGGATCTAGAGCTGGGCCCGAACTTGCTTGTAGTCTTGGTGAACCCCATAATCCCAAGGGAGCAACTTCATCTTCCTCTACTGCACTTATTTCTATCTCTTGGTTCTTCGCCACGGTTGCTTTATTATCTTCTTCAACGGCCGAAGTCGATGTCGATGAGACTTGTGTTTTCGCGTTTGTTCCATCATCTCCAAAATTCAATATCATGCCATCACCATCCGTGTCATCATTTTCATCGACGGATTCCCTAAGCGGAGGAGTGGCGCTCCAAAGCCCAATGGATGATTGCCTGGCCGGTGTAAACGTGCGAGGCTGAGAACTCGCTATGCTTGCTGTTCTTCTGATACTGCCCAGACTAGAGTTCATAGTCGTGGAACGATTTGGATCTGCAGGCTGACGTTCACGGAATGTAGACAGATTTGCGATAGAAGGATTGCGGGAAGAGACAGTACTATTCGGAGTAGATCGAAGGTGCTCTGTATTTGCTAACAGTTTTATATCATATTCGTTTGCAATTAATGAATTCTTCGAATTTGTACGAGAATGTGCCTTAGATGTTGCACCGGGGGAGGAAACGGGGATCTCTTCGGGTGTAGGTTTCCGGACGGCCATAGTTAACGATGCCATTCCGACGTCCATTAAAAGGGGTTGGTTAGTCAAGGCACCAATGAGTGCATTGCATCCGGCGCCATGAGTGACCAGGATAAGGACCAAATCCGTATCTTCATCTTCATGATCTTCGTCAATGGAAAAGTGCTTTCCAAGCTCTGGACTAGAAGGAGTCTTGGTTGCCATTCTATCAAAATTCTCACTGGTATTATACCAATCTAACATGCTGTGGAGGCCTTTGCGGAATCTTTTATGCATCGAGGGCCATTCTTCACCGTATTCACCACCATTTCCCCAACCCAAAGGCTCGCGCATACTGTCCCATTGATAATCAACAGCAACACATGCATCTCTAGCGTGCGTAGCATATCCAGGTGGTATAGGATCAGATGTAGAAATTGCATAACTTGGAACAGGTGGTTGATAAATGCCGTGTTCAGAAGTGGGCAGATGACCATCGGCCTTCAAGCCTTGACGACTTCCATCACTTCCCACACTACTCAAACTGCTCGTTCGATCTCTTCTGGGTAGCGCATGGCTCAAACTCGACACTGATGGGAAATCTTTTTTCTCGGCTGTAATAGGACTTCCCCACCCACCCGGAAATGGTTGGAAGGATGAACTTTGGGCGGAGAAGTCTCGCACATGTATCAAGCTATTGTGATCCTCTCTTCGTAACAGATCGGCTTTAGCACCGGCTACCATCATAATAGAGCTTGGGGGCGGAGTGATATGTTCAAAGTAATCCGGAGCCAGCCATTCTCCGAGAAATGCATCAACTCGTACTATCGATTTTTTTATGTTTTCAGTTTGCCCGATAATCTTGTTACTCGAACTCGACACAATAGTCGTAGTCTCCAGGAGTGGGGCTAGTCTAGGCGAGTCTGTCGATGTAGTCGGGCGGACTCTGGGTGACGAGTGCATCTGCGAACTTTTGTGCTGGGAATGTGTGGAAGGGGATCGCTGAGAGTGATGTGTATGACCCGGGTTTTGTGCGAGGCCAGAACTTATGGCAACTGATGTCTGGACGCAGCGCAAAAATGGCGAGGTATGTATAATAACTTTGTGCCTTCTCTTCCTATTTTTACCTCCATTTTGAACATCTCGACCAACAAACTCATCGTCCGTCTCACGAGTTCGTAGGATGTTAGCTATACGGGCACCGAGAGCTCTTGATTGCGACCATCCACCATATGTAAGAGGCGGATCGTATGGAGTCGGAGTTGTGAGGTACCATTGATTATCTGCTTGATCGAGGCGAGCACCATGTCTATGTGAAGGGTTAGATATTACTGCCAGCAAAAGAGTCCTTTATGAGGATATATGTGAAACGGTAATGTTAAACATTTGTTTACACGACAAGAAAAAGAACCCCCAATTTGGTGATGATGCAATTTGAACCGTTAGAGATCTCTTACCTGACAACAATGATAACAGCCGGAGGCCTACCCATTGTTATTTGCTGAGAAATCTTCGATAGCAGAGCATACAGTTAATGGTAAAGATGGCTCGTTGAAATGATTGTCAGAGGATTTAAAATGAACCGTCGATGTACAGCAAATACTTGGTGCAGAATTATCTTGCAAATAACTCAAGTGTCTGAGAATTGTTTGAAACGCGGGTCGCGCGGGGCTGGGCATGTCAGAGCATGTGATAGCTTCAAGCCTTTAATGAAAGGCAGAAAGTAATTTAAGGCATCAATTATCAGGAACGTAATTGCAAACGTGCTGACGCGCCCAAGGGAAGCTCTGACGATTGGTAAGCTCTTGCTGCGCCTGTGCCAACTGACTTCGAAGAAATCAGTGTTAGAAGATCACATTAATTGTACAAACCGTTTGACAAGTTTGACAAGTAGCCAAAGTACAAAAGGAATTTCTGGAAAGGCAACCCATTTCGATATCGAAATATATTCCATCATGAGGTTATCCAGCTTCATCCACCTTCCCCTGGTGTTTGCGCCTCTATTCGCACCTTTACTTGCAACTGCAGAACATACAAGCAATTGGGCAGTCCTCGTATCAACTTCGCGATTTTGGTTTAATTATCGACATTTAGCGAATGTCCTCTCTCTCTATCGTACAGTCAAACGACTAGGAATTCCAGATTCTCAAATCATTCTTATGTTACCCGACGATATGGCATGCAATCCTCGAAATGCCTTCCCTGGCACAGTCTACAGTAACGCCGATCGCGCGGTGGACTTATACGGAGACAATATCGAGGTGGATTACAGAGGATACGAGGTTACAGTAGAGAACTTTATTCGACTGCTGACAGATAGAGTTGGTGAAGAGATGCCGAGAAGTAAGAGGCTTTTGACGGACGATCGAAGCAATATCTTGGTTTATATGACCGGTCATGGTGGTAACGAGTTCTTGAAATTTCAAGACGCAGAGGAAATTAGCGCATTTGATTTGGCAGATGCATTTGAGCAGATGTGGGAGAAAAAGAGGTTTGTTTGACTGCGACCTCAGAGTAAAGCATATACTAATTATAATTCCATAGGTACCATGAATTACTCTTCATGATCGATACTTGCCAAGCGAATACCATGTACAGCAAATTCTACTCTCCCAATATCATTGCGACGGGCTCTTCGGAAATTGATCAATCATCATACTCTCATCATGCTGATAATGATGTTGGGGTTGCAGTCATTGATCGATATACATATTACAATCTAGACTTTCTTGAAACTCAAGTTCGAGAACCTGGAAGTAAGAAGACGTTGGGCGATTTGTTTGATAGTTATGATGAATCTAAAATTCATTCGCATCCAGGTGTTAGATGGGATCTATTCCCAGGTGGAGAGCAAGGAGGTAGAGAAAGATTACTGATGGATTTCTTCGGAAATGTGCAAAATGTGGAAGTTGACAAGATTGCAAACGATACGGAATGGAAAGAGGACCTACTTTCACTAGGTAAGAAGATTGCTGAGCTGCGTGAACGAACTGAAGCAGCGGAAAAGAATGCCACGTCCTCTGCTCCACTTTCAGGAAATCATCCGACTCGCAAAATACGTGCTGCGAAGGTTGAAGTAGATAACTCTTGGTGGGCCAAGAAAGCTGTGGGCGCGTGGGCTTTAGCAGGATGTTCACTTGTTTGGCTTGCAGGAACATACTTAGAGTCGGCATAGGTTCTTGTATTTTATGCCCCATGTTATATGCCACCTGCTTTTCTATCGGCGGCTTCTATGACTGGTTATTCTAAAAATCCGAATTTCTCAAAATAATTTACGCCAAAACTGCCTCGACTGCAGCATAATTTGTCCCGGCACCATGATGAATTTTTCGGAGCTTTAATCTCGATAGAGTGAGCAAGTTTACCCACTGCTTTTTCGTTCTCTCACGTCCGCTCAGCGTCATCATCGTCAAATCCATCCAACCAGCTTCGACATCGGCGGCAATTGGTGGAAGAACGATCTCCGAGATTACCAGTCTTGAAATCTCGGGTGTCATTGCATCGGCAATGACTTTTAGGATGCGAACACAATCAACATCTGGCCAGTCATGCAGGCATCGACGGATGTAATATATTGGAGCTCCTGGTCATCGTTAATCATTACACATGCAAGGCACAGGTTTCGCAAGGAGAGAAGGAATTGGCAATACCTTTTATAGGTTGAGGTGTGAAGAAATCATACTTCATGGTCGTAACTTCGGGAATTGTATGACCAATTGCATCGATCAACTCATCTCGTTCTTGTAGTACCACTTTTCCTGGAATTCCTTTTACGAACTTCATGATTTGCTTCGTCACGTGTCCACTGCCGCCACCTATATCGACGACTAGCACAGTCTCATCGTTGGATTCAATCTCTTTCAATTCATCTTTGAATGGAAATATTCCAACCGTCCAATTGGTGGCTACGGTCTGGGCGATCATGGCCAAATTCAGGTTTTGGAATCGCTCTGGGAACGCGCCAATATGCTCCCACATATTTCTCTCCCCAGTTTGGTGCGCGAAGCAATATGGATTTAGGAGGTGATCTTCTGGACTTTTGAAGCCATTTTCGCGGAAAAACTCGTACATTCGAGCGTTGGCGAGGTTGTATTCATCAAACCTATTGATTTGCGTTAGAATAAAGTAATGGTGATTTGTGAAGCATTTTGGAAGGGCGTGGGATGTGCTATGGTGGAAGGATTTCCTGACATTAATTTGAATATTCCCCTGAGCTCTGGGGCCATATACACCATGGAGTATGGTGTATGAGCATATTCCTCTTCCCCTGTCTCCGCAAATGTTCCAACGGCCGTAAGGACTCGCATGAATCGAACTGGTACGAATTCAGTTCAAAGGCATATTGAAGGTGGAGCATAAACACTTACCCAGCAGTTCTTTCTCTACGCCGAGTTTCTCCGCTAATGCTGTAGCACTAGATGATGAACCATCGGTGGGTAAAGCATCAAATACACCCATTTCCAAGACTGCTCTCAAAGTTCCTGAATGTACTGACTATTCATGTGTGACGAATCTCAAGTCAGCTTGCATATTTCCCCTGCTCTACCCACATGTGTCATCACTCAATAGCAAAGATTCATCGTGATTGATGTTCCTCGTGAAAACCAGGCCTGTATTGCCAAACACTAGTAGACTCACGTTTTCAAAATTGGAAAATACCATATCCACCGGACCCCTTGCTTTCCTCACCAGCCTATCCGTTTCCATGAAAAGCTCTACATGCTTTTGGCTGATCTCTCCTTTGGATTGAATATCCTTTTTGGCGAGATTTCGAGTGGCTACTGATTCATAGGTATCAATTGCTTCACTGACTTTACTCAATTGCTCTCTCATACTTGCAATCTCTTGCGCCAATGATTCTGGGGATTTCTCCATGATAACGACGATTGGCTGGCTTGATTTGTAGAGTGCTCCGTGCAAGTGATCTATGTAAGTCGTATCGGAGATTTAAGTTGCATGAATCGACCGGAACGGTAATCAGTGAGCAAAGGCTATGGAGTGGGTATTGGTTTCGAATGATATGGTAAGACAAATGCCAAATGCCAAATGCAGGATGCAGGATGCAAAAACTTGCGATGTGAAGAGTAGGGTAAATAGTGAATGTAATGGTATGGTGTCACGAGCTACTCACCAGAGCGGGCAGTGAATACCTAGGAAATCCACCCGCGCAAAATTGCCCGCACCTACACGCACACACAACCACACACACATGGATATTCCGGCATCAGAACGTGGCATTACCTTGGTCCCTATGCATACATATCACAACTTCATGAATGCATTCGATCCATCATCCGTGAGTGACAAATGAAGGCGAGGTGAGTGGTTGGAACCACTTGGACTAAGGCTCAAAGTAGATGTGATCCGATAACACACTGACCATACATATCTCATACAGCAAATTATAGATCCACTTGTCGTTGGTGTGGACGGGAAATAATTGTCAAGAGGAAGAGGAGGGGGAGGGTCTTGGAGTCTGAGTCTTGAGTCTTGAGTCTTGACGCTCGAGAGGGTTCAATGATCAATCATCAATGGTTTCTTCACAATACCTTCATTTTCACAATACGGAGAGGTGGACGGAAAGATTATAACTAGAGATCCGAGGAAACATTCAATTGGTCAATTCCGAGGATAATTGAGGGGTTTTATTTCATACTCACTTGATAATCGATATGTTATACGATCTGTATCATATTTTATCATAAAAGTATCATATTCTTTGACATGTGTACCTACGTTATCACTGAGGTCCATGATACAAATTGTATGTACCATGCTCGAGCCATGTAATTATATTGCCTAGACATATAGTACGATACCTATATACACACCGCCGTTCGTAAGAAGAAAACAAGAGAGAAAGGAGATGCTTAGGTCTTACAATGATTATATATATCATACTGTGAGTGGGGTGAGTGAGTGAGAGTATTATCACCTAAATTCTCAGTCTCCCTAGGTACGTACTCTAGGTATACTACACATATATATAAACATATACATGAACACAAAAACACCTAAACACATAAACACATATATACATATATATACATATAAAAATATACATATATAGGTACATATAAACATATATACATATATACCTACATACACACATACACACATCCACACATCCACACATCCACACATCCACACATCCACACATCCACACATCCACACATCCACACATCCACACAGTACACCTCTATCTTCTGACCGGGGAGTTGGATCCCACCATGCAATGATACCCTACATTTACACCTCCCTTGATTGAAGATCTGATATGAACACATGCACACATGGACCTTTGATCCTTTGAACCTATCACACAACAGAATTGAATGCTTCCTTGGATCTTTACCGTAAGTTGAACCCAAGGAGCCGGAAAAAAATGAATCAAAAAACTCGGAATTATCTCAAACACGCTTCTGTCTCCATTTATCCATTTCTAATCCACCTCTGCGATATTCCTACTACGAATATTGACTAGGTACTCACATCACATTCATCCTCTGAAAACCCTATCCATTCACTCCGTACTTAGGTAGTCTAGTGAAATTATATCAATCTTTAAACCGATAACTATATATTTCTTATTTCTTATATCGTATAGATTTATACAACCATACACATATACACATGTATCTCGAATCACTTTCATCTCCTTCTATCTCCTCCTTCATATATCTACCTAGTATTCATTCATACTCGTCTTCGGCGGACATACACACATCCATCCATTTGCAATCAACCTACCTACCTACGTAGAAAAGGCGGCCCGTGACGCAGCGGTTGGACTAGATCATCATCAACATATATAAGCTTTACCGGCAATCGAATTCTGTTCTCTCGTGTGTCAATTGTCAATCATCATATTATTGTAAAGAGTTTCCAAAAACATCTATACCAAAGTCCACGTAGCCATGTCACAATCAACGGGAAAAGATACACCACAAGCGACAGCAGCTTCTTCAGATCAATCACAACAGAATATCCCACAAGCTACAACTTCTACCACCTCGGTCCCCCCACAATCAACAGAACCAACATCCCTCGATCAATCCACCACTACCACAACTGGAAATCATGATTATACACAAACCGAAAACGTAGACCAAAGTATCGCCCATCAAAGTGATGGAGATCAAGATGATCATGTCGAAGTAGTAAGTAAAGTTCTTTCACATCCTTGTCAGGATAATCATAATCAATCAAATATCATGTGAACCATCCGCCACTTCACTTCACTTCACAAATACTAAGAACGCCACAACTTTAGGATACACATAGCGATGCTGATTCCAGTTGGGACGACGACGATGTATCAACAGCCTCTACATCTATCACTTCATCCATGTTAAACTACACCTACGAAAATGGTCGTCGTTATCATGCCTATCAGTCCGGTTCTTACCTTCTTCCTAATGATGAGGCCGAGCAACAACGACTCGATCTCAAACATCACGTGTTCAAGCTCATTCTGGGTGGGAAACTATTCTGCGCACCTATAGATCCTAATCCTCAACGAATCCTTGATATCGGAACGGGAACTGGTCTTTGGGCAATTGAGTGTGCCGATGAATTTGCTTCCGCTGAAGTCACCGGAACGGATCTAAGTCCTATCCAACCGGGCTGGGTACCACCGAACTGTAAATTCATGATAGATGATGCTGAGAACGAATGGTTGTTTTCTAACAATCGACAATTCGATTTGATTCACTGGAGAGTTCTTGCATCTAGTATATCAGATTGGCCAAAATTGTTCAGTCAGGCTTATACGCATGTTAGACCCGGAGGATGGGTTGAAGCACAAGAGCACGAGGTACATATCGAGAGTGATGATGGTACTGATCTCAATGCTGGAGATCTGCAAAGATTTTTTGGATTGATTGATGAAGCAAGTGTTAAGAATGGAAAGATGATGGATGAAGTTGCTGGAAATCAAAAGCAATGGATGATTGATGCTGGGTTTGTCGATGTTCATGATCAAGTCTACAAGGTACCCATTGGTCGCTGGCCCAAAGACAAAAGACTCAAGGAGATTGGTATGTATTATCAAGCTCAATGTTTGGATGCCGTCGAACCAATCAGTGTGGCGTTGTTCACCAGGGTTTTGGGATATAGCTTTGAGGAGGCACAAGTGATGATGGTGGGACCAAGGAATGATATGAAGAATCCCTTGAATCACGTTTACATGAAGTTTCATTTCGTTTATGGAAGGAAGCCAGAGTTTTGATGGTGGAGCTGCGGGATAGTGGTGTAAAAAGCTCGAGGTTTCAAATATGGGGTTGTTTGGATGATCGGTCCTTTGGGCGAGATGTAGCGCCTTATCATTGATGTGGACTTTGAGATGGTTCGATCATCGCTTATATGGGAGCTTTCAGTGTGAGGATTCAAACGATGCCTTGTCTTAGCAATGATAGTATCCCATTCAAAAACAGGAAACAGTTCGAACATTCATATATAGACATGCAAACGCCTGATTATTTAGCTCTTGCGGTTGCACTTAGGAATATTTAATTGCATACTTTGAGATTCATATGAAAATAATTATAGGATAGCCCCTCTTTCTTGATTACGTCAATTGATAGTAAGTTATTTTGGATGGCTTTGCACACGAGGAGGTGTATGTTGAGTTGGACAAAGTTCCTTCAGTAGTTCTCCAGAAACATCGTTCCTTTGCCCCTTTTTAACACACTGGTAAGACCGATTAGTGAAAATTAGTTGAAATCGCATTTTTGGGTAGAGAATTTGCTCAAAGTACGGTGCCTTCATTTATCAACAGAATTCAAACTATAAAAGGGCGAGGTCAAGGTCACCATTTAACGGGGATGCTCCAATATTACTTTCCATCTTCAGGCTGATGAACCAGAGACAGTCTTCTCTTGCTCCATAAGATGAAATGATCTAGAAGTATTAATATCATGCTCATTATCATAGAATCGCCATCATCGAATCCTCAGCTGCCTCCCAAGTACCTAAGAATCGAAATCTTCATCCACCCTCTCAAAATACCTCTTCAAATCATCCACCGGACCACCGCGATCCCTCTTTCTGATTATTCCATCCCGAATACTCGGTTCCGATCTCCACGATACCGAATCAAGTAAATACACCCTAATCAAATCCGAATCCATGGTATTTTCCCACACGTATGAGATTGATTCGAGAGTCTTCTCGAAATCATCATGATCATGACCGTCACAACGATTTTTGATACTCCTACGAAACTCTTCATACTTTACGATACAGCAATTCTTAAGAGCGGGTATCTGAACCATATCTGCGAAAACATAGAGTTCTAGTATTTTTCTCATGGAAAAGTGGATTTTATCGTTGACTCTCTTGTCGATTTGGGCAGCGAGAGTGTCGAGGAACTCTTTTCCAATCGCATCTTCGAAAAGTGTCTCCGCCTCGCCTTTCCACGTTTCGTTTTCGAGAGCGTTCATAAGTGCCTTGATTCTTTTCTTAATTTTTTCGTTGCTTTTTAATGGGTCTTCTTCACTGTAATTATTCTTCTCGCTTCTTTCGAGGGAATCTCCAATACCTAATGTACTCTCCTCTACTACTTTTCGCTGAGCTTCTGTCTCCCACTCTTCAATTTCCAGGCTCGAGCTACTGAGTTCCCGAGTATACAACCAGCCCATGAATAAATCAAAGATTTCTGTATCTGTTTCGGGGAGTTCAATGGTCCCTGTATTTGTCTCCCGGAATCCAGATGTGAAAGCGGCCCGGAAATAGGGGGAGGTGTAACATATGAGATTTTTATGGGCGGCGAATTCTTGAGATGAGGAGCCTACGTAGATACGGACTATGGGACTTCCTAGCCATCTGAGATTGTGGTTAGTGAGACTTTGTGTGAGAGGGATGAGAGAGAAATATGTTTATTGTGTAGGATATTTGTTTCGCTTACCTTGTTACTTTACGGAGGTCCTGGGCTGGGCTCATCTTGTATATCGGTCAATTACTAAAGATTTTTGATTGACAGTTGAGCGCCTCTGATTTTGTACTCAAATTGGAGAGGAATTTCACGAAAGAGTACTTGCACCTGGTAGTCTTGATATAGATAATTTGTTTTCTACGGTAGAGACTACGGTGCTGGCAATCTACTGGTGAGTCACCTGAATAAACGTAGATTAGTACGGGCTGTTGAGGATTACAAGTAATCTATTACTCTCAAACTTTTTCGTAGCCGAATGAGAAATCAGAGTAAAATATGTCGGGCATGACATAGATTGAATGCTGAGAGTTTTCTGGGTCCAACTTCAACTCGTATAATGGAACCTGACGCTAGGTACCATTCAAAACATCAAGATATCTACACAGATTCTTGCATAGTCTATACGTATACATCAGATTTCTCTGCGTACCTGTTTCGTCAACACAGATTTTCTTAATAAGACTGGGCAAGTAAATATCAAACTCTGGCTAGATCAGACAGCATTTTCGTTGTTGACCATGATGAGACAGAATTGAAAGGTAAGAAGGTCGTAAAGTGAGCACAACATTTCCACGACATACCCAGCATGAGGATCCCCATCCATAATATGTAGTCTCACTTCACATAAGGATAGACTTCTCTCATGTATCTGCCTCTACACCCGTCGATTACTCCCTCTAGTTGGTGAAAACAACATTAAGTGGAAGAAACCACCGCAGGTACGGGTTATAATTTTTCTATTTTATACGCCGTATATTGCCAAATAACTCAATCCTGAATATCATAGCTTTCATTGTTAAAGTCCACGAATGGAGTACGGCAATGTTTGGATTGACCTAACCCTCCAGCCGTCCAAAAAGCGGAAACCATGGAGATTTTTCGGCAATCCCAGGAACTTCTTTCTCTGTATCTTCACCGTGTAATCAAGTATTTCTCTAGTTTATTCTCAATAATTGCGGTGTATCGTAACTCCGAATAAAATTCAGAGGACTTTGTCAAAATCGTCGACTCCTCCCAGATGGTGTTTCGCGGTGTCGATGACCAGTCGAGCAGTCGCTTATCTAGTCGTCGTCAAAACCATATCCCAACTTTAAGTGCGAGTCTATAGTCAGAGCAGTACTTGAGCGGAAATTTTCGTCACCGCTGAACGGAATACTAAGGTAGAGGATTACTTTTTCAGAATCATCTGGATGCGCTGATATGCAATTTATGACGAGTTTTGAATTTTCAAACCATTTGCTGGAGGATACGAAAGGAAAGTTGGACTCGTTTTATTAGAATATAAAAAAAGTAAGTCCCTCCTATATGAAGAAAACAAATTTGTTGTAATTTGTCCTGGAAAAGTTGTTTCTCATTGTGGTATGTTTGTTTAGTTTTTTACCCCTAGAATTAACCGAGAATGATCAAGAGAATGTTGAAAATGTCAAGACTCCTCGAAACAGCGTTTCTCAATCCTGTATTCTGATCGATTGTATCTGTGACTACTAAAGAACATAATAGTAACCTCAAAGCTTCTACTAATCTCTGGATAAGAAGTTCATTGATGATGATCTTTGGTTGATGGCTTTCTTGATTTCAATGTTGTGGCACCAAAATTTCGAAATTTAAAAATCAAATCACAAGTCAGTTTCATCTTTACCTCATTTCCGTAAAATTTATGAGATCTATGGTGCCTCAACAAAAGACTAAGCCCATCTTCAGTCTCCGTCAGGGTACCCAAAAAGAAAAGCCGAAGTGAATTCGCGTGCGGTTGAAAATTCAGTATTTAGTTTCCAACTCCCACACCACAACTTCTTCCCAAAACAACACACACACTCCTCTCAATTCATACCCCAATTTTGCCTTGAAGAGTCTGTCTTCTCTAACGGTTCATACAGTTTATACTGTCTCGAACCTTGCACTTTGTTCAGAATTGATTGAGAAGAAGGATCTGCTACCCGTAAGTCTTTTTCGCAGCTCCCCAATGCGACATAATAGTGAAGCTTGTTTTTCCCAGATGACATCTAACACTCATCAGTTTAGAATTCCTTTCGCCGATCAATTCAGGGCCACAACGACGGCATTTCTAATCCTCTTTTGCTGCTCTCAAAATTCGTCGACCGCGATCATTCTCCACAACTACTTCGAATTTTCACGGAACTTCGAGCCACCTTGTTGCTTCATCAAAAAACCAGCAAGGTTACTTCTTACGTTACGTTTCCTATCTGAAGATCTGCGAACACCTTTTGCCATCAGCATCTCAAGTCATCGCGCCAGCTTTTTCTCTAGCAAGTACCCAACGACTCCCTCATCAACGCAACAATGACGAGCTTTCTTGCACGAGAGCTTCAACGTCAGAATGCGGGTATAACCCTTCAACGCATCCCTTCTACACGTCGTGTCTGCACCTATGAACATCGTAAGCAATCCCTCTCGACATCAAACACAAGCAATATTTATTTAACTCCGTGTACATCTTACTAATATCTTAATAGTCCATCCAATCTCTGCCGAGATTTGCAATGGTCTCCTCACAGACGTAAAGGAGGTGCTCAAAGAAGCTGAAAGTTATCAACGATTTCAAGAAGAGCGTTTGGTCAAGGCCGTCAAACAGGCTCAGCTTGCAGTAGACATGTTGAAAAATCCTCGCATCATTCCTAGCCCCGATTTCACCTACGCAGAAGACGTCAAATTTCTAGAACAATTTGCCGTAAGTTACAAGCAAGGGGTTGGTCTCAGCGACGATGCTCACTGCAACTACATCATCAAAGTCTCTACCGTCTTGAAACGAGCACTCCCCACACTCATTGACGAATACAAGAGCATCTGTCCCTGGTCTCTCATTCTCAAGGTCAACTTCACCGATCTCTGTCCACACCAACCATTCTGTAAGCACAAGCAGAAGTACACCCAGTCTCAAGTTCCAGCAGGTCATCCCCATCCGCCTGGTGGCACTATCCATAGTGATGTCATGGGCTTTTGTCAAGATGATTATGCTGTCCAGCCTGGTAAGACGAAGCCTGAGGGTTGCAAAGTCAAGAAATACTGTGCACTTCGCCACAAGGAGGATTGTAGCGGTAAGGCAAACCGTGATGCAATCATACTCTATGCAGTAGCTTGTCTTCATAGGGATGGACTTTGGGAGTAAGTAGTTTTGAGTCGGACAAATGGAGCTATCAGCTTCATTTTTCTTCCTTGCTGCGTATAATAGAATCTTTTCGGTTGAAGGGCTTCTGATTAGGTATCTTGAAGGGTTGGATGTTTAGTCTTTTTAGAAATAAATCATCAACTTCTCCTCGTAATGTTATCTCTAGTTTCGTCCATACATGTGATAAAATATCGTGGTGCAGTAGACCAAAATTTATGTGGAAAGAGTTAATTAGTAAGACATTTCCTTTGAAGTCTTGTAGGACAGCGGTATTCCTTGTACCACTGACACCGGTGCCTGTGAAATGCTTCTTCAATGACTTTCCTCATCCTTTAATCACCGTCATAATAAATCTAGACTTTTCAAGGTGACGTTCAATGCGTTTAAGGTTCTCGATATATCTTGCTCCGAGGGTAGAAGATATACATGGTATCGTTCCATTCCAACTCTACAAAGTACTGCTAGTATGATCTAAATGCTATTTGCATGTACACGTCTTTTCTGCTATAAAAGTATCCATCAATTCATCAATATCCTAATTCAATCCTATCGTCATTCCGTGTTTCTTCCATGAAAGAATTCCTACCCATAAATCTTGAGCAACTAGGAAAATCTCGAATTTGTGTTCGATCGACTGCTATTACCCGCTCCTCCACACCAACAACTACCGTCTCCATCTTTCTCAACTTGTACCACCACATCCACACCTTTACTTAAAAGAAATGCTCTCGTTCTCGTTAAAACATCTTCAAGATCTGATCCTCTGGTCACAACAACATGCATGACTCCCAATACTGTTTGATTTTTATCGCCTAGCCAGAACTTTGGAACGGTGTAGGCTTGAACTCCACGTAAATCACTTACACCAGCCAAGGTGTTTCGTAAATTGTATTCGGTATCATCAGGAACTGTTAAAAGTAGTTTTTTCGCACTACTTTTGACAAGAGGAATTGAGGAAAGGAAAATGAGAATTGCGATGAGACAAGATGCGAGAGGATCCCAGCCTGACCATCCAACAAAGTATATTAACACAGTAGAGACAATGACTGCAGCACTGCCCATTGTATCTGCAAGCACATGAAGAAAGATGCCTCTCATGTTTTCGTTGTCATGCGAATGGCCACCGTGTGAATGTGAATGTGAATGGTCATCGTGTAGAATTGAGGGCTGTTTCTTATGACCGTGATCGCAAGATCCAGAGTGGGAATGAGAGTCATGGGAGTGAGAGTCGTGAGAGTGGGAATGAGAATGGCCATGCGAATTGCTATGATCATGCCCATGATCATGATCGCCGTGGTCGTGTCCGTGATGATGATGACCGAAGCAGGCCATGCCGACTAAGTTAACTGCCAATCCCAAAGAACTGACAACAAAAAGTTCCATCAATCGTTTTGTTTCTCGTCCTTCTGCTAATCGTTCCGTCGCTTCTATCATAATCTCAATGCTAATGAGTCTGTAAACCGTGTTAGCGAGTACCACACAATTGGGTAATAGTTACCTACATGAGAAATACTCCATTACCAAATCCCGACAAACTCTCAATCTTTCCAAATCCGTATGGGAATCTTTGACTCGGTGGCCATTTACTTGCAACCGCAGCGAACAATCCCACTCCAAGTGCTAAGCAGTCGAAAAACATATGTATACTATCGCTCAATAGACCAAGGGAATCTGTAACGAATCCGTAAAATGCTTGAACGATCATAAAGGCAAAATTAAGACTGGCAGGATTAGCATGATTCTCCAATGGCTTGGTAATACCAACCTCATAAAATAAAAGATCCTCCTCGAGTCCTTACTCGCCAAAATTGCATGGAAAAGAGGCCATTTGGATGCGTATGGCAGTATCAAACTAGTAAATCGTGATTTCGTTTCGGTTGTCGTACCATGCGAATGGTTGTGGCGGTCATGATCATGATGGTGATGGGTGTCAACATGTACGTCGTTCATCGGAGGTTCGTAGGTCCCATATGCTTCTTTCTCGAAGGTGGCAGACATGGGAGTCGCTTCACTATATGGCGGTGACGGCAGGTATGATGTTGAGTTATCATGGCTGTGATTGTGCGCATGGGCATGCGAATGAGAGTGGGAGTCAGAGTGGCCATGATTGTGTTCATTTTCGTGTTCATGTTCATGTTCATGTTCATGCTCATGGAGAGTTTCGGAATGATCGTGCGAATGGCTATGTGGACTTGAGATTGATTGATTCGATGGTCTCGACCTGCTTGCAGAGTATTGCGAGGACCTGCTTGAATGTGAGGATGAATGGGAATGAGAATGTCCATGTCCATGTCCAAGGTGACCATTGGTAATTGCTGAAGCCGGCAACGCATAAGATGAGGCCATGACTTCGTTAATTCTGGAATGGATCGAACGAGCTATGAAGCCCGTATATATTCAGCCCCTCTCCACATATGTTGTCGTTGTCCTTAGTATCTCTCTCTACCTTCCTTGTTTTGATTTGCGCCGAGATAGGTCGGCTTCGGTAGATAGTAGGAGCTTTGACGATGAAAGTGGAGAGACAGAGTTGTCAAATGCAGCAAGAGATCCAATTCAATATATATTCTCACTCAATTCTCAATTTTCCATACTCAATCCTTCGATTCAATCTTTTGCCGATGTTCAATGAGCGTCTTGTTGTGAAGTGAGAGTAGGCGTTGAATTGAAGACAGAAAGGAAAGAAATTGAGAGTTACAGCATGAGCAAGGTGCGCAACGTAACGTACACAAACGAGTACAAGCACAAGAATCAAATACCAATTCAGGAAATTCTCTCGAAATTATGCTGATGATCCTCCCAACGAACCAGTAAGGAAGTTCCATTCAACCCCAGATACCTTTCTTGGAGTTTCCCCCTGGATTAACAAATCTGTGGCTACCGGGAAAGGGAAAAGCTTTTCAAGGTTCTGCTGAGTACGATGTACGGAGTATGGATGGTATGCAACTTCAACTTCGAATACGAATAAATGCCATCGAATGAATTGTGTTAAAATGCGACTTCAAAGCAATGTCACCCAATCAATTATGTTAAAATACCGCTTTCGATCAACGTCATCCAATCAATTGCCTTGAAATAAATCCCACTTGCCTTTTTGAAAGATAACGACGAGAAAATGACTGGAGCGGTAAAATGACAAGGATATTGTCCGATGCTAATCCACTTTGAGCCAGTACTGCCCATCGTCACCGCCGGACACCGACTTTTTCTTAATGGGTGATCTGTTTCTGATGAAGTGAAGCATTGAAGTGGAGGGAAGAAAAGGTTAAGAATACATTCTGATACTTCAACCCTTTTTATACTTCATACTCCAAACTCCAAACTTCACTTCTAAAAATATCTATTTACTTCTGACATTCTTTATCATCTTCTTTTCCTAATCAAGCTTGCATCAATTCTCAGATATGGAGGCATAACCTAGGTAGCCAATTCTTCTATTCATAGATAGTTTTTGACTGGGTGAAGGGTCATTACCATCTGGGAGTGTCCAAACTTCATCTGAATCTCAAGAAACCACGTCATGCTAGAGAATCTTCTAACATTGGCTACAATCATTTCTACCATATTCACAATTACCCTCTTATTAATACCCAAACAATATATCAAACACTCGCCTCCAATGGCTACTCAAAATAGTGCAAATGTCGAGCCGAAGATATCTGTTCAGGTTTTGGTCTTGGGAGATATCGGGCGAAGTCCTCGAATGCAATATCATGCTATGAGCATAGCAAAACATGGTGGAAGAGTTGATCTTATTGGATATGAAGGTATTAAAGCTTTAAAGCCTACCTAGAAGCAAGCTTCCTTGATGACTTGTGCTAACAGTTATATAGAATCCGAACTGCCTTCTGGCTTAACAGCTAATCCTCTTATCACAATCGTACCTTTACCGCTACCACCAACAAATCTACGAGATGGTACTTTACCATTCTTCTTCGCAGGTCCCTGCAAGGTTTTATGGCAGATTTGGACCTTATTTTTTGTTTTATGTTATACTACAAAACCAGCAAGATGGCTTTTAGTTCAGGTAAGGCCTCCGACTCTTACACGCAATGATCTTCTAACATTTTTAGAACCCTCCCTCAATTCCCACCTTCTTCGTCGCATACCTCGTCTGTTTGATACGCAACACTCATTTAATAATTGATTGGCATAATTATGGATGGACCATCCTAGCAGGAACAAGAGGCCCGAAACATATCTTCGTTCGACTATACAAGTGGTATGAAGCTTTCCTTGGATCATGGGCACCAACAGCTTCATTCACAGTTTCGAAAGCAATGGAGCGCCAACTCCGCGAAAGTCCCTACAAGATCAAATCACCAATCTTTACCCTTCACGATCGACCTGCTTCCATCTTTCAACCGATTACCGACGAGGCGAAGCGACGTGCTTTTCTTCAACGTTTACCAGAAACAAAAGATCATGTCGATGCAATTATGAATGGAGATGTAAGACTATTAGTTAGCAGTACATCATGGACTCCTGATGAAGATTTCAACCTTCTTTTGGATGCGCTCGTTAAATATGGACCATTTGCCGAATTTGATTGCCCACCAATTCTTGCCATCATCACTGGAAAAGGTCCACAGAAGCAAATGTATCTTGATCGAATTGCCGAACTCACTGAAAATTATGATTTGGTCAATGTGACAATCAAGACTGCATGGCTTAGTATTGAAGATTACGCCTCGTTACTTGCATGCGCCGACCTTGGAGTTTGTTTACATAAGAGTAGCAGTGGTGTAGATCTACCCATGAAAGTGGTTGATATGTTTGGAGCAGGATTACCAGTAGTCGGATATGATCAATATTTCAGTTGGCCTGAGTTGGTCAAGGAAGGTATTAATGGATGGGGATTTACAACAGCGAAAGATTTGGCCGAGATTTTGGAGGAAGTCTTCAAGGATACCAGTGGAAAGGAATTGGCGAGATTAAAGAAGGGGGCTATTGAAGAGGGCAGAAAGAGATGGGATGAAGAATGGGATGGGGTTGCTGGGAGACTTTTAGGATTGATTGACTGATTGAATGGAAAATGGAAAATGGAGGGGAATGGACCCTGGATGCATGTAGTTGTAAATAATGTACAGGATATAGTGTATCATAATTTCTGTAGATGTAACGTCGACGGACAAAGCTGCTTGGGAACATTGGCAGAAAGTCATGGGCCAGTTTACGATGCATGTATTATATCAAATATTAAAATCATCAGCCCTATCATAATAATAGTATCCACACTTCATGTAGCTAATTTCGACCCCAGTCCTGCCATGAGAAAGTTGCATGCTACAAAACGCTTCGTACACAGGTAGGTACATAGGTAGGGGTGTATAAATATGATTCAATTTGACCAATTGTCAATCAGTTCTTGTCAAACTCATGAGTGAAGAATCCTTCTCAGAGGCGTAGCCAGGATATGGCCAAGGTGGAATACAACACCAACATTGATCATTTATGGCTACCTAGTATATAAGAAGAAGAAGGGGGAAAAAATGCAGCTAGATTGAGGTTTCTTTTAGTCTCAAATGTGATACTGGCCGCTAAGTGAACTGTTGTTGCTCAGAGGAAGAGGAAGAGGAAGAGGAAGAGAGAAAGGATAATCTTGATGATTCATTGAGCTGTGTAAATGAAATGACGCTCCGCTGGTCCTCCGGAGGCCACTGCCGTGGGGGCAGTCTAGGTAGCTATTTGACATACGTTTTACTTTTAGACATTTGACTGGAGGTGATTTGCTATGGCAGCTATGGGAAGGAGGAAGAGGCGGAATCTTGTTCTGGTATTGTGGGTAGATAGATGATTGAGCCGTGAGCCGTGATCCGTATATTCCGTGGGTGTTGTATATCCGGGGGGGGAATAGATAATAATATGATATGAAAGGGATGGATATCAAGTTGGTTGGAGTTATTGCATTCAAGACGTTAAGTTGTTCTTTTGTAGCCATTCATCTTTGCTGGTAATCTTACCTATTTATCAACCAATATAGAAAAACATAAACAGACTTCTCCATGGGTATTCTAAAGACAATCTGCAGGTCTCAATGTAATGAATTATGTAATCACTCTTCATGGTTTGGATAGATTACCTACCTAGGTAGGCTCCTAAGACGACTGCGCCACAATCTCAGGAGCAATGACGCCGCACGCTTATGTTCGCCCGTATTTCGTATTGATTACCCGCCTCATATGTTTCATTCATGATTAACTTACTCACTCACACTCTCTCTTCCTTTCCTATTTTCTTTCATCAACTTTGAATAAAAACTTCCTACTAAATCATCTTTCTTTTCCTAATACAACCCTTTCAACTACCACGATATCAAATATTGAAAACGCAAACGATCGAGAAATTGTATTGAATAAAGTCGACATTATGGGAATACTTCCAAGAGAAATGCTCCCAACTATGGGGCTGGCGAAAAGAGGCCTTGATGCATTTCGGGGTACAGAATCACCAACTGAAGAAGTTCAAATGCCAGTTTGGGGCGTCATGATGATCGCAAGTACTGTTGTTGTGTTCTTGATCATGGACTTTATGGTATGTTTACAAAATGACAATTAAGGCTACTCTCTTCATGCTATTCTTCTTGGGTTCATGAGTTCATCATCTAACTATCAGAATAGGTTGAATATACCTTCACCAGACTCATTCCTACCCTTCTTATGGTCGAATCTCCTCAGGCAATCCTATTCGAACCTCTCACATCTGAAGATCCCGATGCGAAGCTCGACCACAAAGGAGATGCTGATCCGGAACTCTTACTTGTAAAGCAGAAACCCATTACCTCAAGCTTCAAATCAACCATCGAGCACCTTCGCGCCCGCGCCGGAAAGCAAAGTCATTTACGTGGTGTTGGAATGCACTTCGTCAAAACCTTTGTCTTGGGTCTACAAATGAACTTCCTCTCTATATTCCTCCCCAACATCTTCGCTTACCCTCTTGCGAATGTCCTCTGTGCACCTTTCAGTTTGGCATGGACACACATTGTTATCTCGGACCCAAGCCCACTTCCATGGTTCAAGAGAATGCCGGATGTTGCAACTATCAAGAAGGTTATTCCAGCAACAGTTGTCTTTGCTCTCGCCAAACAAGCCGCCATTTTCCTCCCAGGTTACCTTGCTCTCTCAATCGGTCTCTTCGAATCATTCGAGAGTGAACCTTCAAAGATGACCCCGCAACAAGTCTCAGCTATGGGTATCCAAACAGCTTCCGTCATTATTCTAGCCGGTGCCCTTGCTTTCCTTGTTCTCATTCCAGCAAGTGTCAGCCTTATTCGTGTTCAAGCTTCTCTACTTTCCGAAGATCATGAATCTATCGTACCATTCGATCGTACATTTGGTGGACGTGTTTCTGAGGATGGTGTCTTGGGAACCCTTGATGCATGGAAAACTTTTGACTGGAACTCACGTGTTAGACTTTTGAAGGCATATATCAAGGCTGCTGCTATGGAGATTGCCGTCGCGATTTTCTTCACCGTCGTTTTATGTGCAGAAGTCCTTATGGTTCTTGGTGCCGATCACAAAAAGGTTGTCATCGGAACAGATGGCAATGGAGCACCTATTCAATTCGAGATGTAAGAGGTAGATACTCTTCATATCAATAACTTTAACCGATCTCAACTCTGTATCATCTGGTGGGAACTGATACTCTTTTTGAGATGTTGGTCCTGAATTTTCGTTTGTTCAATGGGAGGTAACGGAAAGGGGTTGGATAAGAGGCGAATTTTCGTGCTACGGTTGTTCTCCCACACACTACATTACTTCATACATATTATGACTACTTAGCGAATGAAATTGATACTCACTTGTGCTAATATGATGAATTTTCTTGATCTAAACTGTGAATTTTGACTCTGGAGCTCGATGTTTACGCAATGTAATTGTTGCAAGAGTATAGAACGTTACTCTTACTTCATAATTTGACCTATCTGATGACAAAGTATGTCCATTTCTGACCTAAAATATACACACCTCAGCTCTACCTCCATATCATTCATATTCAGCCTGGACTTGGTCATATACTTATAGGCATACCAACTTGTAGTCTCTTTACCTTTTAGTTTTCAATTCATCTACATCTATCGCAGTCACTGAAGAATTCCTATCTTATTATGGCCTGCCGAGCCTGCCTATCCTATCTCTCTAATTCTCTTCCCTCTTCTCTAACCTATGCTCTCGCAACGACGAAACGCTCGAGCCCCGGATCTACTAGGTACGCAATTTACAATATCCACCACCTTTCCAGGGATTTCTCAACGGTCTTTGCCCCCATTGGCCCTTAGCCCTTGGCTACATTCCAATCCAATTAATATCCCCAGATTTTACATTATCCAACCGAGTCCGATGCCCGAGGTATGTTTTTGTTATTTAAGTCCCCGCGCATGCGGGAATGGGATCGGATGATTGTTGTATTTAGTGATATGATGGAATTGAATTGAATCATATTCATGTGATTAGAACTAGGGACGTGGAACTAGGAATTGGTGGCTTCTTGTGGTGGAAATGTGGGTGCGGGTTCGGTTTTTGTATTTCTACTTAGGAAGTTATATCTTTGTGTGATTTCTTGCAATCTTTCTTTCGATTTTGCATATTGTATACTAGACCTCATATCTTGCGTATACTTGAATGTTATTTTGATGTAATTATGTTGGATAGCTACATACATCCATCATAGCTAACAGTACATCTCCTCCAACCTACCCCGCAATCATTTGAACCAAACCTCCTCGTCTCAACATTTCAAAATCACAATGTCAATACCACCACAAACACCCATTATCATTGGCGTCGGCGATGTGATAAATCGTTCGCTGCAGGTTGAAGATGCGATCGAACCATTGGGACTTATGCTGCAATCTCTCTCGAAATCATTTTCGGATACCGGGATTTCCCATGATCGGGAGAGATTGGGAATATTACGAGAAAGTGTGGATGATGTGAGAGTGGTAAGGAATTGGACATGGCCGTATGTGGATGTGTGTCAGAGTGTGTTGGATGGGATTCTGGGGGAAGGAAAGAGGGGGAGTGATAATTTGGGAAAGGAAGTGTATAAAGAGGAATCGGAACATGGCGGGAATTCGCCGGTGAAGATATTGGATGAAGCGTGTCAGAGGGTGGGAAGGGGAGAGTCGAAAGTAGCGGTTGTGGTTGGGGGAGAGGCGTTGGGCAGTTGTGAGTCTTTTTTTCCTTTTTGGTTTTGTGTTTTGTGATATTTTTGTTTTCGGTGATAAGGGTTGAGGTGGATTCGAATTGAGGAGGGGTATTGTTTGTGATGACTTGGAGATGGTGAAAATCAGGTACGGGAGAGAGACTGAGCAGGAAGCGAGGCCGAGGAAGAAAGGAAAAGGGGGGAGACATTGCACACAGCACTACAAGAAGCGATATCAATTGGATCAAGTTGATCTCTCAAATGGAAAATAGTACCATCAAGTGATTCTATACGCTGGTGCTGATAGAGAACAGCATGAGAGAAGATGCAATGATCCATAGCGAGAACAAAACTCAGTTCAAAGGAGCGCTGAAATTCGAGAAGGGGATTTATGACCAAATATTTACTAATGATTCCCATGCGCTTAGTGATTTCATCCGCATCAAAGATCGGTACATATCCTTCGCACTGGACGCCGCCAGCCGGTGACCCAAGAAAGATTTTGGCTTTACCGAAAGGAGTTGAGAGTATGTATTATTTTGCCTTATTCTCCGAACTGGGAATTTTACAATGTTGCCCCTGGGGCTTGGTTTGGTTCCCGTTTTGAATACAAGGGTATCAAAACAAGGTATCAGTCGAGATACAAGAGCATTAGTGTTTACTTGTTGTGGAGTCCAGCGACTTTTACAAGTGTGGAATATTGATTCCGACGAGCACGAAAGACTGCGAAGAGACGATCGCGAAGAGAATTTGAGAGAAGTTAGGGAAGATTTTGTATGATCTCGCACACAAGCAATAGCCGCCATCAATACCAAGTGGAACAAATCACCCGCTCTAGACTATAATCTCATCTCCTTCATCTTCTTGCCAAGAACCCTTGATTATAACTAATACCCCCTACCTTAGCACTGGGAACAATCCATCAAATCGGTCTCCCAATACACATTTACCCCCTGTACGAAAATGCATTTCGAGCCCATCGTCATCAATCCCAAGCAGACAATAATGCCGAATCTGCAAAGTTATATGCCCAATTTGCTGCTGTCGCGGCTGGGAATGAATTTGCTTGGAATAGGGAGCCGGCGGGAAAGTTAAGCGAAGAGAGTATTGGAAAGGTAGGAAAGGGGAATAGAATGATTTGTTGGCCATGTGAGTTACATTCTCGGGACTTGAAGAGGTAAAGGGGGAGGTGAGATGAATGAAAATGTTAATGGATGTTATAGATCCCCTCCTAATGAATGCATTCAACAATGTCAACATGGCCGCAAGTTGCATCATTACTTCTGTTTCATTTGCTACCGAGCTGGGTATTCCGGAAGGTAAATGGATATATCCATTAGGTGGTGCTGGGATGCGCGAGAAGGATAATTGTATGCTATCTGTCTCCTTTCTCTCGCGTTGATCGAAGAAGCGAAATTTAGTAAGGCAAAAGCTAATGGAAATAGTTTGGGAAAGACCAAATTTCCATTCCAGTGAAGCTTTAGAAACATCACTTGATTCGGCATTGGATGTTTCGGGTTTGGAGACGAAGGATATAGATGTTTTTGATTTTTACTCGTAGGTGCACCTTCACAAGATCGGCGGGGGAGGGAAACAATTAGTCAAACGGAACATAGACCATTCAGCTGACGAAAAGTATAGATGTTTTCCAATAGTCCCGAAACTCGCTGCTCATCACTTGAAGATTCCTTTTTTGGATCCTTCAAGACCAATTACTTTGTTGGGGGGCTTGACATCATTTGGTGGTGCAGGAAATAATTACAGTCTACATGTATGTATATCCAAGTCGAGGAGGTCTCCTAAACAGAAGACGCTTTCGTCGCACACAAAGCACTATTGTCGAACTTTATGAGTATTTTATGCCATTGATTATGAACTAACAAATTGTAGCAATCACCGAAATGACACGGCAACTTCGTGACAAAAAGGGTCAAGTATCTAATCACAAGAACGCCGGAATTTCAAACGGTCTCATCTTGGCAAATGGAGGAGTATTGACATATCAGCACGTTGTATGTCTATCCACACAGCCAAGAATTGACGGAAATCAATATCAGGATGCAAATCCTTGCCCAAACATCGTACAGAGTGTTACTAGTGATGATAGAAATGGCTTGGAGATTGTTGGTCCGGAAGGGGTCAAGAAAGGAGTATGGGAAGGCATAATTGAGGTGAGAATTACTATTATCTTGAAGGGAAAATCTGCACTGGCGGATATTGAAAGAAGCTGGGATTATAATGATTAAGTAGAAGAGGTTTGATCTGCAGCTAACAATTTCGCAGACATATACAGTACAATTTTCAAGGAATAATGAGCCTCAAACTGGATTTGTAGTCGGAAGATTGAAGCAGACAGGAAAGAGGTTTCTAGCAAATGTTGCAGATGACAAAACATTGGGCAAATTGGTTAAGGAAAGTGAAGAGAAGATTGTTGGGAAAAGGGGCTGGGTATGGAAGGAAGAAGACGGCAAGCGAAATTTGTTTGGGTTTGAGAGGGGGGCTAATCTGTGATTGAAAAGATTGAGAAGATAGACTGCCGTAGGAAGTAAATCAAGGTAAAACTTATTTTGGGTCGAGGAGAGGATTAGATTGTGATAGTGATATGAAGAAGCTTAACAATCTGGGAAGAGAGTCGTGAAGATCCATAAAATGTGATACGGGTGTGAGAGTGATTGGACGTTTACAGAGATAGCCCTCCGGGATCTCAAAGTGAAAACAATTCGACGACTGGAGAAGATGAATTTTGAACAGTCGGGATATCCTCAGAAGAATAGCGATGATAGACACCCGTACACTCCGCAATCAAGGGAATCTCGATGATATCCGCGGATATTGCATCATGTGCCAAAAACTGATTGAGATTGAGGATGTGGAAGTCACTGGCGTCGTATTTCCTTGAAGCTATCGTGAAGTCATCTGGACTCGGAGACCTGAATGTGGCGTTAAATTAGCTTTGTACTCATAGAAAAAGGAGGATTCTTGGCTATGCCCTTTGCCGACTACCGGGAAACCATGTTTATGAGGATCTGATGAGGCTATCGTCTAGTGGTTCGGACTTGGATCCGAACCTATCAAACTAGTTCTGTGCTCAGTTAGCAAAGGAAAATCCTGAACTGTCCTACTTCATGTAGCCCTTATCGACGAGGATCTCGATGCATATCCGAAGATATGATATCATGCGCTCTTGATACTCATATGGTATACCAGAATCGCCCATATCAACTTTCTTCTGAGCCCATTTTGAAGTCATTTAGATTTGGACCCGAACCTGTCAAACCAGTTTTGTGCTCTCAAGTATGGATCAGGGATCCTGAATTGTACTCTCCAACGCAGTGTCAAGCTCCCGTGTCCAAAGAGGATCTCGATGAAAGATCTCTACAAATCTGATGACCTTGCCGGTCGCCAACCCCCATAGGAGATTGACAAACGCCTTGGATTGGCTTTCCTTTGAAGCTATCGTGAAATAATTCCATCTCGGGATAAGATCCCTTTGTCAGACCAGTTTAGTGTTCAAATTTAGACAGATAACGCGGGTCTGTACTCCTCCGCAAAGATATCCGGCACTCGGTACCCTATCCACGGATATTATCTAGATTTGAATCAGATACAGATATTGCAATCGGCGAAGTAATGAGGGGAAATCTCTTGGATATATGATCTCAACCCCCTTGAATACTGATAGAGCTGATAAAATATATGTGTCTAAACAGTCTTTTGATGTCGTATTTCATCGTAACACTAGTACGAGAATGACAGAAAAAGGTTGCTTTGGTATCACCAGGCACTATATATATACATGCTGGATACACCGACAAAATCCCGAGGTACTCATTCGTATAACCTTTGAAGAATTATTCCGATACTTGAACCCCTGATCTTTGACTGCATATATCGATCATGTCACCAAACTACTACCATATTACCTCCATCTTATCGTTGTCCATAGAAATACGACATAATCTGATCTCGATGATGTTATTGGTATGTGACATTACCCTATAGTATTGAAGCATTGTCATGCAAATTAAATGGCAATTGTCTTGATGGTGAATGATTCGTCGGACTTGAGGAGTTTCTCTCTGGTTGTTCTTGATTGTGGTAGAAAGTCTAAAAAGAAGCAGTCGTTGGAAATGTCAGTTTTTTTTGCCAAGAAAAGGTATGAATTGAGACCAAAATGAACCTCGTCGTCGACTGAGCTTTTCCAGTACTAGTATATTAGAGATTGAGTATATCTTCATTTTAGAGGTATATACGCACGTGCTCGCATTGATGTATGAAATCACCCCGCCTTCCGAAAACAATCATTTGTATTGATTGACACTCACACTTCACTTCACCTTCACCTAAATTAAAAGGCACGGACTTGACCCCACTACATCCGCCGATACGCTAATACCTTCCCTCGTTACCTCGTTACCTCGTTACCTCACGATTAATAAGTATCGTTGTATCTTGAATTCATTTGTACTCCAGTACATCTAAAAACATCCTACATATTCCAACATCTATCAATTCAGAAGAGTACAGTCCAGTCGACAACATCGAGGATTCTTCGCACCACTCTATCGAATCAGACATATTTGACATAACATAGCAATATACACATATACCCAGGTATCCTTCTTGGACCCCAACTGTTCACGGTACCTTCTCAATAGCTCCCCCTTCCGACTTCTTGGATTTGTATCCTCACAAGGTACGTAGTAGTGCATTTCTGGTGGTTTAATCGAGTCTCCATGTGCGACGACTTCCTGTTGATCTTCAATCATTCTGATTCACTCATAGGCAGTATTTCGTATATATACTCAGTACTTTTCCACCATCTGCGACTTTCAATACATTCAGAGTTACCTCCTCATCTACAATCTCCTCCAACTTTGACATTAGTTTTATAATCCGAGGACTCCTCGGCACATTCGACAATCAAAAAGATGGGAAGCGCAGCAGCAAATCTGCTTGGCAGACAATTGAAAGAAATTCAAAAGGCAAAAGATTTACCTGGCATAAGCTGTGGGCTTGTGAAGGATAATATTTTTGAATGGGATGTTATGCTCATGTTGAGTGACGAGTGCAAATACTATGGCGGTATGCTCTATTGCTCACCTCCCTCGAAGTCTTTTGCAGCTCATACTAACAGTAATCTCTAGGCGGCAACTGGCGCTGTCTTCTCTCTTTTCCCGAAAACTATCCACATGCACCTCCAACGCTTACCTTTTGCGATCCAATTCCATTCCATCCAAATATCTACGCGGATACAGGCGTTCTCTGTATATCCATTTTACATCCATCGGGAACAGATGACTTTGGATACGAAGATGCAAGCGAACGATGGACCCCAATTCAAACACCAGAAACTATCTTGTTAAGCGTGGTCAGTCTTATGAATGATCCAAATGATAGTAGTCCAGCAAATGTGGACGCGGCAAAGATGTGGAGGGAAGCACAAGCAAATCCCAAGGGCAAAGAGATGAGAGAGTGGAAGTCAAGATGCAGGGCATTAGTCAGACAGAGCTTGGGGGACTAATGCAGGATGTTTTCTTCCTTTTTGAGGAGACGGTCGGTTACAATTTGAATTAAGAATGTTGTTGAGAGATTGATATCTGAAAGTCTCGGAGGAAGTAATTTGTCTATTCAGGAGTTTCATCTACGATTGTAGCACAACATGGGGGTTGATGTCGATTGGAGCGTTGCATGCTCTATATCTTTCGTAAAAACATGGCATAGCGCGAGGGGACGAGGAGCGTATTAATATCCAAATCTTTTGGAGAATTTATACCCGTGAACTATCACTGATACTGGGAAAGAAAAAAAAAGTCTATCATACTCCTTTGAGTCAAAGTTATCGATTGGTGTGTAGCTTATCTGGTTGTTCATGACTGTATACACAGCACCAGATATTATGACTCGGTGATCTTTGATATTCTGGACTCAAAATCAATTGTTAAGAATGAATCTTCTTGGAAAAGGATAATTAGAGGTGAAAGCCGAAGATTAGTACTGACTATTATATGATCGACACTTGTCGGGTACTCTTATTGAAGTGTCTGTCTTCCTTGTTAGACCTGTAAGGGCAACTACTATTAAGGTACTCTGATGGATTCTTAGCTCTACAAAGTTTTGGAAACTTACCAATATTCTCCAAATCCATGTAAAGTCCCATATTTCATACTTCCATTTAGCTAGTCTCTCATGAGAAGGCACCCTAATCATCAGAAAAGTCGTCATTATCACTCAAATTCATGATTTCTATCTCAAGTCGAATCCAAGTTCTATCGGATCCTTTCAGTTTTCTTAGATTCTGGGACCTAGAGAGATCCAATCACATCACATAGAGTATCATATTACCCAGGAAACGATCTAGTTGCTCTAGCTTCCAATAGTTATATCTTGGCGTTGAATATCACCACAAAGTAGATAATATACTAACAACATGTTGTACTCAAGATGAGTGCGGTGGTCGAGCTAATGTTGTCACTCGACCAGACTAAAAAAGGCTTAATTTAGGGCTGCATGAACGCATCCGTCAAACCTATAAATACTCTGACAGTCTCCTCTTAATGCATGTCACTGCAGATTATACAATTTCGAAAAAAAGAGCTTCAATTTTTATATTCGTACAACATAAGAACAGCTATCATATTGTCTCAATCACCATATACCGTCTCGATCATCGCATACCGTTTCAATCCTTACCTGCTACTTCGGTCATTCGAAGAATTCATACAATAAATTATTTCTGTATCCCCAACTACATCATCAACTCCCATCACGATGTCTTCACAAACCCGACCACTTCATCTTCTCAAACTCCCCACCGAAATCCGCGATCGAATCTTCAATTACGTTCTCCTCGAGCATCCATAATGGAGCATCATGATGTGCAGCACCTTTGAAGGCAGACTTATACACATGCATTACATCGATCCCAAATCCAAGAAGCTAATCCCCCGCTCCGAAGCCCGACCCCAAGTTCAAGTTCTTCTTATCTGCAAGCAAACCCATAGACAATACAGACAAGTAATTTGGGAGAACCGAAGCTTCTCGTGGGATTGTAGTTCGCAGTTCGTAAAGGCTTTCAGGTTTCCACACAGGGTTTCTGTCGATGCCATCGATAATTTATCGAGTCTGGAGCTTTCCATTTGCTTCACGAGGAACGATCCATACCTTGCAACCTGGTCTCAGGCATGGAACAAACGAAAATATGAGATGGATGCTTTTGGTCGGTATACGAGTACATGGAAAGCTTTGAGACAAGTAAAGCTGCATCTTTTCGGCAATCGTGACGCTCTAAGGTCACGAAGTTTTGTTTATGGTATTCGGTCAAATAGATGTGGCTTCATGTCGCCGGGTAACAAACTTGATTTAATTGATTGTCATAGAGGGTTTGTCATGATTTTAGAATCATTGCATATAGCTGTTAGCAACATTGCGTTCCCTCATAGGATCAGACGAGCGAACGGTCGAGTGGAGAAGCTCACACAGATACTGGATTTGGGCTTAAAGTGGAATGACTATTCCGATAAATACCACAAGAAGAATTGGGCTACACTCACCGCTATCTTGGAAGCCTGCAATGCTGCTTTCGAAGGTGGAGAGATATGGATGGATGGTATTTTGTGCTGGAAAGATAATGTTGAGCAAGTGTGTATGAAGTCAATCGAGGACGTGAGGTTTTGTCAACGAATGATGATCAGTGCTTGATTAGGAGGTTCGGAATTCTATAGACAGTCTAACGTTACCTATTTGTTACTTGCTAATATCAATTCTCTAACGAGATATCCACCAGCGCACGTATGGTTCACACTCCAAATTGCTCATCGGATTCCTTTCGAGTAGGATTTTGAGCCCGACGTGAAGGCGTAAATCACACATCGAAGAATGCACAAGAAGTTAAATGCAAAAAGGAGAAAAAGTCTACAAAAGAGAAGAAGTACAGCGGGAATGTTTTGAAATTGGAACCGGGGGATATATATAGAGTAAGGATATAAGAAAAGATCTAAGAACTTTCATCTTAGGTCCATGACTTGCTAGGAGGAAGAATAGGATTTTATTAGTCTTATAATTGTAGTCATAATGAAGAGAATATAAAAACACAACTTCAATCACATGATAACGAACAACTAATTCGCTCCACCCCTTTATAAAGAACTGGCTCTCATCCGTATCCCCTTCAAAGCAACACCAAACATATGATAAGATATTATAACAATCCGATTATTTTACATCACGTAACAATGTAGGAGTACTGTCGATTGGTGTACTATGAGTCCCTTACGATACTAGAAATCGACATAGACTAGATTGATATGATTTTAGACTAAACATAGAAATAACCATATTTCTAGTTTAACAGATGTGCTAAATCTCAAGCGTTGCTTGGAGACCTCCACTTGAAGAGCGTACAGAAATTGAAAAAGCCACCAATTTGCAAAGCAAACCACAAACAGCTTCAAGCATTTAAGACAAATACAAATCTTGTTGAATCATGAAATTGAGTGACTTCAAGCTCGAATTTACATCAGATACTGTGCTGCACCCTAATAAGTCCACTCAAATCATCACCTTTCTTAATTTCCTTAACATCCATCCCCTTCACTCCCTCAACCCCCAAATCCCAAAGTTCATCCACCACCGCGTCTCTAATACCCGGGAACTTATGATAAAGCATCCCTGACAAATTCTTATTCATTGCTTCTGGATATACCAATGCTAGACGACCAAAACATTTGATTGCTGCTTTACATTTGTCGATTCGAGAACTAAGGGCTTCTTTTGCGACTTGGGCGCACAGAAGTTGATATTGACTAGATCTTAGGAATACATTAGCAAATGGGTAAATCAATCAAGATGATTGGACTACTAACTCAACTGCGACATTCTGATACATAAGTCCCATATCTAGTAAAAGAGCGATAGTCTCTAGTGTACCAACTATCACCTTCTCATTCTTCCGATGATGGAATTTTAGATTTCTGACAAGTGCAGCTCTAATAAATTCTCTATTCGCTAGGGATTCTTCACAGAAATCGATCAGAGCAGCGATGCTAACACGGCGTAGATCTTCTGTTCCTGCGTGAGTTGAAGTTACAAATCCTTCCAATAATTTATCCGTCCACGAAGGAAGCCATTGGAGTTCATTCGTGGTTGTGTTCGTAGATAGGCGATCTAAACTTTGCAGGTCTAGTATAAACCGGAAATGTTCATAAGAAGAAATAGAACTTTGCTCAAACGACAACACCTTGGAACTGAATTACAAATTTGTTAGAAGTAAGAAAGAATATGGGGCAAAAATTCAACGAACCTAGATACAATCGTTGGAAGAATAGCCAAAAGAGCTTTTTTAGCTTCTGTTCGGACTTTATCCAATTTCTCTGTGCAAAGCCGTAGAAGCTTTCCAAATATTGTCGAGAACACTTCCATATTGGTTAGATTTTTTCTCAAATCTGTGGATAGGAAAATAGCAGCAGCTCCTTTGATTGCTTCTAGTCTGACTCGAGAACCAATATCGCCTTGAGCTGGGTCCGTATGATAGTCATCAAGACCATGAGAAACAATATCCCAGAAATGAATAATATGACAACCGAGTGCTTTGCTTTCTCTTGCAAAGTAGGGAAGTAGAGCTAATCGTGTCTTGATATCGTAAATACGTCTGGGGATATTCTCGGTGGAATTCCAGCTCTCATGTATTGTAATAGAAATGGTATTGGTCCAATCATCTCGAGGAATTTCGGACACTTCATTCTTCAGGTCGTTCTTGAATAATGAATATGAGATCAAGAGCATAGAAAAGGTCAATGTACTCTTAGTATTTCCGACTTGAGTAATTCGCTTTAGCATGCGATCGGTCTCGAGACCCCGATAGCTACCAGATGCCCAAAAGAATGATCTACGATGGCAAGCTGATAGAAAAGTCACCAAATCTTCAGACCCAGTATCGATAAAGTTCCCAATAAAGTTTCTAACAAGTGATTGGAAGGCCAAGATGTTACCGTTTGAATCATGGGTATTGGCATCGGTTTGACCATCGGGAGAGTCAAGCACGCCCATGGCATTGCCCAGTATTCCAGAGATTGTTTGATGACCAGAGGCGCTAACCATATGTTCTGCGTAAGGTTCCTCATATTCAAACATAATGACCTTTCTTGTCTTCGAGTTACGTAACCATGAGGATATATCACTATCTGTGGGAGGCGATCCCAGGTTTCCCCCGAGTATTACCGATGTCCCGAATACACGGAAAGAATGGAAAATGACACAAGATAAAGCTTCGGCGATCAACTCAGGACGTCGCCAACCTTGTGGGGTGGTGACATTTGATATATAAGAAGTAAGCATCCTGAGTATTTGGTCCGAATATGCTTGGAAAGAAACATTAAGATCGTCTATTTCGTTAAAATTCGGACATTCAAGAATTGCAGCAGCTATAAAAAGTAGTAGCCCATGTCGCTCATTAACCTGGCGAACAGCAAGGTCATTGAGCTGTTGATCCAATGAACACAGGGTTTCGTAAGAACTTCTATATGTGGTAGAATTGTTGCTGGCATCACTTGGAAAATTTATAAGGCGGAATGCTTCAGCACAATTTCGTCTTGTGACAAGATCGGCGTCACCAACTCCACGCCAGCCTCGGAGTGCTTCAAGAATTGCCTCCCCATAGTGATGCCATGATATTTCATCATCGGTTTTATAGGCCAGTGTAGCAGCTGAAACCGCGACCTCTAATATAGCCCGAGATCGAAGAGCAACAGCATGGTAGTCAATAATTTGCACTAATTCGAGTGCTTCAATGATGGTATTTGGGTGACGACCTATCAATTCTTGAAGTGCCGCAGAAGCTCCTCGGCGAATGTTGCCAGCAGGATCCAGACATGCGGAAACAACGAGATGTGTTGCTAGAGTTTGTATAGTAGAGCTATTATTTGTTCCATGACGAAACCCTTCGGATTTTAGGTCAATGTCTTGTAATTCAGCCGTAGAGTAACGTCGAGCCAAAGCCCACATTCCAAAGCATGCAGCATCTCGTACATTAGTTCCAATAGAGCTACCTGATGTCGACTTTCCCTCAAACGATAAAGCTTTGAGTAGAGAAATAATCACTTTATTGAGCAGCTGAGGAGGTGCTGCATGTCGATATAACAGATGGGATAGTGTCAATATTTGACCATGCCAATTCAAAACATCTGTGGTTGGCAGCGCTTCTAACATTTCGAAAATTGCAAGCACAAATTCATAGGCTTGTTCAGGTTCGACTTTTAAGATAACGACGCTTAATGCTTTACTAGCGGCTAGCCTTACCGGTGTTGACGGGTCCAATAGCGATTGTAACATGAAATCAACAGAGTCACTCAAAGTATCATCTATGGTTGTGAAAGATGGGCGTAAATTGAGCAAAGCAATACCACGGAAAATGTTCACGATAAACTTTCGCGCAACAGCGGAGCTTTGGACTTCTTTGCAAGATCGATCTGAGGATTCCACAAAGTTAAACACTGCGTGAAATACTGGCTCTAAGCTAGAGTCCATATAAGGGGTATCCGTGGATGATTTGAGAACCCCAGAAAGAAAAGACAGAACGCCATTGATGTGATGTATATTCCGATTCGTGTTAATCGAATTCAAAACAGATATTGCCCACATCACCGTAGAATTAAGGAGCCCAAGATCTTGCATGTCCTTAAGGAGAACAACTCTCACTAGTAAGATCTTTGCAGCATCCTTTTCCTTCCCAGAGGATGAGAGATATTTGACAGCTAAAGCGATGGACCGTAAAGCTACGCCCGGAGTGTTGGATGGTAATCTAAAATCTGAAAGATATAACTCGGCACCACTGGGCGGAGGACTAGCCGACAAGGAATGGAGAGCGAAAGGGGCCATGATTAACTGTGAAAGCCACAGCAGATTGATATATCGTTCCTCCCAGCCCCATACTTCTTCTGTTGACTTTTCGCATGCGTCATCATCTATCCATGTACCCTTTTCCATAGCAGAGAGTAACAAATCAAGTAGTCTGACTTCAGTACTTAGGAACTGGACAATAACTTTCTCCCCTCTAACCTTACAAAACGTATAGAGTAATCGACAAATCGCTTTTGATAGAGGCATAAGAAGTTGAGCATGAGTCTCAGACTTCACAGGTGGTTTCGATATGGAGGTAATAAAGGCATCAGCTAGTATGGGTACCAATCGCTGCAGGTGTGGATCGAGAAGTTGAGGAAGCTCTTGGAAATTGTCTAGCTATGTGAAACTTTAGCAGATGTTATGTTGAGAGGTGAAGAATTCATACCAATGCTATCAATCTATCTGTCTCTCTTATGCGAACTCTTCTTCGTAATTGACCCTTATTAGTAACATTATAGAGGAATGGGTGTAGTGATTTTTCGAAATCTTCCAAGAGCTCTCCCGACTCCCTTTGGAGACAAACATCTTTATCATCATCTGCGGCATCCATTATGAGTCTCTCTGGGAGAAGCTATGCGCTGCTTCGGGGTGAGCGTGCGTTTTCCTAGGTATTGGAATGTGTCGGTTTTGAATGATGGAGGTAAATCTTTACCACTGTTCGAAGTGCAATCTGATACTTATTCTTTTTGATTGATCATTAAAGGGATGGTATTGAGCTGCCCGAGATAGGTGCAGTATTATTGTTCATCAATAGTCATTATTCGCAATATCATATGTTTGATATTTGTGAAGATTCGTTTGGAAAGCATCATGTTTTCGAGACGGCCTTGCTCAACTACGACATTGTAAATAAAAAGATTTAGTGGGGTCGCGTTCACGCCAGCGCCAGCGCCAGTGCCAACACCATTGGGAGAAAAGTCTCATCAATCATGTAGCGATGGCTTTTGTTAAGAGAAATTCAATATTAAATAAATCAGTCTTTTTGTTATCTCACAACTTTTCAAGAATCGATAATATCTTCTGGTAAAACATATGTCTTGATTTCAAGGAAATTAAAATATGTTTCTGAATTCTTATTGAATTTAGTATTGTGTACTGTATGTACTATATTTATCATACATGCGACTTTCATATCTGATTTTTATTCAATCATCTAATCTCTATATAGATTGAAACGAAGTCGTTTCCCATAGCCGGTGAACTACTCGTACTGGTTCTCTGGTTATCTAAACAGCAGCTACCTACGGAAACTTACTACACCGAGGTCTTTTGCCGTTTGTAGTCTTCAGTCGTCCTACATCTACCCCACCCCTATCGCTGGTCGTTGCGAAGAGGAACACATATCCAGTAGGTTGTATCTCTAGTTTTTATGCATCATCTCACTTAAAAAGCTAGAGCGTGAAAACTTGAGATCATCAACCAACATCATTCATCATGGCTCACAGATTTCACATCAACACGACACATATCCACATGAAATGGGATAGATCTCTTACTCCCGCTTTAACGGTTGATTCTGGTTCCGAGATATCATTTGATCTACTCGATGGCGGTTCCAATCAAATCACCGACACCTCAGACATCACCGCAGTTCAAAACTTTGATGTCTCAAAGGGCGATCCTGCATTTGGCCCCGTCTACATCAATTCCGCGTCTCCAGGCGATGTTCTAAAAGTCGAATTTCTATCCCTCAGACCAGCTGATTATGGCTGGACAGCCTGTCTACCCGGCTCATTCGAATTTGGTCTTCTAGCCGACGAATATCCAGAAGCGTCTCTCAAGATATGGGATCTTTCAAAGGGAGAAGACTTTGCGGTGTTCAAAGAAGGAATACATGTACCCATTAAACCGTTTTTGGGTGTAGTAGGGGTCGCACGTGGAGAAGAGGGTGAATTTTCGACAATTCCTCCTTATGAAACTGGCGGGAACATCGATTGCAAATATATTACTCAAGGGTCTGTTCTTTACCTTCCAGTCAAAGTTCCAGGCGCTTTATTTAGCTGTGGAGATGGGCACGCTGCGCAGGGAGATGGAGAAGTTTGTGGAACGGCTATTGAGACACCTATGAAAGCTACGATTCGGTTGACAGTTGAAAAAGGCAAACCGTGGGTTCAAAGTCCTCATTTCTTGATCCCCCCTCAGCCAGTCACAGTGGACAAAGGAGAATATGCTGCTCTAGGGATTGATAGTGATCTCAGAGAAGCAAGTAGAAAGGCATTGAGAGGATTGATAGCTTGGTTGGTAGCAGAGAAAGGTCTGGGTAGCCAGGAAGCATATATGCTTAGCAGTGTGGCTGCGAATCTGAAGATTGCGGAGATAGTTGACATGCCAAATTATGCGGTGGCTTGTAGTATACCTTTGAGCATCTTTGTTGGTGCGCCGTACGTTTGAAGTAGGAATGGAGACTTTCGTATTAAGAATATGAGAAGATGTCAATACGGAGTAGTTATTAGCTATTTACTGCCGCTTATCCCGTTAACATTTCCCCACGTACCGAATCTTCCGCCTCTCAACGATTTTCGGACTTCATATCTCATGCATACACCGCACACAGTACAACTGCTAATCCATTTGAGGAGAGATGGCACGCGACTCAATATAACCAATCAAACATCTCCCATCGGTTTAATTTTTGAGTCCTCTCAGATTGATAACAGAACCGCTTAGATTCGGGGCAGGTAACATCTAGATATCGAGTTCAATCGTTCACATGTTTTTCTACGAAGTACACTATCACAAAAGCCTAGGGTTGATGTCGCCCAGACGAATGATACATCTAGGTATACATCTAGGTTTGATCTACCAATCAAATATTCTGGATAGAATGATGTAAACTTGAAAATCTCAAAAACGGCCTCTTCGGGTATGTGGTTAGAGAAAAGTGGAAATGTGCATTATGCATGCACCTTGTATGTACTTTCTGTGCTCTTGGGTAGGTTTTTATTAGTACATCTAGGTTCCTTCACCGTTCTAATATCCCTCCTTGCTTCTGTAAATAACATCCCGCTATGCCAATTATATACGTTGCGAATACCTTCATATCTACATCGAGATACCGATACCATTCCAAATTTCTCGGGTCCTTACTAATTGACAAAGTAGCTCCCCCTCCACAACTTGCCAAGGCCACCTCCGCACCTGAGTTGAGTACTGACATAGCTTCTCGCGTGGTTCCCCTGTCTTGTCATGTCCAACCATTCTCAACCATTAAGAGTTTGCAAAGTACAACAGTGCTTTTCCCATCCCTGTCTCAACCTTAGTTAATCCTGATCCTCGGAACTACACTTGCATGCATGCAAGAATTTTTTATCTGTCACTGGATTCCTTATCATCAACTCATTTGATATCCATTCCACTTTTTTCTGGCTCTTGTCCTCTATATAAGAATAGGTAAATGGATTTCCCTTGTAAATTCATACGTGGGGAATAGATGCGGGAAAAATGTCGTATGATTGTAATGTTATGCTGCATATCGTAAACGTTGTAATGTCAATCTTACTTTTACGAACCCGAGTCGAGAGCAATGTCTCATACTATATACAATTTCATTGTTTACCAGTCGATGTACAAGGACCTCCAGATCTTGTACAACGACAATAAGTCTCAGCTCTAGGCATCACCTTTTGTGTGAATTATAATTGATGTTTTGTATAACAAATGCTTCTTGGTTCAAGCCTCAATGGAGAACTGTACGAGGAGTTAGATCCAATAGTCTAGGGACCTCAAGAGTCACGGCTATTATAGTTGTCAAATTTCACCGACATTTCATTAAAGCTATCCTGGAAGATCATGTAGATCACCATAGCATTCATGCTAGATGACCTCAGGTACGAGAATGATACGTACATCGATATATTTGGAGGATACAGAGTCGTGGAGACACGATAACAGGCCGCATTTTTCTTCAGAGGCTTCATCAATAGTCAGCACTTGGCTGTGTAGTAAAAGTCCAAAGTTTGTATTGCTATCAATGCTAGGTTGGAAGCTTTAGTAACTAGCCGAGGCGCCTCATGGTGAGATAAATATGAAATGATTCGATATACTCCTTCAGGCTCGGTGCCATGCGTCAAACTTTGCTATCAAAATTGTCCATTCATCACTCCATTATCGAGAATGTCACCAGCCAGCACTTTACTGTGCCTCGAGTGTGCCTCATTTCAACATGCCCTCCATATCAATACAAGTATCAAGCGAAAACCAACGACTAACCACCAACCACTTCAATTTTAGACCATAAACTTGATAAACCCTTCAAATTTTAATCCTATCCTGTGGGTCGGTGGCTGAAAGAGTTCTTATCTTTTCACCCGGTAATTCTATTTTGTACCCCCATTCTAAACTGATATGATAATGGATGATAATAAACTCCCCGGGACGGTGAAAATGCCTTGGACCTAACAGCTTTTTGGTGCCTACACTGATGAGTTCCCAAACTGCGGGTTGAATATTTTCTGACCGCGCCACTTGATGATGACGAATTAAATGATGGCTATTCCAATTGAAAGGATTGTGATTATGATGGCAATGATAGTTGAGTAGTTCTAACGGTTTCAAGAGTCTGAATAAGATGTGATTACTGACACGGAAGTCTATCCATCTAATTCTCCTAATCTTCTTGATACGTTCGTGTCAGATGTTCTACTTGATACTATTAATTGCTATACTCTAACCCTTCCAAACTCAAACTCTCCAAATTCTAACTTGTACCTTAACTATTCCTCGATTCCGCATGGCCCCACGTTTATCAAAAGCAAGCTGCAAGCAAGACACAAGAACCATGACCCATTGAGCAATTATCATCCAAAATCACACCAAGCCCTTCAAGAACAACGACTAAATTTCGAGACTTCCTGCTATTTGTTCCATCCAAATAGTCTATCATCGAAAAATTCAGAATATCAGGATAAACTTTCTTGGCTTCAAACATATACACATATCTATACTGAAAAGAGACAACATCTCTGCGGGAAATTCCCATCCAATACCAGCACCATTCATCTAAATTCAGAACCGGCCCCCGAGTCTCCGGAGCATTAATCGAAGGTTCTATCAATCACAAAAATACCCAGCCCTGTGTGTACGACGAGTATGAGAAGGGAATTCAAGGAACCCCATACTAATTGACATATCCTTCACCGTCTCACCCAAATCATCTCACTCACATTAACGCCAATTCCATCCACTTCTGCGAACAACCCTTTTACAATCTTTTCGCTACTTCAATCTTCGAAAATCTTATCACTTCCTTACTTACATGTTCCTCTTACTAGAAATAACCAATTCGAATTCTCACAAACTTAAACCCTACTTATATACGAATATCATCCGTCACATTGAACTATCAATCTCCAGACCTTCCGAATAATCTCCGCTATTATTGCACATTGTATTGCTCAAAAGCTTCCAGATCATCATTGAAACGAGGGATAACTAAAAGGAGAAGAGAGAAAGTACCTCGCGACCATAACCCACAGTCCGACCTTTCCCAAAACCTCCGAAATAGAATACTCGACTTCGAGTCCAATTCCTCTCGTTATTGTCATGCAACGGTCCATGCGCAACAATTATCCATACGATTCGCGACGGAATTTAAGAATTTCCCATTCCCATGGAAATATATGCAATCGAATATCCAACCACATCTTCCATTGAATTGAACACTCGAAAACACCAAAGCTGCGAAACGAAATAGACCCTCGCTCGTCCCCTCCACGGAGGTAGACGGGCGTGGAACTCAATTGCTCCGGTGGTCCCTCGATTTCTAATATATATATCATTCATTATGACCATATATTCCAGTCCACCACCAGCTCGAAGCTTCTACGACGATAAACCCACACTTCTTGTTTGTTGGTGGTGTACGTTATTCTCGGCCGTCATTATATTGTTCAGAGTTTGCGGACGATACATTAGGACGGAGAAACTTTTTAAAGAGGATTGGTTAGCTTTTGCTTGTTTGATCCCATTGTTTTGTCGCATGGGCCTTGTTCATGTTATTTTGTTATTCGGTACCAACAATGCGGTGATTGTGGATTTTGACGAGAGATCGCTGCATAGAAGAGTGATTGGGAGTAGATTGGTTTTGGTATCGAGAGTTTTTTATGCGGCGACGTAGGTTTATTTTTACTTGATCTCAGCTTGCTTGCTTATTTCATTCCCCTCTTTTCTTTTCTTTTCTTTTCTTTTCTCATACCCATTTAAATTCGTTTCAATTACTAACCTACCTATCTACCCATCTCTAGACTCTGGATGCTTAAACTTACAATTAGTGAATTCTTCAAAAGGCTCACAATCAATATCTGGACAAGGTCACACGAAAGAACTTTAATCTTCATCCGATGGTTCCTCCTTGTCACATTTATCGCAGTAATAATAGCAGATATCTCTGAATGTCAACCCATCAATCATTATTGGCAAGTCACACCAGATCCAGGAGCAAAATGTCGTCAAGGATATGCACAACTCCTGACTATGGGGACCGTCAATGTATTGACTGATCTTCTCCTCGTTTTATTTCCCGTTCCTATCATTATCGGTTCCAAAATGAGGATCAAAAGGAAAATTCAATTGGTGTTGTTGTTTGCAGGTTCGTTGATTCCGGCAGGAATCACACTTTACAGAATACCGCAAATTATCGATAGACATGGTATTCAACAATATCGATCATTACTAGCATCAGTTGAGATTCTCTTCGCAACAGCTGTTGCCAATGCGCTTATCCTAGGATCTTTCGTCCGAGACCGAGGTGTTAAGAAACACAAATTTAAATTTGGTTCCTTAACTGACACACTCGATCGGACTACTTCTCGCCGTGGAACCGTAGCTCGGCAATGGGGAAGCGATGAAGATCTCGTCCGAGATCTAGGCCTAGGAGTAGATCCCGAACTCAGAGGGGAAGTTCATTCACCTCCTCGTCCCGCCCCAATGGCTGTAGCTGGGAACATGCCGGTAAGAAGTCATCGATTTGGATCAAATAGTTCGAATGATTGGCGTTTTCCAAGTGATACGAGTGAGGAAATCGATTTTGTTAAACCAGCCCCTTCGAGACATGTCTCTGAAGATTTAACATCAATGATGTCACCACGCCGCGTATCATTTTTCGACGTCGGAGGATTGCTCGATCAAGAATCTCCGAGAAGAATTAGTTCGACGAGAACGATGGATTCGGAATACACTGGTGAATCCAGTACAGCAGGCGAAGGTCCAGTATCCACTACTTGGTCTTACGAAAATGGATTAAGTCCTGCTCCAGCAAGACGCGGTTCTGCAGCCCTTCTGCAAGATATAGGAGGTTTATTGGGACCCCGAACGAGACTCCAAAGAGCGAGTATGGGATATGAGCTGGAAACAATTTTGCAGGAGAGAAATAACGGGCCTACTAGTCATCCGTCGCTCACTCATGCACATTCGATGCCCCCGCCTATCGATCATTTAGGGAGACAGCAGACCAATCTGAGTTTGCAAGATGTTGGGGGGCTTTTGGAGAGGTAATCTTGAGTTCAAACATCTACCCACACATTTATATACATACTTGTCACGGAGAACATCCGCATTTCTTCCATATCATATTATATTTACTGTACCACTACTATGTTTTCTCTTTCAGCCTTTCTCCTTTTCAAGATTTATACCTGAACACTATTTTCTATATTTCTTTTTACTTTGTTTTACTTTGTCTTTTACCTTTACTTTAAACTTTCCTTTGTTTGGTACACATAGCGAACATTATGAGATTATGAAAATTGGGCGGCACATTAGGATCTGGATCCGATTTGAATCTGGATATGGAGTGGATTAGTGATTTAATCCGCAGGTTTGGATTGAATATAAGGCGTTACGGAGTATAACTTATACCACAGCTGGTTGTGTTGTCATGTTTTTGGTTTATAATCCTGCGTGGGGAGGTCTTTTGTTGCTGCGGATGGATTGTAAATGAAAGATGGAGATGGCGATATGGACTCGGAGACGAGGGAGCTGTTTTGAATTAACGATTCACGGATGTGGACGGGTTGAGTGAGAGAATATCATACATATGCATACCAGCGTCTTATTCGGTTGAACATCTTTTGGTTTTCATCTTCGAGAGATAAGATGGCACGTCGTATTATCATATCATCGAACCACACATGATAAGGCGGTATGCGAGCTGAAGAGTGAAGAGAATAGTTGAATAATAATAATGACTTCAAATCCAACCATCTTTGGGGAGGGGACGAGGTCACGATATTCGTTAATCCCTTCGTGATCGAATGAACATACCATATTGTTTCATTTCCTACAATAGCGTAGTTTTTTTAACTCCCCGAAACTTTCACTGCTGCCTTGAAGTAGGTCTGCAAAATCTTCATCGCTCCAAGCGACATTCAGATACCATCCCCTTCAATTCCACCAAAAACTCACACTAAAACTCGCACTCAATCCTCTTACATAATGCCACCATCCAACCGGAATATACAACACTTCTCCTTCTTCTAACACACAATCCCAATATTTTGCACTCTTCGCCTCTGGAAATTTCTTCCTCTCGTCCTCTTGCTCTTCGACAGTACCATCCCATCTCTCCAAGACCCCAATATCCACCTCACTCGTATTACTCATATCTACCCCCCCATCTTCTATACCTCTCGCGTATAATTTTGATGTTTCTCTAGGTGGATAAAGACGCAAATATTTCTTTCCTACGACTTGCGCTAGGATATTATGATACGGATCAGTATGCAGCGGACTAATTGTACCGGCTGGTCCAAACCACGCGTTTATGAGCGGCTCTTCCAATTCTTCCATTTGTGCATATTTTTCTTTCAGCGCGGGAGAACATGATGAATGAGGTTGTGGTGGATAAACATAACAATAATCCGGTATCGTTATATCATTTCGCAGAGATGGGATTTGGGAGAATAGATTGTGTTGTGCTAGATAGCCTGTTTCTTTTGCTTCTCCGTCGTTGGTGGAGCGTAACATGTATTTGGTCATGAAATCTTTGAATGGGACAATCTTTTGTCCCCATCCGGAATCAACATAACTTCTACCTACTTCTATGGGGACTAAGCGTCGACCGCCAATGGTTTTGGATAGTAAGTATGAGGGACTAGACCATGGTTTCTTGTTACGTGCAGGCCATGAATCGATTGATCCAGTTATGATGAGAGGTTCGGCTCCGAGTGTGCAATCCTGCGGTTGATGCAAATGCTTTGAGAATTTGTCCATGTTTCCGTCATCGTCATCGTTATCGTTATCGTTATCGTTATCGTTATCGTTATCGTTATCGTTATCGTTATCGTTATTGATTTCGTTGGAAGTTACTCGAGAAATGGGATTTGACAAAGAAGGTGATGTGATCGAAATCGATGGAAAGCGATCTTGATTTGAAGATGTGGATCTTGAGGGTGATTCACTGCACGAAATTTTCTGACGTTTCGTGGGTGATTGCGTGGATCTATTATCGTCTATCATTTCTTCATGAATCTTTTGTAAAAGATCCATCGCACAATCAATTGCCAATCGCAGTATTTCTGATGCTGGAGCTCCGACCATGATCAATGCCATATCCATTGTCTCAACCATTTGGTCGATTACACGATCATCTATGACATCGCAATCTGAATCTTCGTCCTTCTTCTCATCCTGAGATAAGGATTTCCTAGAGGCAAGAGCAGAGAACTTCAGCAAACTTGCCTCGAGAAACAATGCCCTCCAACATTCTGGTACATCCTTGAATGGGAATGCATAGAATTTCTCCTTAGCTAGAGCGAGTAAATCATCAAGCCTTTGGAGAGTCAATTTCTGATTACCTGTTTGAGTACGAATCAAGGTACTCAGATGAGCGAGTAATTTCCCAATGGAGCGACCACATGGCGCAAGAAGTTTTGATGTATTATCTGATGATTCTGATGATACTCCAATGATTGATGGATCCTTTGTCCGAGATGGTGAACAGAAGGTTTGAAGACACAAATCAATCAAAATTTGTTTATTGGAAACTTGCATGTTTTCGGTATCCATTGAGGTTTCACCACAAAGCTCTTTTGATGGATTATTGTTGTTTGATCTCTGAACCTTTTGGTAGACAGAATATTCGCAATTAGCGGGCTACTAAGCTCCTGCTTGCTTGTTTCCTTCTCTCCAATACTTTAAGCGGTTCAAAGAGATCTTGTCAATGATGGTAGATAGGGACGTCACTCCAAACTTCGCCTATAAAATTGTTATTAGTCAAGAATTCATCAATTTGAGACCACTCCATACTTTAAAGGACGCTTTATTGTGTGGAACTTCGGCTTTCCATATACCCATGCCTTCTGGATCGGAGTTGATTTGCATTTTGATCTGAAAGCTTGTTGGGAAAAGAGAAGACTTAAAAAGCCAACAAGAGGATGACATGGTAGAAAGAGAAACTATATACCCACAGTGAAAAAAGATAGGAAAAAATGGCGTGAATTATGATGAAGTGTGACGAAGGGGAGAAGACTTCGAGTTGAATGGCAACAGCACCATTCCCGAATTTGCAGTCACTATAGAGACTTAAAAGGAAAACCGAAAGAGAAGAAGATCCCTGCCGTGCCTCCGGACAGGAGTTTAAAGAAAGAGAACACCTTTTTGGTTCTTCAAATGTTTTATCACTAGATTCAATGTAGAAGCTCACCGCGTCGTCGGTATCCTCTCAAAAAGTAACAAGAAATCGCCTGTTCACGTGAGACAAATCTAACGTGATTAGTCATCGCGGAAATCTTCCGGGCGCATCTTGGTACCTCGGAGGTTGTACGTACGATACAGCCTCAAGTGTAACCTAAGCGAAAGGATACTCAATAGCTTTAACACGACGACTCCAAAGTTCTTGAAAATTGCACACCATTTGTTTGACTAGACCTATTCATTTTATGAAATATACTATTCGATATCGAGAAAAAACAGAGCCATCAAATGAGCTACATTATCTGATATATCTCACGAAAGGTATGATAGTTACCCGAGCTCTACGTAAGCGAAAAAACAGGCGGAAATTGAGTACCTTTCAAAGGACTTTTTTAATAGATTATAAATTCATTTCAAATTAAATATTGAAATTTGAAAAAAGCAAACGAAAATTTGAGTCTTCCTTGTATTGATTTTGAGTGGTTTTATTATTTAATATTATATCGAAAAGAGATCTTAGTTGTTGAAGGTCTTTCGAATGGTGGTCAATTTCCGCGTGTTTTTTTGCTTACGTAGAGCCGAGCATCGACCGCAAATCCCCCTAATGTAATTCGCTACCGAGCGGCCTACGAAGCTCAACAAGATAAGATACCGGTACCGCCGGTACCTATCTACAGCACCTACCCAAGTAAATAAGCTTACCACCCCACAAATACCCCTCATTTACGTCCTGTATTGTACACAGTCATCTTCAAAAATGCATGTACGTACGAGTAAGTCTGAAAGAGATCAGACCTCAACCAACCAGCTGGCGTCAATTAACATAGTCGTTACTTCCGCATGATTATCATAGGCTCGGAGATTGTATAAAACAGGGCGTGTGGTTGTACACTTGTTATAAGCCTCTCAACACCTATTTATTAAGAAGCTCCGGACTTCCCTTTATTACAATTGCCACTTCTGCTGACTATCACTTCACTTATAACATAACATTATCTGGTTCCAATTCTCACACTTTACCCTCAATTCAATATTCAGCAATCCGTATTCTCACAATCCCAATTTCAAAATGACTCCCCCTTCAGCAACAACCCCATCCGAACCCCTCAATACCGGCGCCGCCATCCCCACAACATCTGACTCTACCCTCTCAACCCAAACCCACGAGCCTGGTCTTTCAAGAGAGCAAGCCCAAGCTCGTACCAAAAGTATGAAAGTGCCATTACGAACACCACTTGAAGATAAATATGCAGAGCGGGAATATCAAAAGGGGAGATTGGCATTGGCTTTTAGGATTTTTGCCAAATTGGGGTATGATGAGGGAGTTGCGGGACATATTACTTTGAGGGTGAGTGGGATTTTTCTCTGTCTTTTGGGCGGGGGAGGATGGATGGATGTCGACGTTTGCGGGTGAGGGGTACTGACATATGATTGGAAGTTGTGGATAGGATTTGGATATGTAAATGAAAGAAAATCGAGTACAATATGCTAATGAGAATAGGATCCCGTTGAACCAACTAGTTTTTGGGTCAACCCGTTTGGAGTAGCATGGCCACTTCTCCGAGCATCCGATTTAATCCTCGTCAACAAAGACGGGGACGTAGTTGACGGCGGTCCATGTCGATTATTAAATACAGCTGGTACATATCCCTCTCCCTCCCCTCCTCGAAATTCCACACTAACATCCCCTCCTCAAGCCTATATGATACACCACGCCGTGCACATGGCGCGCCCTGAGATCAACGCGGTAGCCCATTCACATTCTCTCTACGGCCGCGCCTTCTGTTCCCTCGGCCGTCCTCTCGAAACTATCACCCAAGATGCCTGTTCTTTCCACAACGATCTCGCACTCTACTCATCTTTCCGCGGAGTCGTCCTCGCATCCGAAGAAGGCCACGCTATCGCCTCCGCTCTCGGCAATAAAAAAGCCGCATTACTTCAAAACCACGGTTTACTCACTTGCGGAGAAACAATCGAAAGCGCAGTCTTCTGGTTTATGAGTTTGGAAAAATGTTGCCATGCGCAGTTACTAGCTGATGCGGCAGCAGGGGGAAGGGGAGGAGAAACAATTAAAATCCAGGAGGAAGACGCGGCGTATACTTATAAGACGGTGGGAACTGAGAGAGCGGGTTATTTTAGTGCAAAGCCAGCTTTTGATATGATGGAACATGAAAGTGGTACGGATTATAAGTGGTAGTGTGGGTGTAATGGAGGGGGTTACGGATACCTATTCTTTTTTACTTTTGCATATTTTTATGAACTGGGAATGGTATTATTGCTTTCGCTAAATGTTCTTCTCATGGGGGCGAGCCCCCCAAACCTCCATTGCTCGCTTCGCTCGGAGGTCTCTTACTAATTCAATGCCAGTCGGTCTCCATGACAATGGCTCCCAGAGGGCCAGCGGAGCGTCATTTTAAAGAGTAAGAAAAGTTTCAAACTTTATACTGTTTACAATTCTACATCCATTTCCTGTAGCCACTTATCTATGAACCATCTATACTTCTCTCACCCCCTGAAATCTCAAATTATCTTGGCCAAATCTCAAATCCCAACTCTCAAATCTTAAACCCACCATTCTGCAATCTCCGCCAAGTACCGTCCGGATCATAAGCTTCCTGTACTTTTCTCAACCGTGACAGATTCTCCTCTCCATATCCTGCGAACACATCCTGACTTGCATCTGCGTAGTTGGGGTAAATGTATTTATGCAGGATACCCAATTCTTTAGCGAACAGGGTGAGTTGGGAGATGAGGTTGTGGGTGGATTGTTGCATTAGAGGCGTGTAGGATTCGGAGGCCTGGGAAGACCACCATATATTTATGTTGAATACTGTGCGGGGAGATTAGTTGGTTGGGGGAGGAATGAAGGAAGCAAGATGCCAATTATTGTATATTGTGAAGGAGGGGAAAAGGAAGAAAACGAACCAATGAGCGTCCCATCATTTCCAGATAATCCATTTGGACTCTGACTCCCATCTGAATGAACGGAAGGAACTAGCGGTTGTATGGCAAAACTCGGGAGAAAACCAGGGACATGTTTTATAGTTTCTACTTGCTCGAAGAAGAGATTGAGGATTTTCTGGGAGAGCTCTGGATGAGGGTAGAGAGTCATGGTTGCCCAGATAGTTCTAGAGTTCAGAGTAAGTTACAATGAACATGTGCTTCGGGGTATGATTGCCTAGTCTCGTATTTTGAGAGGTATCACAAAAGGAGATCAACTCACCGGTCACCCCAATAATCCATACTCGTCAACTCCTTCGCCAATTCTCCCATACTAGCATTCCGATTCGTGCTGTAGGCCCCCAATTTCCTTACTCCTTCAAATGCCACAGGATTAGCCACACCATTTGAATTCGTTAGACAAGTATTTCCAACGAATAAATCGTATTGGGCGAGGTAACCGATGCAAGCGTAGAACTGGCTTGAGGTGTCGGAAGTTTGGTTTGTGATAAGGTCTTGGATGGTGTTTAGGAAGGTGGTGGTGGAAGTGCAGTAGGAGAGGAGACAAGCAGTTTTGAGGAAAAGGTTGGTGAGGGGAATGGTTAGAGATTGTAAGGAGAAAGGGAGGGAGGGACGGGGAGGAATAGAGAGAGTATTGCGTTGGGTTGAAATGTCGGAGAAGAGGTAATCTGTTTAGTGTCAGTAGAACTTTGAGGTTCTAGGAAGATATAGAAGTATCGGGGAATGACATTGTAGCAAAGAGAACAAGGACAAGAGAAAAAGAAAATTGATATCAAAAGACATAGAATAATATCAAAAAGCACGTTTGTACTCACAATTTTGGCCTCCCCATGCAGGACCCTGCGGATAAGTCTGTAGATCAAATCTCGTGACGATACCAAAGTTATTTCCTCCTCCTCGTAACGCCCAGTACAGATCTGGATTATCATGCGCGTTCGCATTTGCTATTGTTCCATTGGAAAGGACAATCTAAGGAGACATTAGTCTGGTATCTATCATGATGTAATGAAATAAGCAAACCTCGAAATTTCGAACATTGTCAGAACCCCATCCATATCTTTGAGATAGGAACGATATTCCACCTTTCATAAAAAAAACTTAGCATCTCATCTCCAGTATCAAGTTTACTCTATTTCTACTTCACTTACCACCCAAAAGGAATCCTCCCACTCCCACCGTCGAATCCCTTCCCCCAACGACCATCAATCCCCTCGGCTCCACTACCTCATAAACTTCCCCCCATCTGCATCCCGTTCCTACTTTTACAATCTCCTCATCCTCCGAAATTTCAATCTCCTTCATCTCCACCAAATCAATAGTAATACCGCCCTCCACATTAGAAAATCCCTGATTCATGTTGTGTCCCCCACTTTTAATAGCAAAATGACAGTCAGACTCTCGGATGATTTTCATAGCGGATGATACTTCAGAAGGAGAATGAGGCCGTATCATACAGGCTGGCGTAACGGATGCTTGTTGGAAAGAGTAGTAGGTGGATGTGAAGTCTGGGGGAATGGATCCATAGTAGGTTTCCTGAAGGGTTTGTTGGAGAGCTATGCACTACCGAGTTCCGTGTTAGTTAGGAGGGATATTATAAATTTGGACGATGTGAGGGCTCATTGTATTACCGTTTGATGGCAGCTATCGTCCTCGAGAGAATCTCCATACGTAATTGGCTGTTGTTCACTCAAATCAGGCGAAGACGCGATAACGTAGGTAAAGGCATAGCTTAACAAAAAACATAGTAAAGGGGAAAACATCATTCTCGCCTCGCAATAGACGTTGATGATGAATTTCGATTGTGAGAATTTCTACCTCATTTTCATATTACATCTTGTAAAACTTTTTATATATTATTAATTTTCGTTACAGCATTTCTGTTACCGGATCTCCCGGGGTCATCTCCACTCGGAAATGATATACAGAGAATCTGACCAACTGTTGTCTTTTGTCATCGGCTACTTGCATTCACTTCAGTCCAAATTGGCCGACTTATTATTATGGATAATGTTGTGATGATGATTGCAGCTGAATGGATCAAATGAATGTCAGTAAATACATACAAGAGCTCGTTTCATGAGTCGGTGAATCTGTGCATCTGTAATCAGTGCATTAGGAATCTCCACCGTTATACCACCCTAGGTAGTTATGACGATGGATCTTGATATCAAGGGTCTGAGGTTCAACAGTCAACCCCAGATTCTTAAGACATTTTCACCACAATTCACTTCCCCAACGACAACATCTCTCCACATTTTGTATCCCAGATATAAACATCTCTTCATTTGATAGATTGATATCTTGACTCCAATATAATTAATGATCCTGATCCTGAGCTTGAGCTTGATCCGTTGAAGTCGTGTTGAATAGAAAAAATGTTCAATGAGGGGCTTTGGATAAGATAAGAGCCAACAAATCCAAGGAACTCGAAGGATTCCAAGAATGGCGAAGGAATTGATGATCTCATGGGAATTTTGTGGATGCTAAGGTTGTCTATGGTATGCTATGGGGTGAGATGAGGGGCTTGACAGGTCTGACAAGACCCTTTCGACAAGACCCTTTATCTTCTCTTCTTTTTTCTTTTTATATTTATTTATATTCACATCTATCTATTTGCTCAAAACAACATCAATAGCTTCTTGTCGAATGCTGTCTACAAGAACACACACCATCTACAACTCTACGAATATGTGCATAGAACACGATCTTTTATGATACCTTTGACCATCAGCAATATCCGCAAATCCCGATAAATACTTTCCCAATTATGACGAATCTCGAACCATCTCATTCGGCTCCTACAAGTTCAATCAAACTTACCCAACGACATGATCGATCGACTTTGAGTGTTGTGGCACAGAAAGCAATCAAGACCTTCTCCGAAACAATCCTCAAAACACATCCTCCCTTTCCATCCGGATCTCCTCAATTAACCCCTCACCATTCAGTCAAGAAACATTGTCGAATCACCGAACATCATATCGCAGATACATATATCTACACCTTCTCATCCCTCTCCACCCCGCCACCGTCTCCATCCACCGAGCAGAAACCCCCCGTGGTTCTCGATAAATTATATTATTTCGCAGGTGGAGGATTCAGAAGTGGCGCTCTGAAAGAACATTGGACTCTCTGCGCTGAACTATCCAAGAAGCTTCCCGAATACGAAATCAACATCGTTAGTTATCCTTTGGCGCCCAGCTCCCCAGCTGCCCAATCATTGCCGCTTTTGAGAAAATTCTATGATGCTCTGGCGGAACAGGCAAAGAGGGAGGGATATAGAATTACATTGATGGGGGATTCGGCTGGGGGAAATATTGCGTTGGTTCTGGGACTTTATGGAGCGACTTGTTGGTTACGGGATGCTGGGTTAGAAGGAGCTGGGAATGTATGTCCATTAAGAAATATAATGGTCATGTCACCACCCACCGACATGCGAAACACAAATCCGGGAATCGACGCAATAGATTCTCACGATCCCATCCTTTCGCGAGCCATCATCACCGAGGTAGCAGAAAGATGGCGTCAGGATATACCAGCAGAAGATCCAACGGTTTCGCCTCTTCTGGCCGATTTAAGCGTGTTTAAAAAGGCAGATGTACAAGTAGATGGAGTGGTAGGTTTATATGATTGTTTGGCTCCCGACTCAGTGGAGTTTAGAAAGAAATTAGAGACGGAAGGAGTAAGAGGGGAGTGGTTAGAATGGGATAAGCAGATGCATTGTTTTCCATTGACATTTTCATATAAGATATCCGAGGGAGTGTTTGGGAAGGATTGGATTATAGATGTTTTGAGGCGCAATTTGGAGCAATCGATAGAGAAATAGATTAATCTTAATCTTGTGTTGAATATAGTACTGTGTACGATGTAGCTTTGAATCTACCCGGAGATGTGTAAGGCTATGGGCGTATGAAGGAAAGAGGTTAAAGCAAGTGCTCCTCTTTGAAAGTGTATTGAGCTATACGTTTTTTTTTTTTGCCGGGCTAGCACCCAAAATTGTACGAATTCCATGGTGCGAGTGAGATTCTCATGGCGTAAAATTTTCTTTCATTTCCAAAAATTCTTCTATCAATACAATTCCCCGTAAATGTATAACAGAAAAAACGTCGACCAGGTCGAATATTCTTGAAAATAGCCTCCTCGTCTTCTATGCTTTACCATTCCCCTCACCATTTTCATCATTGCAAACGAAAGACCGCTGCACCATTCTCTAATCCACTATTGAGTCACTAAAACCATCTCTGGCTACTTCAGTTCCTCTAGACTTCATTGCAAACCAGCTTCTTCGTCTTCCTCTCTCACTTCACCCTTTTTGTCTTCCTCAATCCAATTTTTGCCCTCTCATACGATGCCATCTATTTCTCTTTTGATTTCGTTCTTCTAAAATACTCATTCGAATTTTAGAACACTCCTCTTTCCCCCTTTCTCTTATACTCTTCCCATACACTCATCACATCCTTATCAGTTTCTATCTTGCTCTTCCGGTTTTCAATCATTGCTTTTCTCTCACCCGTTACGATGCCTGAATATTGGAAAAATGTCAATGACGATAACGATGTTGAAAAAAGAAAATCCACAACATCATCCCATAATTGGGAATCCAATGAGATAAACCAACACATAGACAAATGGAAAGAAAAAAGAATCAAACATGCAAAGAAGGAGGAAACACACCAGTTTTTTCTACAATCTTGACATGCTCCGAAGCTTCGGAAACCACAAGTTTTAGTTCGTCGGGTACGATTATGTCGTGATAATATGCCGCTTCCCAAGCTGGTTCTGGTGTAGCCTTGGATGTGTCTAAGTTTTGGGATGGTTAACTTCTTCTTCGCCTTGGGATGTATACTATATTGGATGGGAACGAGACGGTATCCAATGGTCTCCGAATTGCGTCCGAAGGATGAGGAAATTAGGAAAGATGAAAGAGGCATGTTGAATATAGCAAGTGAGAAGTGAGAAGTGAGAAGTGAGAAAAGACATACCAGGTGGACCAATGAACTCAAAGCATCCATCCCATTCTCCAGCTTCGATTTTTTTTCTGTATTACAGCGATGAGATTGTTGGGATTGGAATCTGGAGGCGCGGATGATGACATTGACAGAGGGCCGTGAATCTGCAGGTAGAAGGATCTTGATTAGAATACATAGAAAAAGGAATAATAGAAGTTTCTTTGAGGTCTAGCTCTTAATTGAGAAATTTGCAGATCTAGTTCTTGGATTTCATAAATTACATCTCACAGGAGGATGGGATGATAGATGTAAGTTCCGGGAATCAAGCATTTACAGAGGGCATGGCGAGATAGTAGTAGAGAAACTTCACATACCTGTACATAGCTCTCCACGGCCGCATCTAGAAAATAAGGCAAAACAACTTGTGCGTGTTCTGTCACCCAGTGCTTGAGAATGCTTCTTTTGACATTGCGGGGTTGCGTTTTAGGAGGGCGAGGAAAGATCGCGGCTTTCCAGGTTGGTTTAGAGTTGGGAGAAGGGGAAAACATTTTGATTTTGGGATGGATGATTGGATGGATGTCATGAAGTGGGCGAGAAGATAGCGATAAACAGCTTTGAATTATTATACAGATGGAACTCAAATGATTATATACGGGATTGAGCATCGAACGGATGCACTCGAATAACAACCCGAACCATTGGTGGACATCCGAGAGACACTATAAAATCGAACCAAGTATCTAGCATATCTTAAGTGTACCTACATCTAAGGAAAATGATGTAATATAACTAGACTCGATTATAAACCAATTACTTGAGATTGATTACAGATACTGGGCACCTTTCCTAATATGTAGCTTTGAGCTTTTTTCAATCGTCAATGGTGTGTATGGAGTTTAGCACGATTCGATATAAGGATATTCATGGAGATCTGCAATCCGAGTCTCTGAGAGATGAGGAAACCTCGGAATGATCTATGTCCTGGATATTCTAGATATTTGATGGATTTTTCGGTGTTTGTTCTGCTATATGTTTGCTTGTATGGTAGGGTGAATACTCTGAGGGCAGAGGATGGCCCAAATGGGATACAGATGCTCAATACTGGTTGTATTGATACAATGGTAAAATGGTAAAGGATCCAAGAGAGAATATTGACGAATAGCACTAAGCAAATTGGAATTAACCATCCTTATGTCCTCGAATAATTAAGAATGTAGTTCGTATGCACATGGTTTGCTAGGTGTATAGTGCATTGTAATGAATAATTAAGTTGTGTGCTGACTTCTTGACACCCGGAACGCATTGTAGACTAGCAGTAGGTCTCAGCACTACGAATTATGTGGAAGTGAATTAAAGAGCACGTTTTGGGGTAGAGATAATGAGTTTAGGAGGGTGATTGAAGATGTGATTCGAACGTAGTGGATCATAAATAGTAAATGATTTCTTTTCTGAAATGAACTTTGGTTGGGAAGTGTGGATGTTGTATATGTGGTTATGGGATGAGATGGAAACGATAGCATTATGCGGATATAGATTGTCACTCGTAATACTAAAAATAAGTTGTTTAAGACGAGATACGATGGACTAAAGTATCAACTCAGCTCCGGTGGCAGTGAAAACGTATGAGGAATTGTATTTGTATTATCAGAAGCCATAAGTTACATAATAGACCATACCATGAATGGCAGACCAAATAACTAACCTATCTGATCCATAATGGTGAAAATGAAGTTGTTGAAGTAAAATGGCATACTCCAAGGTAAAACCATACCAGCCATCCTTACCAGCTCCACGATCTAGAGAAACTTTTCATCCCCATTGCCAACAACCATGGCAAGAACCACTTTTCATAAGAGGAGAAACTTTTGAACAAAAAGATCAGAGAAAGAAACTCATCCCTTAATACATCTTATCAAGTCCCTCCATCTTACCATCAGCACGCCAATTCTCCAACAACTTTCCCCACGCACTAGCACCCTGTCCGTAAACAGCAGTTTGTCCACTAACCTCTGGATGTTTGCCAACCATTCCTTCACCATTGAAAAAACCTGGTGTGCATTGGGTGAAATATTGCAACATAGGTGCACTTCCCTGCAAGATATCGTTGACCCATTGACCCTCGGCTTCCTTACTAGCTTCAACAGCCTTGATATCCTTCTTCTTGCATTCGGAGATGATATAGGCGGTATGCATTGACTGATTAGTGAGTGTATACATGAAGTTTGCAGAAACACCAGATTGGGTTGTGCCGAAGAAGAAATAGTTTGGGAAACCGTGGGTTTGGAATCCATGGAAGGTGGAAGGACCCTTCTTCCACTTGTCATCGAGGATGAGACCATCGCGACCGGTGACAGTGATACCTGAGCGGCGTTGATAAGCGGTTGTAACCTCGAAACCGGTAGAATAGATGAGAACGTCAACAGGATATTCGACACCGTCTACGATAACACCAGTTTGGGAGACACGGTCAACACCCTTTCCATTTGTATCGACGAGTTGAACATTCTTGCGGTTGAAGAGAGAGAGGTATTCATCGTGAAAGCAAGGACGCTTGCACATGGATGAATACCATGGCTTAAGCTTCTCGGCAGTCTCCTTATCCTCAACTAGTTCATCGACACGAGCTCGAATACGCTCCATGAGTTGGAAGTCTGCCATCATCATCATCTGACCCAATTTAGCTTGATCAGTACAAGCATCTGCCTTGCCCAAAATAGACGTAGCAGGGTTGAGAGTCCAACCATCGTTAACAAGATCTTCCTTTTGACGACAATTGGAGATCCGATCATTGAAGTTCTCCATCCGATCTTGTTGCCATCCAGGCTTGAGACTTTGACAGAAGTTTGGTGGAGTAGGCTTGTTATTTCGAACATTGATTGTGGATGGTGTTCTCTGAAAGGCGTAGACGTGCTTTGAGGCTTTAGCGAGATGAGGAAGCATTTGGACTGCAGTTGCACCAGTGCCAATGACACCAACACGCTTATCAGCCAACTTGCTAAGATTACCGTTGACATCACCGCCAGTAACGCCATAATCCCATCTAGATGTATGAAAGATTTTCCTGCAAAAAGCTCCATGCCTTCAAGGCCTGGAAGCTTGATCTTGTGGAGGATACCTGTAGCAGTAATAGCGAACTTGGAAGTGAAATGATCGCCACGGTTGGTCTCGGTCTTCCAAGAAAGAATGTCCTCATCCCAAGTCATTGATTTTGCTTCGGTTTGAAAAATTGTCTTTTCCTTAAGATTGTAACGTGTGACGAGCATCTCAATGTGCTTATGGATTTCGGTAGTGCGAGCATACTTCTCAGTTGGAACGTAACCAAGCTCTTCGAGCAAAGGAAGGTAAATGTAGGATTCAATGTCACATTGAGCACCTGCAAATTGACAATTAGTAAACATCAACAAGTTATGGAGGTGAGGTAATTGAAATGTTAGTTCATGGGGATAAAACGAACCTGGATACTGGTTCCAATACCAAGTTCCACCATAACCGCCACCCTTTTCAAGAATGCGGAAATTGGCTACGCCCTTTTGGGAAAGGCGGGCAGCAGCCAACAAACCACCATAACCACCACCAATAATCAGTACCTCAGCAGAATCGATGATTGGTTCACGTGGGACAATCTCGTCAATGAGGGCATCATCTTGGAATCGAGCAAAGTTGCCAGTGGGTTCCTTGTACTGAGTGAGTCCATCCTCACGAATACGCTTCTCTCGCTCGAGAATGTACTTTTGTGCAAGAGCTTGAGGATCAAATGGGGAGGAAGATTCAGGAAGGACTGCGATAGTTGCAGACATCTTGGAGGATGACAGTACAAACTAAACTTGCAAAAAGAGAAGTGATTGTACTGATTTTGAAGTAGCTTGATACTTTTTTGAGAGAACAGGATTGTATAAAGGTTTGTTTGAATGTATGAAAAAGAGGTTTAAGTTGATGAGGTAGTTCGAGAGCTGTATTGTTTGTGGGAGGAAAATATTATCCGAAGATAGGACCGAGAGGGACTTTTATATCTAACCAACAAGGACGATGACGATATCGGAGTAAACAAAAGGAACTTTACTCTCGACACACCTTTGTCCAGGCAGCCTTTTTAGCCCATTATGTGTTCATCCGTTCTCAATAAGGTAGCTATCAATGGTGAATGTCATCACAACTCACCTTTGAGATACTTCAACCACGCATTCACTGTTTCACCATAAGAGTAGTCCTTACTATATTCGATTGATTTAGTACTCATAGTGGTTACAGATCGTCTAGTCTTGCGGAGAATTTTGTTGGAAGAACAAAGTCACATCCAGCGTTTCGTGTATGGATAGCTTCGAATCATCGATTCCAGAATACAACTCAAGGGGTAAGAACGCCACCGACGGGAGGTTTAGACTTTGAGATCTGAGACAGGAATTTAGGAAGAATGTTCCTTGCTCCCGCCGACACTTGTACAAATCGATTCATCTTATATTGGGAATCGAAAGGCTCGTTAGAGTTGAAGAAGATGGTATCACAGGAACGGGCCACAGCATCACTACCGCTCCAATGTCTCATCCCAACCGTGAAATTTTCCCGATGTGAGTGACGAAAGTACAGATGGAAGCATAACTGGAGCTTAAACCCCGCTTGGGATCAGACCATACGCCACTTGTGACAGATACCAAGTGAAAGTAGCCGTTAGATATACCCCACTATGTCAAACGTCAAAGATGTATGCGGACAGGAACAGATGTATATGATCAGGTTGATATTGATATGAGAATAGATAATGGGAATCAATAGAACTTTGTACATGAATTGATCATTAATATGCACCATAATATTATACATGCCTCTATCCGTAAGTACTTCATCCGTCAAGAAGACCGATGGTCCATTCAGTAATCTTCTCAACGCCATGTCCGTTAATCGCACTGATGGGGATGGCCTCTACTTTTCCTTTCCATGGATTATTCTGCCTTGAAGGATGCTCTTCGTTTCCCGCTGCGACTTCCCTCAAGTACGACTTCAACTGTTGAAAGTTGTCCTGAGTACCAGGCAAATCTGCTTTGCTAGCAACGACAAACCAAGGTTTATTGGAAATTGACGGGAGGTTAGGTGCGAGGGGGTTCTCGAAGGTAGATCCACTGTTCACCACGATTGTTTCGGATCGATTTGCCACTGCATCTTCGACAGAGGTGAAGGGAGTCCATTCGACAACTGGATTGGCCTTCTCTTTCTCCTCTTCAATCTTCATCCGTTCATATTCAGCAAGCTCTCTCCATAGGCCTTTCAAAGCTTCAACAGCATTGCCTCTCCCAAGATCCACAACAAACGCGAGAACTCGAGCTCGTTCAACATGTCGAAGGAAACTTATACCAAGACCTCGATCCAAATGGGCATCTTCGACCAAGCCAGGAATATCTGCAATGGTAAAATTTGTTCTTGGTTCTCCAGTTTCGTAATGTGATTGAGCCAAAGGTCTTCCCTTATTGTCATCAATAATTACAGTACCAATATTCGGCTCCAATGTGGTGAACTCCCAGTCTCCGACTCTTGTTCGGCTGTTGCTCATAGCTCGTAGTAAAGTGCTCTTTCCAGCGTTAGGAAGTCCCACGAGCCCAACATCGGCGAGAAGTTTAAGTTCGAGCTCCAAGGTAATTCGTAATCCAGAGTCACCCTTGGTTGCGAATTTTGGTCTTGGTACTTGTTTTGTGACAAAATGTGGGTTTCCCAAACCTCCTACAGCACCTGCGGCCAAGAGCAATGGTCGTTCCATAGGCATGGAAAGATCCAAGGAAATGGGACCCTTCACTTGTGCGGCAGCTAAATTTGACTTCCTTGCTTTTGGTAATGAAGGGAATTCGGCAGTAGCGATCTCTTCAGGTGTAATAGCTGGGTATAGTAACCATCTTTCTCGATCCCATTTATAAGGTCCATCTAAATCATGCCCATCCAATTTGCCTGCCTCCATCTTTATTCTATCCTCCTCAATGGCTGCAGGATCATGTCGATCTAGCTCTCGTACAATAGTACCTACAGGAACTTCAATGATAATATCAGTGCCCCTCTCTCCACCTTTCGTTTTCCCTTGACCATTTTTTCCCCTGCCAGCTTTTAAATTCCTTCTTCTTGCAAGTTTATGTAGACTTGTTTCTCCCCGCACAGCTTGTATATAAATGTTTCCACCGGTACCCCCATCACCTCCATTCGCAGGTCCTGCAGCTATGTACTTCTCTCGCAGAAAAGAAATACATCCATGTCCACCAGCACCTGCATACACATCTATTTTTGCTTTATCCGCAAATATTGTTCGAGAATAATCAGAGGGAGGAGGATTCAGTCGATCGAATTCTTCGGCCGGGGATTCGGCGGCGAGTTCTTCAGATAAGGTACTTTGTCTTCGGACTGCGTTGATGTATATTCGAGGATTTCGGTGGATCAACCTAGATGTCTTCGAAAATAGGAATGGGTACAGAAATGGTGTCAACGTGCCTTGCACAGTCGAACAACGTGGAGGCATAACGAACGATGTCAATTACTGGGTTGCAGATATATGTATGCAGCTGTGCAAGCTGGAGATCTTTTTTGATATTGCGATGCAAATATTGAAATTTTCGGTCACCGTAACACCAACTTACCGGTAAATATTTCTGACTTCCCGATATCTATTGAGGAAGCGTGAAACGAGTGAATGTTCAGAAAATACATACTGGTAGGTAGGTACTTTAATCTTTGAGCCCCTTTAATTCGATCTCGGTAGTATTCGGACTATTCATATGATTTCGTTTGACATCGTCTGATGATATATATCTTCATATTAACCATTCTTGACGTACGGTACCTCGGAAACATAATATACCTCTAACATACCGGTACAAACACACGATTGTACAATCTAAGAATTTAAGCTTCATTCTTCCTCTTATCCCCCACCTTCGATTTCCCCTCTCTCGACGCAATTCTGCGGTTCTGCGAACAAGCGGTGAGTGCTCTGCCTGTAGAGTGTACTTCGTAGATGTGACTTCCAGCAGCCCTCCATCTTTTTACCAACCACCCAATTTTTGATCTGCGCCCAAAAGCCTTAGTTGTGAGGGAAGGAATGAAAAAGACTTGGGTTGCATGTATGCAGCCAAATCATATAGTCATCTTCTATTGGCTATGCTACGAATTCAAGATAGCCTCATAATCTTTCTGGTCCAGAACCTCCGAAGTCCCAAAGCAAAACAACAGTATCAATATTCACGTTAATGCTTACCTTATCTAGCTACATTCAGGTTCTTCCTTTCCTGTCCACGGGTACCCATTTTCGAGGCATTATCTATTACCTATATACAAAGTAGTTGTAGTTGATGACATTGGCAATCGGATATCTCGTCATGATTCATGACCAACAACCCATGCATTTCGCCTCTGGTTCTCTAACCACGAGATGCAAGTCACCTCAAAGCATTCGAGCCACGACAACTTGCACACTCCGCTGAAATATTAACACTTGGAACACTTACTGACCTACGGATATGCTTATTCGAAGGACACTTACTATATATGATCCAACCTACTACTAATCAGGATGATTTACCTTACATCCTTTTCCCGGAGTTGCTATGGGGTTGGTATGTAATCAAGCAAATGTAGTCAAATCATCAAATCAATGCCTTACTTTATCTTGGGTATTGAAGGGTTGAAGGTATCCTCTCGCCTGAGTCGCCTCTCGCGTATGATCCACATATGCCACTCTGCGTTGGTAGTTTCTGGGGGCGTCGATTGTGTGAAGTGGTACAAGTTAATCTTTTTCCAGGTAGATGGTAGGTGATCAGGTAGTAAAAGGGCAAACGGTGATTCTTTGTGTAAGTGGTGATATGTGGAATAAGTGGTATTATGTTTGTTATGCTCGGTATGTCGTAGACCTAAATCAGTATCAGGTATACATACGGTTTCATACGAAGGAATCAGGTAGCTAGATAGCAAATTAGTTCTCTTTTTCATATCCTTCTTCATGGTCTTCATGCACCTCACGATTCTCACCCAAAATGTTCCCCACCCAAAAAAATCGAAACCACACGCACGACCACAACCATCAACCGACACGCCGAACTTGCAGACAAGCTTGCACATCACTCTAATAACGACATCTCACTTTTTTCCCTTTCTCATTCTCCTCCTGCTCCTCCGTTTCCTCTTCCTCACTCGCCCTTCCCGTTTAGCATCTTTTTGTTGTCAAATCTCGGTAAAGTCTCTCGTCGTCTGAATTCTAAATTCTAAAAAGAACTCCCGTTCTCTCATGCCAACTACCCGTCTCTTCCTGTCCCATCATATCTAATCAAAACCACCTTTCCTATCTCCCGTCCGTCACTCAGTACATACATACATACATACAACATACCTTACCCTTTCCCCGTCCGTACACATCTACTACCTGATCTTACGATTTCACGATAGCAGAAGTGTTAAGCGTGGGGACTCTCTTTTTGTTTTGGTTTCCTTAACACCTCATATTCTTACTATTCTAATCTTTTCATTTTGAATGGTGCAGAAATTTGCGTAGCGTGATCTTTCTACCGTGGAAATCTGCAGTTCCGGAGCCAGCAAGCAAGCATAGCATAATATAGTATCGTTTCAGATCGTACACTACGATCCGGACTCGCTGCATCAAATTGAAGAGGGGAGCTTTAGAGGCGAATACACTTACAAAGGTTAGTTTAACTTTGAGATCACTTCAATTGATTCGAATATCATTTTCCCTACATTTACCCCACACGAACTGCACTGCAAAGCAAGCCAGCGAGCCAGAGGATACGATATTTGGATAGGTATCCCCATTCCCCCAAGATCTCGACTTCCGTCTTGTCAGTCAAGCGACCTATACCTATTACAATACCTACATACATATACACATACATACAGTAGGATACAGCACTGTTCGTCCCCATATTCTTAACCCATCATATACCATGGGATCATCTTCCCCCCTCCATCCTTTCAATTGCCTCCCATTTCTCTGATACCAAACATTTACTCTTCTTTCTTTCTTCATCCCTACACAGATACCCTCTTCTCTTTGAGCCTCAATCCCCCCTCACTCTTCTGTCTCTCTCACTTATCTTCACTTGAACATTGGTTCCTTTATTTGTCTATTGTCCCTCACCCAAACCAGATGATATCCCTTCATAATGTTAATCAAGAACGCCAGAAACAACAAAAACCTCAAGATCATGGATCCCGATTGCGCCATATGTTCTCAGCCAGCTATCGCAAAATGCGAGTGCGAAGCGAATGGCCTTACCGTCGCTGTGAGGCAGGCTGAACAGAGAATGATGACCAGTGTTTATAACGATATAAGGTACCGTCTCTTGTCTCCTTTACATCTCGTTCATCATCTCACACCCCTCTGGTTCATGCCCTGCATCATTGTCATCCCACAACATCCATATGGATCAATTGTTCACCTCCAGTTCACCCATTAACTCATCCTCCAAATAGAACATGGGTCCGTGGCCACGCACAAGATTACATCCTCTCCTACTTCAGTGTCCTCACCACTCGCCGTAAAGACGAACATGCCGCCCAAATTCACCGCATAACCGAACGAGCAGCCTACTACTACAACGCACGTCCGCACCCATCTGAAATTGCAGCAGCCGATTCAGAACTCAAACGCGGCATTGACGAAGATTGGCGCGCAAGCGTACAACGCTACCCGGAAGTCCTCGAGTATTTCTTCAGTTTAGTTGAATTAACTTTACCCAGCGATGAAGAACCTGGTGTTCGTGACCCACCTTTATCAGCATTGGGTGGTGGTGGTGGAAGGAAAGTCAGATTAAGTGAGCCTGGTCCACCAAGAGGGTCAACACCTGCTGTATCAGATGGAGGAGAAGAAAGGGAGAGAGATAGGAGGAGAGAACAGAGGAGGATTGGCACGCCAGCTAATGACAGAGAAAGACATGTCGAGAGACAGAGAAGAGATAGTATGAGGGCTGAAGGAAGAAATAGACCGATGACTGCACCGCCGCCACCAGGAGGTCCACATATGGCGCCTGCACATAATCCACATAGAAACTCGAGGGCTGCTCCACAATATGCTCCTACGCCAGGATATGCATATGTTGCCCCTTATTGAGATTGATGATGATGATTAGTTCTCAAAGGGAGGAGAAAACAAAATTGAAGAAAGAACAGATGACTTCAGCTGTGCGTGTATGATAACCACAATTCCATGGGTAGGGATTAATGATACCAGGCACAGCTGAAGTTATCGAGGCCAAAAGTCAGGCCTAGCTAGCATAGCCACTCTGGCATCATCTCCTGGTTTCAAGCGGATGATCATCATGGATTCCTGGATTTTAGTCGAAAGTTTATCTCAACGTCTTATTATCCTCAGGTTATCAAGTCTACTTATCTCATTTGTACATACCATCTCACGATTTCGGAATATACTCTGTTGGATATCACATTACACCTCAATACAATTATATCATTTTATCTCATCACCCATCAGACTATACATCTCATCTCAACTCATCTCATCACGATTTCACACTTCTCACAATCATTACGACTACAACATAACATGACACGACACGTCTCTACGAACCTTTCATGGAATTTACGACGAAAAGATTGGTACGGGTCTGGCTTTTCTGCTTTGGTGCATTCATTTCTATCTAGTTGCAGCAAATTATCTATCTATCTCCTTCTAGGCAAGGCATTATATCTTATCTATCTATCCAGCATATTAGCGTCAGTCATGGTTATGTTATCCGTCTGCTTTTGGACCTTGGTGGGATAAGGTGGATCTTTGTCGGTTTTTTGGTGGTTTGCATTTCATATGCATTTCGTATTGGCTTGATGGACTGATATTTTTATGGATTCGGGAGGAAGCTTGTGGGATTGGATTAGTTTGTGCATTCGTTCATTCCTTCGTACTTGTACATATTATCAATGATGAAAAATTGTCAAAAGTAAATTGTACTGGCTGGCATAATGGGATTCTGGTGCTTGTACTCATGTATCGTCCAATCGCCAAATCACTTCCGAATTCTTCACAGAGAAGAAACACCTCCAGCTCACGCACGAACGCATCACGGAATAACCACGTCACAGATGGCGACTCTTCAATACTACTCTCATAGGTGACAAATATCAGTATAGTATAGAGTAGATACACCATTCTTAGCTCTATTCTTTCTGCTCCATTCATTTCTACCACCGTTCTCCATTCATCAATGATGTAAGATCTTACTTTCCATCCAAGATCCACTTCTCCGGATCGCCTCCACAGGTTTGTCTATCACTCCGCAGCGCTAATATATATGAAACAGCTTGGGGAACACATCATCATTATTTATTTCTTAGTATTTTTACTTTTCGACAGGTAGGTAGGTAGGGGGGGGGGGGGGGAAGCGTGGGCCCGTGGGGTTCTATGCTGCGCTGCAGGAAGCAGGAAGCATGAATGATATCGTGTACATTGTACTATGCCATCAGGTTTGATAAGTTCATCTCTTCTGTCGGCTTTGTGTCAGAGTGTTTAGGGGTTTGAGATTCTTGTTCCTAGCAACTCTTCAAGCTAACTTGCCTACTAGGTATCTACCTACCTATAAACAATTCTAAAACATGGAAAATGAGATATAAAATCTTACCATACTACCTAGAGCAGATAAAACACATTGTTAATTTCTCATCTACATAATATGATTTGATTTCTCCGTCCATATATTTGTAGCTCCTATTCCATTCCATATTCCTTGCCATACTTTGTGGACTAAGTATTTGTTGATCTATATCAAGTTTTCTATAGCAGATGAACTCTTAATTCTTCCATGTGTTCTCCCTCCTCTCTAATTTCTATTTCCTGTCTATTCTTTCTCCTCAAGCACTTCTCACGCACTGTTTGAGTCTCGCTCTATGACACCACATATAAAACTTAAGACCCAAAGATATCGCTTCACCCAACTCTTCGAATCGGATCAACTACCATCAAACACAAGCTTTCATATTAATCAAGCACACATCTACATCCATATCCGCAGTGATTCCATCTATCCATCCATCCGTTCCTTCCATACTCTTCCATTCCAGATTCCTTCACGGCCCCATCTCCCAATCTCCTCATGCTGTTATGCTCTCAAATGTTTTCGGTCTTATATAATCATCCAACCATTCAACCATCTATCATACACACCAAAATACCAAAATAACAAGACAAAATACATAGTACACTTCTCTCTATCTATCTCACATTCTTCACATCTCCATGTCTCAATCTTATTCTCATCCTCTTACCCTTTCTCTCTGATCCCCACTTCCTTCCCACTTCCTACTTCCCCTCCTACTCCCCCCTCCTCCCCCTCCCTTCTTCACCCCTCCACAACATCTTCTGCTCCGTATAAGGTTATTCTGTTCTGCAACGAAGTTCAACTCCCTGTTTGAATCCAAATTTATCAGGTGACATTTACAGCAAAAGAAGGGAAGAAAGAATGAAAGAAAGAAAACCAAGAGAGAGCAGAATGATAATATTGTATTGTGTAGCACGATATAGTATAGTGTTTGTATATATATGTATATATTTTATATAACTCCATTTTGTTCTATTCTGTTCTCTTCTATTCTCTCTCATGATTCTTTATCAAATCGTCTCGTCTCGTAGAAGTTAATGTTGGAGTTGGAGTATGTAAATATAGAAATACATTTAGATATAAATTAGACATTAAATTGAATGAGAAACAAACAACAAGAAATCAGAGCAAAGAATTACGTAAGCAAGGTAATGAGGAAAAAGATTAAAATATTGATGTAACGAATTTTACTTTTGTTTCGTATCAACAACTTCCGTCTATCCTTAACCATCCGTCCACTAGTTCATCCATGCATTAGGCCATCAAATTCATTAGATCAGACCTGTGTATGTTTCCTTGCCCCCTCCCAACTATACACTTCCTCCAACTCCCAACCACCAACTCTCAACCCCTTGCCACCCCTCACACATTTAAGTGCAGTGATATAAGACAATAACTTATTTGTAGGTAATCTAAGAAGTTTCCTCAGCATCCTCCTTAGCGGCAGCAGTTGCATCAGCAGCTGCATCCTTTTCACCCTCCTTGATCAATTCGACTTCGTTAGCTACAGATCCACCCTCATCTGCACCAGCAGTAGCCTTAGTTTCACCGTGTCCATGTCCATTAGTAGCTGGGGTTTCTGAAGCTGGAGTTGCAGCTCCTGATTCTTCGGCTTCAAGTTTCTCAACTTCCTTTTGGGCTTTCTCGATGTTCTATTGCAATTGTTAATTTATTGTAAAGTATTTCGTGAAAGGAAACTTACACGCTTAGTTTGAGCAGCTTGGTCCTCTTTCCAGTGAGCCAACTTGGCCTTGACTTTCTCGGTGACAGCTGGAACATCAGCAGCGCTGAAAGGTGGGTCAATTCCCATCTTAGTGAGATCCTCCATAACAGCTGGTGGGCAACTGTATTTTGTTGAAGCAGGAGTAGAAGTAGCTGCAGCATTTCTCTTGTTACCCTTCTTTCCCTTCTTGCCTCCAGTTCCCTTCATGAAATCTTCCTCACGGTCTTCCTTCTTCAAGACTCTAGTTCCCTTGAGTCCAGAATCATCCACAGTACGTCCAGCGGCGGCTTCAAGTCCAGAAGGAGCTTGTAAAGGTGCCTTGGTTGTGGTGTAAGTTGGATCGAGATATCGGAGAACTGATTCGGCGTTTCTAATTTCGTCAAGGTAGGCAGGGTCACTGGCCTCTGCGAGCATCTTCTGAGCGCGTTCCTTCTTTGCCTCAGTTTGTTTCTTCTCCCACTCAAGCTTTGATCTCTCGCGAGCCTTTTGACGTTGGTTGTAATCGTAGTTGCTAGCAGCTCGAACGGCTTGGTAGTGATCATCCTTGATCTGTCTCAAAGCGAGCCATTTCTCTTGTTGCTCAGCTTGGAGTCTATCCTTCTCGGCCTTGAGGGCACCAAAGTTCTTGAAAGCATCATCTTGCTCGGCCTTCAAGATATCCAATTCACCTTGAAGCTTCGAGTATTTCTCGGATAATGCCTTGCTTTCTGGATCGTCGAGGGAGTCTTGGAGATTCTTCCTCTTGGCCTTTAATGCTTCAATTGACTTTTCGGTATCATCGAATCCAGCGAATCCCTTACGTTGCTTGCGAAGGTTGGAGATTTCGGTAAGAGTCTTGCGCTCATCAACGATCTTCATGGTGGCAGCATCAACTTGCTTTTGTAATCTGTCGATTTCTCTGTCCAGTTCATCGACATTCTTGAATCCGACCTTTCCCTTGGCAACCTTCTGTTCGTTAACCTTGGCTTTGATTTGTTCATCAATCTTCTTGATTTGATCAAAAACTTGTAAACGACCAGCCTTTCCAGCACCTTGTTGTTCCTTGATTTCCTTCAATTGACTGATTAGATCATTTCTTCGTTTGGCAGCTGGAGAGTCCTTGTTCTTGTTTGGTTGCGCAACGTCCAATTTTGCTTTTGCGGCAGCCTGCATGAACTCATGTTAGATATTTTGTAATGAACAATGCAATGCAGTATGCCGATGCGCCAAACGAAACAATGTAGGGTTTTTACTTACAGCCTTTTCTTGACTCTGCTTGTGATCCTTCTCGGCTTGAGCTAACTTTGCCTTGAATGCAGCCTCATCTGGCTTGACTGGTCTGGTTTGAACATCTTTCTTGGCTCCCTCATCGACCTTGGTCGCAGGAGGAGAGGATTTGGTATCAGCCATATTTTTTTTGGTGGGATTATGACAAGCTACTGGAAGTGTAATGAACAAGTAAATGCTCAATTAACTCGACACCAAAAGAAAAGAAGAATATGTCACTTTGGGGAAAAGGACACAGTTTTATATCTGTACTTATAGAAAATAAGTATGAATATAAGAAAAAGGTAGAGGTTATTCCGGTAGACAGTTTATAAGTTAGTTTGACAAGGTTAAGGGAAAGATTTATATTAGTAAATTATTCTTTTTTTAAGTTGTGGGATGACAGGTAAGCTTTTAATTGGCTCTCGGGGTTCTATTGGCTGTATTAGCTGTATTGGCTGTATTATTGATTGTGCCGGTAGTATTGAATTAACAACTTTGAATTCAGATTGGGGGAATGATTAGTCAGGAATGAGTATTGACTTCGGAGTCGATTCTGTCCAGCTCCTCCGGATAAGCATAAGAGCAATTGAGGACAGTACGGTGACCTTGAAGGTCATAGTTGTCTGGTTGTCTGGTTGTCTTTTATTGTCTCATTGATGTCCACTGGTCTTAGAGCTTGTCTACCAGGCAAGGCTAATAAATTGAGGATCTATACCTACTGGGTAAGTAGACAGTCAAATGGGTCTAGTTGAGGAGAACAGATGCCGGAAGAAGAAGAGCCCATTTAGAAGTTCAACTACCAAGTACCTTAGAGAATCACCCAGAGAAATCACATAACTCATTCCATAAGCAAATATGAATCAACCTGTGTCCAACAAAAGTTGAAAGTTCAGTCGAGACAGTACAGTTACAATACGTTACAATATGGTACAGACCTTGGGACGTCTTTATAGTCTGTATACCTACCCGACAGTCTAACAAGCCACTCGGCAAGTCGCTGCAACCCAGCCTCAATCAGCCTCAAGAATCATGTGACTTCCCCATACATTTGCAGTTCACGTCTGCTTGAACTTTTTTTGAGCCACTAGCGTCAAAATATTTACAAAGGGCCCTTGACTGAATCTGAATCCATCAACAAGTCAATCTACAATCAACTTCCCACAATCCTCTTCTCGTCTCATTCCAGAATCTCTTGTAGGACGAGATTCTTCTTCTTTGCGCGATTATCTTGGAATCTTGCAATTTAATCTTCCTTCCTTCTTCTACCTACTACCTAAATCTTCAAAATGGCTGACGACGAGGATCGCGCGCAAAAGCAACGGGATGGAATTGATAGAGAGGCCGCAAAGCTATGGAGATGTTATAGAACTGTACACGAGATGGTTCAGGATCGGGGTTACCTTCTCGCTGAAGAGGAAGTCAACATGAGCTTTGATACATTCAAGAGCAAGTTCACCAGTAATGATGGAAGTGTTGAGTATGCGCCCTTTTATTTCTCATCTCAGTAAACTTTCTCGACACATACTGGCTTTTCTATCTCCGTCTGGCATGGCATACCTTCTCTAATCTTATGGACTAACAATTCACCTCCTTAGTCGTCGCCAAATGAACTTCTCCGCAACCCCAAGTGAAGCTATGATTGCCAAATACGCAGTTGCGCCCACCGCAGAGAACCCAAACCCAACTACCTCTGAAATTGGTACTATCTGGATTGAGTTTCTCATGGTAACTGATGTTTCCATTGGAATCAAACAAATGCGAACATTCGCCCAGCATCTTTCTCAGCACAACTTCTCGGCTGGAATTCTTATCGCACCTGTTGCACCATCAGGTCCCGCTCAAAAGATTATTCCCGCTGTCGCATCCGAGACCAGAATCGAGACTTTCGTCGAGCAAGATTTACTTGTCAATATTACACATCATGAATTGGTTCCCAAGCATGTATTATTGAGTAGAGAAGAGAGGGCCAAGCTGTTGTCAAGATATAGATTGAAGGATACTCAACTTCCACGTATTCAAGCTGCCGATCCAGTCGCGAAATATTTGGGATTGAGAAGAGGGCAGGTCGTTAAGATTATCAGAAAGTCGGAAACTGCTGGTCGTTATGCCAGTTACAGATTGTGCGTTTAATGGAGCTGGACAGATGATTTGGTGTTAATAACTAGGGAGTTTATTGGGAAAATTGCATATTTGGGGAAGGCGTAATAGGACGGAAGAAAGACTGAGGATGAGATTGTCGATTTTGGCTTTCCAGGAGGCAGTACCTTTAGACACGAAATTTGATATCAAATTTCTTTTTCTGTATATTTCTGATAGTTTTAGAGCTTTGCAATAAGATCTATACTACAGTTTTAAGAATTTAGGCTCACTCTCTGACAAGCTTATAAAAAGTTCCTTTCTAGTCATTCCCGAGCTAGCCTAAGGGCTGATTATCAATATCATCTCTGTTATAGGTTATCTGGAGAAGCGGGATACAAACATCCTGAAACTTTCAACCTCATCGAGACTTCCCTGCTCCCACTCTCATCTTCTACTCTCCATGATTCACCAGTCTGCAAATTGTTCACCACTGATTTCCGCTTTAGTCACATACCAAGTGTCTTCCTCACCTCTGTCCAGGTTATGACTCTTCTTAATGCCATGTCAAATTAAATTATCGATCATATATGGACGCTAATCTTCTAGTTCACCAACATCACTTTCCCCTCTTTTCTTCCTTCTTTGGCTCTCTCTGTGGGATGTGATATAGTTTTGAAAAGTGTTGAAAATATGATTTGATAGGAGTATCCATATTTGCTTTGTATTTGAATGGATTTCTTGTTATGTTGTTCATGTAAGTGTTGCCATGCTGAGTGATTCTACCATGGTTTAATTGTTGTCATGATATAGTCTTGATTTTGGACTCTCTTGTTCAGGATGAGATGAATGGACTATATGAATTTCTCAGTAATTAGATGAAGCCAAACATGTGAATGTCAGATGAAGAACTCTTTTGAATATGAGTTTGATTGCAAGGGAGCCTCAAATGTCATGGCGAGTATCTATCTATCTACTCACCTTCTAACTAGGTAACTAATTATTAACTTTACTACTAGATCACCAAGGAGTTGATGTGAATAAATATCCATGTATATGATTGGTTTGTCACTAGGGGTGATCTCGGATGTTCGGATTATCAATTGTTCCGGCTGACCTTCAGCATTTAATTTTTATCATTATTTGCGACTGAAAGACATAGCTTGATTTTGCGCAAATTCAATATTTTCCATAAATCCATTTTTCAATCAACCTAATTAATTGAAAATGGGTCAACGTGGAAAGGTAAGCTTTCAACTCCCACTTTTCAATTGATACAATCAAAATATCTAATGTTTAACAGGGAGGTCGTGGCGGCAGAGGAGGACGAGGTGGTAGAAATGGCGGAAGATCAAGAGACAATCAAGTCGACACTCGATGCAGCTTTGAGAAAGTTCCAAAATCCAACGAGAAATTCGAGAGATATTATAATGAACTTTTGAATTTGGAAGAGGCAGAGAAAGAGGAGTTCTGGGGAGCGTTGAAGAGAGAATTACCAAATAGTTTTCGATTTGCGGGGTCAAAAGGGTATGTTAATCAATTATTTGAATATGAAATTAGTATGCTTGACCTGGTACACTTTTCTAACAACTTATAGTCATGCAATTGCGGTTCAAAAACAATTGAAAGAACGATACATTCCTGAAATTTCGGAAATCAAGCAATTCGATGGTAGTCCGGTTGAACCTCCAATGCCAGTTCCATGGTATCCCGATGAACTCGCATGGTCGATGAAGACTTCGAAAACTGTCATCCGAAAATCTCCTCCCTTTGCCAAATTCCAGAAATTCTTGGTTTCAGAAACCAGCGTCGGAAATATCAGTAGACAGGAGATTGTCAGTATGATTCCACCTTTGGTTATGGACTTGAACCCTGGAATGACAGTCTTGGATATGTGTGCTGCGCCAGGAAGTAAGGCGGCTCAATTGTTGGAAATGGTACATCATGGAGAGGAAACCAGAGTTCAAGCAGTCTTGAAAGGAGACGGAAGCGCAGACGCAGAATTGGAGCTCGATCCAAGTGATGATGGAAGAGCTACAGGTTTATTGATCGCCAACGATGCCGACTACAAAAGAAGTCACATGTTGATTCATCAACTTAAACGACTTTCATCCCCCAATCTCATCGTCACTAATCATGATGCTACTATGTTTCCATCAATCAAGCTTCCACCTACGCCAGAAAACCCAGCGACCAACCGATACCTCAAATTCGATCGAATTTTGGCCGATGTGCCTTGCTCTGGAGATGGTACAACTAGAAAGAATGTCAATTTGTGGAAGGATTGGAATCCAGGTAACGCACTTGGACTTTATGTTACACAAGTTCGCATTTTGGTTAGAGCTCTTCAAATGCTCAAGGTTGGTGGACGTGTTGTCTACTCTACTTGTAGTATGAATCCTATTGAAAACGAGGCAGTCGTTGCTTCCGCTATTGAAAGATGCGGTGGACCTGAGAAGGTTAAATTGGTATCTAGCGATGATCAATTACCTTTACTCAAGAGAAGACCAGGTTTGAAGACTTGGACCGTCATGGATAAGAAAGGTCGTGTTTGGAAATCCTGGGCTGAATTACAAAAGTTCATTGCAGAAAATGGTCAAGATGACTGGACTGGTAGATTGGTTGAGGGAATGTTTCCACCAACGGATGAATCCATGTCAAGTGTTCCTTTGGATCAATGCATGCGTGTTTACGCGCATTTGCAAGATACTGGTGGTTTCTTCATCACAATTTTGGAGAAACAAGCAGAGTTCAAGGCAAAGCCAGAATCGGAAAACAAAAAAATCGCACCAAAACCTCCCATCACAGCAATTGTTGATGAGATCGAGTCTGCTCCTGCTCCAAAGGATGGTGAGACTGTCGCACCAAAAATTGAGGCAGCTGATGGACTTACTCACCCTACCACATCCACTCTCGACGAACTTACACCTGTAGCACGTCAAAACCAAGAACAACCTGGATCTGATGCAACAAACACCGTTGGTTCTAAGCGTCCTGCCTCGGAGATCGAAGACATTGAAATGGATGCCGCTATTGAGAACAAAAAATTAAAGACGGAAGATACCGAAATCCATGCACCCACTGAGGGTCGTACAGAACATTACCCACCACCGCCAGGTGCAGAGCTGGGCCTCACAACTCGTCCAGGCGATCAACGAGCCGATGCTCCACCAAAGAAGCTTCTCAATAAGTATGGTCAAAATCAAGCATTTGAAGAGGCATTCAAATACATTCCCGGTGACCAATCTCAAGTTCAAGATATTGAATCGTTCTACAAATTGAGTGAGAAGTTCCCAAGAGATAGATTCTTGGTTAGAAATGCAACTGGTGAACCAGCCAAGACTATTTACTACACAACTGCGTTGATTAGAGATATCTTAAGCGAGAACGAAGGCAAGGGAATAAAGTTCATCCATGCTGGTGTCAAGATGTTCATGAAACAAGATGTACAAGGTGAAGGTGTTTGCAGATGGCGTATTCAATCTGAAGGTATGCCAATTCTTCAAGGGTATGTCGGAGAGGGAAGAGTTGTCAATTTGTCTAAGAAAGAGACTCTTCGTACACTCTTGATTGAGATGTTCCCTAAAGTATCAGGCGATTCGTGGAAGGAACTCGGAGAGATTGGAGAAAGAGTAAGAGATATCGGAATGGGATGTTGTGTTTTGAGAATTGAGCCAGGTGAAGGTGAAGATGCTTTCACCGAGAGAATGGTCCTTCCTTTGTGGAGAAGTATGCATTCGCTTAATTTGATGTTGGCAAAGGAGGATAGAAGTGCTATGTTATTGAGAATTTTCAATGACACCACACCTTTGGTTAATAATTCAGTGGGAGCTCAAAGGGAAGCGGAACTTAAGAAGGAAGGAGAAAATAAGACGGACGTAGCTCCAGGATTCAAGGTTGAGAATGGAGAGATCAAGGTTGATGTTGATGGTGGATTAGAGGGTGCGGCTGCCACAGAAGTAAAGAAAGGAGATCAGAGAGATGGAGATGTACAAATTCGAGAGGGACCTTATGATACCTTGGTTGCGGGTGTAGAGCAAGTAGTTAATAGAGGTGTGGATGTTAAAGCCGAAAAGATTGAGAAGGGTGAAGAGACTGGTGGACCGGAAGTACAATTGGGTGGTATGGGTGGAATTGAAGGACAGGAAGGTGGGGTCGCGTAGCTTTTGAGGGGAAGAATCCAAAATGAGTAGATTGATTTATCGATCGATGGCCGATGGGGTGGGTTTGGGATGGATGTAAAATGGCGTTATTAGTTTCACATGACGTGTTTATTCACGAGTCTGGGAAAAGGAACTGTTCTGGAATCTTTTAAATAGATAAATTGAATTAAATTGCACATTACGATTTTTTTTTGCATTGAGTAATGTCACATCTCTGTGGCAATTTTCCAAACTTCAATGAGATGCCTCGACAGCTGGTTTGGTATTCTATGCATATATCGCATTGCGTATGGCCGGCAAAGATAGTGGACACTGGACATAGGGAGCGAAGGGTTCACGGGTGCCTATCTGCAATTTCATTGGTCTTGGCAGCTGAGTATTATTATTCGTATTAGCATTATGTGGTACGTGGTATGTGGTATGTAGGTAGCGGGAATTGTGAAATCTGGGGTCGGTAAGATTGGAGCGGGGGCGGGGGCGTAGGAGTGAGCTTTGAAGATTTTGGCGGGCTTTTATTTTTCCAAGTACAGAGAGAGATTAGGTACTCTGATTTAAGTATATAGTTATGTTTTGGAATGAGAAGTATGGTTGGTGAGTATGGTTGGTAGGGAGAGGGGGAAGGAGGGCATTGTGTGTTGAACTTTGAAAATTTGAAGATTTGGATTTTTTGGTATGCAGATGGAAATGGAAATGAAGTGAAATGACATTAATCGGACTGGATTGAATCGGATTGAATTGAAAGTTCTTCTGCGTGTGTGTACCTCTGATAGACCGGGGAAACTTTAGATTGATACATGAGAATGAGAGATTATATATACATACATACATACATACATACATACATTCTGATAAAGCTGTAAGCTATAAGCTGCTACTACCTACCTACCTTCGAAAACAAGACAAATACCTATTCATAGCTACCTTAAAAGTCGGCACGCCGCCATCCGTTGTGGAGATTTCGAGGAGTAACTTACTAGGTAGGATTTTTTGTGCGATATAACGATGGCGTACCGCCTGTACGAGGGTTGAATGTTTTTGGCATCCTTTTGAGGAGGGGGAGGGGATGTTTTGAGATATTAGGAGATTGAGTGGGTGCTTGATGAGGATGAGGATATATAGTTCTTTGTGATTATCATGAGGTGATTCGGGAAGATTTGTTCAATATACTTTTTTTCTCATTCATTCTTCATTCATTTTTTTTTTAGTTCTACTCTTACCTACTCTCGAGTCTCGAGAGTAAAATCTGTTAAAAATGCTCTCTCAACTCCAACTCAAGTCTCTCATCACATTCCCTATTTTTCTTCTTCCGTCCTGGCCATTCCCGTTCTGGAGGGAAAAGGCCACATCTGCCTGCACCTGTACGTGTACCTTCTCTTTCCCTCTCGCGACCTCTCCCATACACACCCCAAACACCATCTTCCCATTCATCCCCAACGCTCAACTAACCCCCCCTAGGAAGGCACCGGAACCTGTCAACCCACCTCAACCTGCACCAGCAACGGCTTCCACATCTCCGGCTACTGTCCCGGCCCCGCATCCACACAATGCTGCATCTTCCAAAAACCTGTCAGCCCTCTACCGGCGCAGGGGATCTCTGTCTCAATACCGCTGATGGTTGTGATGGCGGATCATTCATCGCGGGTTTCTGTCCCGGAAATAGCGCGGTACAATGTTGTGTGAAGAAGAGCGATACGAGCGATAAAGAAGATGCGGAGAAGGGGAGTGCGAGTGGGAAAGATGTGGTGCAGGCGGCGGTTGCAAAGGAGGGGGTAAAGTATGTTTTTGGTGGGGGTGGATGTAAAGGAGAATCAAGTGGAGGGTTTGATTGTTCGGGTATGTGGATTCTAAAGTTGTTTTTGTGTAGATATGTGAGGGATGAACTAACAATTTAGGATAGGACTAACACAATACGCGATCTGCAAAGCAGAAGGATATACCATTCGTACGCCCTCCCTTGCTGCCTAGTCCCCGTCTCCTGAACTAACACTCTACCTCCAGCTCGCACAGCCCAACTCCAATACCACTCTTCCCTCGGCAAACGCATTCCCCGCGCCCAAGCCAAAGCAGGCGATTTTATCTTCTGGGGCACTAACGGTGATTGTGTGAATAAAGTTCATCATGTGGGTATCTTTATGCGGAGTAATTGGATGGTCAACGCGCCGCATACTGGAAGTGTGGTGAGAGAAAGTACGTTTGAGGGGAGTAGTGAGTTGTGTGATTATGCAGTGAGGTTTTGGAAGGATTAGATGAAGTTTTGGGGGAGGGCGAGATCTCGTCCCTGGGGGCTGATTTGTTGAACGGTGGTATGCGTCAGTGTGAGTAAGAGTGGTTTGTGATGGTTTGTGGTGGTTTGTGGTGGTTTGTACGGACGAAAGATGGAGTATTTCCTTCATTTAGATACGCTTCTTTCTCCATCTGAATTCTTCACTTATGCCTTTCCTCTTCACAAAATTTGAATGGAAATGATCTTCAATCGCCAAGTCAGTGATAGAATCCGTCCGTGCCATCTACAGCATTTTCAACAGTCGAATTTTCAAAGGCCACTGCTTCTTTCTGTCATTCCTTTGCCATATAATGCATGCAAATCGTGATTTTCATAGTCTATCCATCTAAACAGCATATGCATGTAGTATTGAAGATGAAAGTTAACAATCAAATCCCAACCATCATATGAACACTACTCAACAGCACAGATTCAAGCATTCAATCTCCATATAAAAAACATATAAGTAACTGAACAATGCATCTCCAATCTTCATCCAATCCCCATGCAACATCAATCCTAAAGCACAAATTTTTTCAACATAAGATTACTTTGCAACCACAAATAACTAACAATACGATACAACGAAGGACAATCATACAAGTTTCGAACCGGTAAAATCATCTGACGGTGCACATTGATGCGGATATCAAATCCCACGTCTTGAACACCTCTTTAATAAATGCAAAGTGCCTCCTCCCGCTCCCGCCCACCTTTGGTAGGATTTCAGGCTGAAACGCAGATACATCTGACAGTATGAAGTATCCACAACCCCAAAAAGCGTTTTCAAGCTCAGAAATGACATATTAATGTAATGTAGATCCGATAAACATATAAGCACTATCGGCATCTGATAGATCATCACTTTGCAAAATCTCGGCACTAGCTTGTGGTGATTGGATACTGTAACTTCTCCGATATGTAGTGAGAATGAGTTTGATATTTCCGTTCTGAGTTGTGTAACTAGTATATCTCATTGCATAGTTTATTCACGAGACAACGTGGCTCACTCGATTTGAATATACTTTCAAAAACTTATGTTACAAGCAATGAATTTCTTAGATCATTTTTCTATCTCAAGCTGAAAGCAAAAGCTATATGAAAAGATTAAGGAAGTACAGTAGTAAATCCAAGACTACCTCGATATAAATATGCCGTCTCACTTTGCATATCCGCCTCATTATTTGAAACTGTTGTAGACTGGTCTATAGATTCATTTGTGCTCTTGGACTGATCACTGGATTAAAGAATGAGACAGCGAATAGCGATGCACCCATAGTACAGAAAACGAGTTCAACAATGTTGCACAATATGGGCTAAGCCAGATGCGATGGCATTGATATCATCTCATCTACTAATAGGCGACCTTCTAAGAATTTTTAACTCCCACGAGTGATAGACAGGGCTGAAAGAACAAAGAAGCAAGAGAAAAGTACTAAGATGAAAAGATTGGGACAGAATGAAATACACACCTGTATCATCAGCCACGTACCTTTCACATTCGCTTATGAAGACCACAGAACTCAAAAACAGCGTCAATCTCGACAAAGTATCAGCGATATGAAGTATGGCCAAGCAAATGTAATGGGGAGTTTTTAGCAATACACTCAGAAATGAGATTGATTAACAATTGGAGCTTGCCACATACATCATGCCTTCACTATTTGCCCACAAAACACACAACCAAAGTGGCTCTCGGAAACGAAAGGATAAATGACGAAAGAATAGATGCGATGTGTTACGAGGCAGTTTCTAAAAATTGTACAGTTTTGATAAATTCGTGCCCCCCACGACCGAGGGTTGGTGGGTCAGAGAAAGATAGGAACTATTGAGATTAAACTTAAATAGAGGTATGGGGTGTAGCTGGAATATCGAGGCGAAATCTTCTATGAGGCGAAGACCTTACAGCGGTCACTCTCCTGCGTATGAGCCCTGTATGGGGCATACGATCAAAAGCCCACCCTAACGGCGAATAATCATTGGCACTCGAAGAGTAATCTGAAGGGAATTTATAGTGCTTATTATATTTTTCTCGTCCCTCTTCCCACATTTGCTGGTAAAAGGCTTTCTCGTCGTATAGCGCAGGATCCTCAATATGAAGACCAAATGTGTTGATCCCAGTCTTCTGGACAAAATATTTCCACATGTATGGACCACTGCTAACCCATGGATCTGGGGTGAAGCCAATAGTATCAGCGATATGCATAAAATCTTCCTTTATGATGCGTCTACCCCAACCATTAAGACAGGATGAAGGCCACCAATGTGATGGGTCCCATCTGGTTTCCGTTAAAAAATATTGGAAAGGAAGAGTGAGCATGGCGTCTGTTTGAATAAATTGCCGTATGGAATTCGATGAATTTGAACAAGGGGTTTTGTATAGCCGTACGATTTTTACATTGTGCTCGAGTCGTGGAGGTAAGTCGTGGTTGCCCCTCTGTTGTATCTCGAAGTGTCTAGTATCAAACCAGTCCAACCCAAGATATCGACACTCATCTTGATGTTGAGAGTAGGATCTAATTATTGCCACGATGACTGAAGCTTCGTTAACACCTTTTATATCAACTGCCAAAACTACGACAGGATGGCCAGCCATGCCAGTCTTGCCATATTTTTCGAGTTCTGCGCGGGCCGCTGGGTCCAGCTTGTGTGCACCGGGCAGAAACAGAATGCAGCCAGGCGCAATATCCCAAAGCGGCACAGGAGTACTTAGTTGATGCAAAGGTTGAAACTTTTTGGGGTCATAGTATGGACTGAATATTTTGTTCCATACTTTCGATTTCTGCCATTCCCTTACGGGAACGTGGTTTGTATTTGTAGACGTAAGATTCGATTCTTTATCTTTACTCAAGTTCCTCAAAGAATATTCAGATATCCCTGGGGCCACCGCATCTCTGCCAGTAGAATATGGCGATCTCGGCACATATTGAAAAGCGTTTCTGGAGTCTCTCAGGATAAACGGTACGCCATGGCCAATATTTGTATTCGGGGCTCTTCTTCGAATGAAGGACCTTCGAACAAGAGGTCGGGTCATTGGTGAGCCTTAAATATGGTTATGATAGGTTCAATGAATGTGTATATTAGGAGGATATATACGTTGCGCACAAAACTCGTTCAGATTTCAAGGATGGAATCGCATAGGACGAAGTTGTTTAAAAACATGGTCAAGGTTTGGCCTAGAGAGGGTTCAGTATAAGGACATATGTTACAGGAGGAAACATTATGAGGTTAAAGGAGCCTACCAGAGAATTGGAAAGTCACTGCGACCGAGGGAGGTTCATGGGAGTGTCGTTGATGGTTTCGAAGGGAGTGAGAGTTAAGACGAATAAATAAATTAGATGATTTGTAATCAATTTGAAGTTCAATGATATGATAAGCTTGATTACTATCAACGATATGATATTTCCTCTGCGATAGGATGCATAAGATACATAAATATAAGATGATTACAAGGCGACAACGACCATTCATTCTCATTATACTGCTGTGATATTTGAATATTGAGCTAGTGATGTATGTGATGTGAATTCTATTCACTCATCAAAATCCAGAAAACGCTTGAACAAATCTAGGTATGATCGATCTCCTTAACAAGTTCAATTGTATGGTATCTCAAGTCTATAAATTCTTTCCTTCCAGCCAGAATTAAAGAAATCTATCCCTGCCAACGTTGTATTGGCAAAGTACCTCCCTGATCCCTATTCTCTTTCTCGACGGCGTCACCCTCCTTTGTTCCATTTTCCGTTCACAAGGTACTGGTTCCATTTCCATTTCTGGGCCCCTCAGTCGAACACCTTGTTCATAGCTTGATGCGCCAATTCAACACCCAAGAATGTTGCCGCATTAGCAGGTACAGCTCTTGCCAATGCTGGTCCAAATCCAGGGAAGAACGCCTTGAATCCTCCATTTCTATATAATCCTTTTATAACACCCCCAACAGTTGGTTTGCCTTCCATGGTCTGTAGCCTCGATTTGACTGTATCAACTGGGAAGACTGGAATCCACATTGCTACACCTGCGCATGCTCCCGCTCCAGTGATGGCCAATAAACTCAAGTCCTTCCCTGGTTTCCCGGTGACAGGGTCTATAGGAGTTAGACGACGCTTAATGTATTCGTAAGTTGCAAAATATGCGGCACTTCCAGGTCCATCTCTTGCTAGTGTAGCAGCTGATCCTCGGAAGACTGATTTGATGCCACCTTCTTTGTACAGTTGCTTCACGACATCGACACCACCATTGTATTTTGGCTTTTCTCCAGGCGCAAGTTCTTTTTGACCTTGGATTTGTAGGAGGACCTTGACACGTTCAAATGGGGCGGTAATGATAGTTTGTGGAATGGCAGAGAAGAAACCAGCTGTACTAATTTGAGCGATTGTGAGGGGTTCGTGAGGGGCAGTGGAGGTAAAGTTGCGCACAAGGTTCTTGCCGACATCGAAGCCCCAGAAAGACACGGCGACTGTTGAGTAGAAAGATTAGTTAGTTGTGTGGTCAAGGAACTTTGACATCGAAGCAAAGACAAGAAGAATCAATGTAAGAGGAAGGAAAAAGAGAGAACATACACATAGGAGTAACACCCACTAGCGGCGCACTCACACCCGCATATAAACCCCTCGCAAGACCATCCTTCGCGACAGATTTCGTAACCACATCAATAGCACCTTTATAAACCCCTCTTTCCGCAGTTTGTAGACGGACTTTGACCAAATCAAATGGATGGCCAACAATAACTGCGCAAACACCACCGAACCCTCCAGCAGCCAGTGACCGTAATCCTGCGAAGGATTTTTGAACAACAATTTCAGCGTCTTGTTTTAATTCGGCTTTGGATTCAGGGACGTGGGGCAAGTGAGGGTTGATGGTGTCAATCTTTTGATTTATTTGAGCTCCTGTAGAGGCAGAAGAAGTAGGAGCCATGATTGGGAGAAGGGTAAGGGAAGGGAAGGAAACTTTGAGGGATTGTGAGAAAATCTATCTGCGAAAGGAATGTTTATTGGAGGGGAATGTTATGAAGGAAGCTTGTGATTGTCAAGAGGGAGCTATACCAGTACCGCGCTTTTCATATTTAAGCCGAGGCAGGCCAAAATCAAGCCAAAATCAAGTTGATCGGTCATCGGCATAAGATATTACCGAGTTTCGGATAGGAGGTGGAGGGACATTCGGGGCAGTGGAAAAATGTATCTTTGTTGAACATTTTTCGTGTTGTGGTACATGTCAACCTCTGACATGCTGTGTTGTATTTTGGAGGATATAGTCTGGTAGTGTCGGAGAATATAAAGGATGGCAAGAAGGGTCATATGATAGCATGAACGATCATGATATACGAGCATGAGAATGAGAAGGAAGAAAAGTATTGGATATCAACTTATGTTGTAATCCGGATATATTCGTGGTCTTACTACCCAAGACCACCCTTAAGAAATGCTTTGCAGGTATTCATCAAATTCTCGATAAATTGATGGATGTATGGCAAAGGTCTCGGTGACGACGAAGTGGAAAAGATATTTTTGGAAGGAAGCATTAAATCCAATTAGACGTTTTGGTTTAGACGATGACCCCTGAACCATCCCACACAAGTTCGAGACAACTTAGACACAACACAACTTACGAGTAGACAAGATCCTATTCCAGAGTAGAAGAAGTAATTTGTTAACCTTGTATCAGATTCCCAACTAAGATACCCTTGGTAAGCCCTATGAGAGAACCAATGACGCTCTTTTGATGCATTTTCCAAAGTTTGAATACTTTGCAGGTATAATATACCTTCCAGCGAAGCACCAAGCAAGGTTGGAGCTTGATTGTCATTTATTGATTCTTCACCAGCCTGGTGAGCCCAACAACAAATAACAGCAACGGAAGCTAAAATGACATGTAAGTCTTACTATTTTCCATTCGGGTAGTCAGTCATTTTACATTTACTCCGTAGCTGTCGTGACGATGTTAGGTCTTTTGGACAATTGAAGTTGCCTTTGCTGCCAATGGCTGGGAATTTCCCCCTCCAAATGTTACCCCTCCGTCCCCTCCCTCAGAATTAGACATACAGATCTAATGGTCTACCTAAGAATTTGGAGGTCATTGTTGGAACTACCAGACATCACTCATTGCTCTTTTATTTATTGACAGCTTTCATTGATCAATCAAGTTTTTCTCAATCCGAACTTTTCATAACAATACATTTCGCCAACGTCTAATCACAACCTTAATCGTAATACGTGTACGGCATCAGATGAAGGGATGATCGCTCGAGGGGAGAAGGCCGGCATTGGGCTGCACCCCAGTTCCCGGTGAAGTACCAAAGCACTGCAAAGGTAACGGGTAAAGCGAGAGCGCCTAAAGAAACATCATTCATTCATTTGACTCCACTCGAAAACAACACATTATTTGCTCTTGCTTCCCTCACCTCCTTTCAACCACTTAGTATTCAGTTCAACGTTTAACTACGCATGAATCAACAGTCATCCGTGCTATACAACCATGTTTTATATATTCCAAGTGTTCAAATTGATATATATGCGGACTGGGGACATGGTAAAGAGGTAAGATTAATAGTAAGGCAGCTCTCTAATATTATTATTTCTTGAACGTCAATCGTCTCAAGTGTTCATCTTTAAGTTTATTTCGTTCGTTTTACTATTTGTTTAATTTTTCCAATGCCAGTTAATCTTCAACCTTCTGCTGGTACTTCTGGTAGTCTCAGGAAAGAAAAATCACGAGGAGAGGGTACACGAAGAATGCCGACTAATTCGCGACCTCCCCTATCGCATCGGATACGGGCATCGTTTGAAGGAAAGAAATCTCAGGATTCTACCAGTTCCAAGCATGCGAGCTTCTCCGGGGGTAGTCCAACAGATCCGGAACTCCTCCGACGGATAATCGATGAAGCTATCTCTGGAGATGATTTCCAGGCTGCACTTGCTTCACACATAGCCAAATTGCTCAAGCCCGAAATTAAAACGGCTTTAGATACAATCGAGCCAGTTGTTAATGCAGTTCTACAACATGAGCTACTCCTGAAGAGGACCAACAATAGTGTGGATCATGTTTTATTAAAGTTGGAGTCAATGGCAGATGAAGAAGGAGCAACAACTCCAAGCCAAGCAAGACTTAGTATCCACGGCGCCCTGACTTCACACCCGGTAGCAGACGAGGGACCACTGCCCATACCAGATAATTCGGCCCCTGGGACTGGTACACCTGTTTTCAACCTCCAACCAGGAATCAAGACCCCTCTTCAACCGAGGCCTCACATACACTGCCGGAAAACTAACCGAAATATCGAACTCGTTGGACTTGAATAATCATAAACTAGGGAAGGTGGTAGAAGGAATAGCGGAGATAAATAATTTATTGTCATCGAACGAACGCTTGGATAGTTTGAAAGAAAGCTCAGACAAGAATGATACCAAGACTTCGGTGATCCAAACGCAAATAGATCAATTGCAGGAAAATGTCAGGGTAGTCATCACTCGAATTGGTCCGGATCTAGGAGTAAAGGTAAAGGCGATCAATGATTATCTGACTGGAGAAACGCCCATTTTAGAGACGAGGGCTGTGGCTTCCAATGGTAGTGGGGGTGATGTTGAGCTTCTTCAAACTATTTCTTCTAAATTAGAAGCCTTGAAGGATAGTTTGGAAACAGGAACTTCGTCACATAATGATAACTTGGGACTATTGAAGGAACAAATCAATGCTCTACAGTCAACACTCGACGCCCAGAAAGAGATATTGGGAGAGATCAAGGAAGCTGATAACAGTACTGAAATATTGGCTGGTATACATAAATCAAATGAGTCACATGAGGCACATGCCACAGTTTTGGGAGAGCTCAAAGAGAGAAATACACAACCTGTGGATCTATCAACCCAACCGACTCCAACATCAGCAGACGCGGAAACACTTCAAACGATCTTGATGGAAGTACAGAAATCCAATGAGGCACATGGGAAGCATACGGCTGCGCTCGAGAGCATGAAGGAATCGGACACAAGTGCAGCCATATTGGCGGAAGTTCAAAAGTCGAACGACTCGCATGTTCTTCATGCAGCTGCTCTAGAAAGCCTCAAAAGTATCACGCCGCCACCAGAACAATCCACCGCAATCGATCTAGCACCCTTTGAGACAAAGATGGACAGCTTAATAGAAGCAAGCACAGCAATCCTCACGGAAGTTCAAAAATCGAATGAATCACATGTTTCACACGCAGCTGCATTAGAAAGCATCAAGGCCCTGCCAACTCCACCTCCTGAATCTCCAACCGCAAGTGCAATTGTTGATTTGGGAGGATTGGAGAAGGATATAGGAACTGTTATCGAAAAGTTGGATATGCACGCTGCTGTTCTGGAAGAAATCAAGACGAATGGTGTTTCTGGATCCGGAGGAATTGACGCCAGTGCTTTTGATAGCCATTTAAATTCCATTACTACTTCCTTGGAAGCACATACAGTGGCATTGGATGAGATTAAATCGAGAGATTTAGCACCTCCTGATTTCAGTCCAATTATCTCGATGCTTGAAGCTCACACTGCAACCTTGGAGGATATTAAATCGAGAGCTGCAGGAGGGGATCCAGATTTCAGTCCAATAACTGCTTTGTTAGAAGCTCACAGTGCAACCTTGGAGGACATCAAATCGAGAGATCTAACACCTGCTGATAATGCTCCAATTATCTCAATGCTTGAAACCCATACAGCAACGCTGGAAGATATCAAATCAAAAGACGCAGGAGGAAGTCCAGATTTCAGTCGAATAACTACCTTGCTCGAAGCTCATACGGCAACTTTGGATGAGATCAAGGCTAGGGACACTACAAACAGCATTGATCTCAGTCCAATAACTGCCTTGTTAGAAGCTCATACTACAACCTTGGATGAGATCAAATCAAGAGATCCAGCACCTACTGATTTCAGCCCAATAACTACCTTATTAGAAGCTCATACTATCAGTTTGGATGAAATCAAATCGAAAGATTTACCATCTACTGATTTCAGCCCAATAAAGACCTTGTTAGAAGCTCATACTATAGCCTTGGAGGATATCAAGGCTAAGGACACTACAAACAGCGTTGATTTAAGTCCAATCACTTCGACTCTGGATGCCCATCGTGCAGTTTTAGATGAGATTGTATCAAAGGATGTACAGTCTAGTGGCGCACCCGCAGCAATCAATATGGATGCCTTTGACACACATTTCGGTTCAATCACCGGTATATTAGCAGCACACACAGCCGCATTGGATGAGATCAAGTCCAAAGATGGTGCTTCCAATGCTTCTACACCCGCAGAAAATACCATCGAAATCCTTGACAAACATTTTGGTTCTATCACTACCATGTTGGAATCACACACTGCAGCATTGGAAGAAATCAAGGCGAAGGATTTCACACCGACTACGGGACAAACGGAGCTGAATACAGCAGCATTTGACGACAAATTTAGCTCTCTGACACGCATGCTAGATTTACACACAGAAGCTTTGGATGAAATCAAATCAAAGAACAACGATTCCGCTCCGCCTTCGACATCAAGAGATAATGTTGCCCTCGATTCATTTGAACCACATGTTACGGCGATTAAGAGTGCACTTGATGCTCACATGGGTGTGCTGCAAGAGATAAAGTCTGAGACCCTTGCCAAAAATGATATGGATGCAATGGTAGTAGACAATTTGCTGGAACCACACATCATAGCTATCAAGAGTACATTGAGTGCACATACAGAAATTCTGGATGAGCTCAAATCAAATATTCTTACTAATGCCACAAATTCCTCCGAAATTGCCAACGATTCTTTACCTAAGATACTGACTACCCTTAATCGCCACACCAATCTACTCACAGAAATCAAGAACGCGGATGTTAGTGATGAGATCTTGACAGCATTGCATGAGTTACAGGAAGGTAATTCTGCAGCTTTCAATACTCTCAAGGAATCGGATGTCAGTGATGAGATACTTACTGCGTTACATACTTGTAATGATTCACAAGAAAAGTTGGATAGATCATTGCTTGAACTCCAGACAGCAGTGAATATTTCTATTTCATCTGAGCAAAACAGGAACAAATCAATTGATCCTGTTGAAGCAGTCCAAGCACCGATCGCTACTGTTGACTTGAGCGGATTGGAGACCCAGATTAACGCAGTTATTGCGACGCTTGAAAGCCAAAATGTGGTCTTGGGAGAGATCAAAGACACGACTAATGCTGGAATGGAAGCACATGGATTGCAAAACACGACCCTGAGTGAGATCAAAGATGCAGCTAGTGCCTCAAATGATTCTCACGCGACCCATGCGGCACTTCTTGGAGAAATCAGGGATGCAGCCAATGCTTCGAATGAATCCCATGGCACCCATACTTCTACATTAGGAGTTATTAGAGATGCAGCAGCCTCCTTGAGTAACGCACACGCCACGCAAATTGCTACTTTGGTCGAACTCAAGCATGCAATAAGCGCCTCTAATGAATCTCATAATACTCACACCAGTACACTAGCAGAGATACGAGATGCAGCCGCCAACTCAAATGACGCAATTCTTACGCACACAGCTACTCTCAGTGAACTCAAAGAAGCAATCAATGCATCGAATGACTCTCACACTTCTCACGCTGCTGCTCTGGAAGATTTGAAATCCATACATTCAACACAGTCGTCGCCAGATGCTACCTCTGAATCAACATCACCACCGGTGCTTGATGCAAATGCACTAGATACCCAACTCACAACCATTATCACAATCCTTGAATCCCAAAATTCCACTTTAGGGGAAATGAAAGATGCTTATGCCTCTCACACGATCACTTTGAGTGAAATCAAGGACGCAACGACAGCATCGAATGAGTCACATACTTCCCTTGCAACAGTCTTGAGCGAAATTAAAGATGTCCATTCCTCACATACAACAGCCTTGACAGAAATCAAGAACGGAACAACTGCATCTAATGATTCGCACAATTCACACACGACAATTTTGAATGAAATCAAGGAAGTAATAACGGCATCTAACGAGTCGCATACTTCGCACACAACAGTCTTGAGCGAAATTAAGGAAACAATTGCTCCTATCCATGGTATTACTGAAGTCATAAATACACATACAGGTCTGTTGGAAGGTCTGAAAGAAGACGCCGGATCACAGCATAATGAAGTAAAAATTGATATTGACGGATTGAGGAAACTTGTAGATGAAAGTTCCACCAAACAGGAGGAAAGTCTTTTAAAACATGGGGATTTGATTAGGGAACATGGAGACTTGGTTAAAGAAAATCACGATGGATTGAAGGGAACGATTGCGGGACTTACTTTGGGCGGGATTGCTGGGGCGGGCGTTATGAAAGTTATTGATGAAGTGGAAGACAAGGATGGTGAGGTAAGTGATGTAGTTGAACGGGATGTAGAAGTGCTGGAAGCTCCGGTAAGTCATCCACGTTCCTGATGTCTCAGGAGAGATAAAATGCTGATAAGATCACATAGGCCGAAGAACTTGAGGTTATTGAAGAAGAATCACCGGTAATAGAACCAGAAGCACCTGTAAGTCATGGTGCTAATAGTGATTGAGGATATTGTGAGATGCTAAAACAAAACTCAGGTGGAGGAGGATGCAGCTTCAGAGTCTGAAGGACAAAACCTGGAACCTCCAGTAAGTCTTAGCTTTTTGGAAAGCCAGATTGTATAGTTTACTGACGATTTAAAAGGTCGAAGAACAAGTTGTGCCGGGATCGGAAGCACAATTGAAGCCCGAATTCCCTGTGAGTCCATCATCAATCCTACATCCCTGTTGATGAGTATGTCGAATTAGAGTATTTCACTAACAAAAACTTCAGACGGACAACGAAAGGACCGCCAGTGAGGAAACTTTAGTAGAGCCAGAGCTAGAACCAGAAGCTATTGTGACAGATACTGAGAAGACGGTAAGTTCTAATCAACGACCGTGTGTTTTATAGAAGCTCATCTGATATTTTTTGTAGGTCGACCTCAACGAAAATCCAGACCATACACCAGTAGACCAGGAACCAGAGCCAGAGCCAGAAGCTGTAAGATACTATAAATCTAATCTTCAAGCCCATCTCGTGAGATGAAAGCTTTGTCGTAAGGCAAGCAGCTAATCACCTGTGATTCAGGTTGAGAAAGAAGTTCCAAACGAGGAACCGACACCCATCGAAGCGGAGGCTCCAACACAGGAAGCTGTTTTTGAAGAGCCGAACCCAACAGAAGAGGAACCGGAACCAGCTGTAAGACTCATATATTGCGGGGCGGGGGCGTGAACTAACAATACCTATAGACTATGGAAATGACGGAAGATACAGCAGCTGTTGAATCCCAACAGACTGGCAAAGATCTCTCTGGCGAAGAGACAATCCCTCAAGAGGAATCTGAGCCTGTAGTAACCTCTGAGGATTCTGTAAATTTCCCTATTACAAACATAATTGCCTATGTGACTAACCAATTTCTCTAGTCTGAACCCAATCCAGAAGTTGAAATTTCAGCAAGTAACGATAATCAGGAGCCCGAAACTCTTGCGAAGGAAGCAGAAATTGATGGTGTCACACCAAATTCAATTGAACAATCGGGTTTGGCCCAGGATACGTAAGTTACATCAGGATAACTTTAGCATTGCATAGTACTAAGAAACCTAAAGTCCCGAAGACGAAGCGCCTCAAGTAAACGATACAGCAGAAGAACCAATGTAAGTCAAAACAATTCTTGAAATTTCATAAAACATAATTGAGGGGAATTGACCTGAAGATTCGTCGATGTAGACCTGAAGAGAGCGATGTCACAGAACTATTCAAGGACGAATTGGCTCCCGAAAGACAACTTGCCGTTGAGAAGATACCTGGTGAGGAAGAGACTGTTGCGGTGGAAGGGTAAGTTTCTTTTCGTCTGATTTGGGCCATTGGTGATTGAGTGACGATCGGAAGATTTCTTTTCCAGGTCTAAAGTGGGAAATCAGAGGAGTTAGGCTAACACAACATCATCATAGGTCTGAGGAGGAAGCATTTGCTGAGAGTGAGAGTGCTGAAGTACAGCAAAATGAAGATCTAGGCGATGACGATTCGAAGTAAGTTGATTGTTTGAGAATAAATTGGGAGCTAGATACAAGATTCTAACGCACAATTAAGATCCACTGAAGAGATAGCGCCTGTTGCTGTGGAGGAAGAGCAGTAAGTTGATAACTTTGGACTGATCAATTTGATACAAAATCATTGTGTCCATACTAATATAATGATAGACCAACGAAAGAAATAGTTGCAGACAATGCAGTTGAGGATGTGAGCCCTAGCGAGGAAGTTTTAGAGGCTGTGGAAGATAAGTAAGACATCTTTGATATTCTTCTATGATGGCTTAAGCTGATAATCGAAAGACCTGTCGAAAAACCTGTTTTGCAGGAGTCAGATGAAAATTTGACTGCAGACTTGCAACAGACACCTCCGGCGGAAGAAGAAAAAAAGCTCCCCGAAGTTAAGGAATCTAGTGAGCCAAGTTTAGAGGAAATTCCCACCGAAACTCCTATACCAGAAGTCTTGATTGATACACCTCCGGCGCACTCGGAGGATGCTTCTTCTCTGGAAGCAAACAAACCTGTTCCGGAGTCTGAGCAGGCCAATGTACCTGGTTCCGCTGATCCTCCCGTCGAAATCGAAGAAAACCCCGTTCTTACAGATCACGATGTTGAGGCAGTTACTCAAGTACCCGAAGCAAGTCATGAAGCACCCGCGGATAGCTTGGAAATATCTACAGAGTCTGAAGTCATTGAGCCGTCCAAAGAAGAGCAAAATGTTGATGAGGAAGGGGAGATAGAAAAATTGGCTGAAGAACATCCGGTCGACAGTAATGAAGTCAATTTGGAAAAGGACGATTTGGAACCTAAGGATGAGAATCTTCCCACCGAAGACGCGGAAAGTGCTGTTGACACGTCGAAAGAGGATAAGTCTTCAGAGTCAGCCGCGGAGATCGAGACACCCCTTCTAGATTCAAACGATATGAATGAGGTTCCTGCCGAGATTGATGCAAAGGATTTGGAAACGGAGGTTGCGGAGCCTAAAAATGAAGAGACACCGGACCAGGCGGAGGAAAATATTGAGTCCGCTCATGATCAAAGCAATCCCGACACTCCTATCGAAACCGAGGTACCCGTTTCGGGTATGAACGACCAAGATGAAGAGCCTGCCAAGACTGAGTTGAAAGACTTGGAAGTGGAAGATGGGGAACCTCATAGCGAGGAAGTACCCGAACAAGCTGCCGAGAACCTTTCACAAACCGTGCAGGAAGAAAACGTTTCCGAGCCGGTTGTCGAAAAAGAGAAGTCTGTTCCTGATTCAAACTCCCATGATCAACATCTCGTTGAAACCGAACAAGAATCAGTGGAAATTCCTGCTACCGAAAATGCCACTGAAGATATCTCTAGCGAGCTCACAGAAGCCATTGAACCTCCACACGAGGAAGGAATCCCACAATTAGCTGTTGAGACTGAAGAAAACGCTCCCGAGTTGAAAACTCAAGATGAACCTCCAATTGACAGCGAAGAAATCCCCGAGGAACATGAAAACTTGGAAGATCTAACTCCATCTGTCGATAATAGAGAAAAGACTCTCGAAACAGACAGCCAGGAATCCAGCAGTGAGCATGCATCTCTCGAGGCTGAAGAGATACCCATCGAAGTCTCTCATGAACAAAGTCCAGATTCAACTACTGAAACCGAGATACCAGCAATTGAGTCAAGTGATCAAACGCAAATCCCATTCGAGAGTGAAGAGAAGTCCGTGGAACCTCCTGTTAGTGAACCGGAAGCTGCAGGTATGGATAGTGAAGAGCCGCAAGCGGGTGATGAAGCTCAGATCCCGGAAATATCGCCGCAAGAAACTGTTCAAGAGCCGGTGGTTGAGGATCAAAGCCCCGTTGTGCCAGAATCGAGTGGGGAAGCTCAGGAGTTTACCAGCCACCATGAACCTCTTGAACCAGCTGAACATCATACTGTTGAGGTGCCTATGGAAGAATCAGTCATTGAGAACCAAGTTCAATTCCCCGCTGAAGAGGAAAGTGTCGACAAAGCTCCATTAGAAAGCAGTCCTGAGCCAGAAGTCGTGAACGAGAATATCTCTGATGGCTTAGGATCAAGCGAAGAAGGCCAGATCGTAGCCAACGATAGCGACAAATCTCTGCCGACTGAGAGGGAAATTCTCGACATTCCCCTGGGAGAATCAATCGTTGAAAGCGAACTAACATCCGAAAATATAAGTCATGAAAATTTCGAAACTATCAGAGATGCAGAAAAACCAACAGAAATCGACGAACAGATTGCCGAGACACCCAGCCAAGATTCAGTTCTTGAAAGCCAGCCAAAATCAGAGTCGGTTGTCTATGAAGATCCTGAAGATATCAAAGCCCGTGAGGAGATTGCTGCCTTGAACGCGGAGATGGATAGAATTTTAGCTGAGGCTGAGAAGGAGGAAAGAAAAAATGCTCCTGTAGAGACGGCAAAAATTCACGAGGATCAGACCAAGGAATTAGATGTTGAACAAGATGCTGAAGAATCAACTCAGGTCGCGGAAGCACAAACACCAGTCCAAGACCAGGAAACTTCTAGAGATCGAATTGAGGATGAACAAGCCCAGGCTGATGTAACTGAGCCGGAGGTAGAGCAAAAGGTTCCTGTGACTGATGAGGACCTTTCAAGCGACACTAGCCCGGAAGGAAATCTAGAAAGACATGTCGTATCATCTAACGATCTCGAAGAAGATGCTATTCCTGCAGAATCTGGGAGTCATGAGGTCGAGTCTACCAATATCTTAACCGCAGACGAGTTGCAACACCTCGACGAAATTACCCTAGCCACCCACGAGGATGTTGTCGAAAGTCAGAGCCAGATTGCGGAGGATGAAAACGTACCAGAAAACCATCCAGTAATTCCTTCCGAGGATGAAAAAACAGATCTTGAAATTCCGTCAATAGCCGAGCAGCCTGAGAATGAAATCAAGAGCAACGAAATTGCGCCTGACCAAGCTGCAGCTTCACCTGGAGAAAAGGAACAGGTGTTAGACATAGAATCAACACCTTCTGAAGCTCACGTAGAACCCGAGATGGAAAGCTTCGAGAAAACACGGTTGAGTGAGCATGTTGCACCATCGTCGGACAATGAGAAAGATGAATCTTTGCCTATTCAACTTGAATCAGAATCAGTCCTTGGAGAACTCACAACAGAGGAGCCAAAATGGAAAGGAGAGATGAACCCTGAGCAGTATTTCGGGGAGTCTGAACAGGAAACCCCAAGAGACGTAATGACACTCGAAGATTACCCTTCCGAAGAAAGTTTGCCCTCTAAGTTGAATTTCATTAACGAAAGTACCCAAGATGTGGAAAGTGGAGGTGATGAAATAGAGAATGAAAGCCCCTCAGTGGAGCATTTCGAGATTGTTGGATCAGAGCCATTCTCAGAAGAAACCCCAAGAGACATCGATTCCAAAGTTGACGAGAATGCTCACTCCGTGGATCGTGAAGTCGACCAAGAAAATGTTGAAGATTACAACGAATTAGGGGCTGATCTTATGGTCCCTGAAAGTCCTAAATCTGAAACAACCGATGATAACGAATGGGATGAGCCATATGATACTCCCGATGACAGATTACAAGGATTAAAACCTTCAGCAGAATTTTTATCAACTACGTCGAATTACGGAGAAGCTCCAGCCATCGAGGAAAACCAACATGATGGCGAGTCAAACCAGGATGAAATCGCTTCCGAGATTCCTCTCCCGAGCCCATCATTCCAGAAAAAGCAAGCTATCCTAGAGGAGGACTATCCTGCTGTCCAAAACTTTCCAGAGCAACATGAAAGTTACCAATCTTTCGATGATTTTTTCCCAATCGAGAATGAAGCTGTTCGAAACAGCTCCCATGTTTCAAATGAAGATACGCTAGAATTCGCGGAAGACTCTAGAGAAGCTCCAGTCATGTCTGATAACCAACACATATCGGGGAATAAATTTGTCACCGGATTCGAGGATGACTTACAACCTGAAAATACCGAATCCATCTATTCCCAGGAAAATGAGCCAGCGATCACTGCAGAACGTCACAGGCTAGAGAGAGATGATTTTTTCGACCCGAGAGCCACTGCCAGTCAATACGCGGCTACCGAGCAACTAGAGCCAGAACAAGAGTCAGAAACTAGCCCTGTCATTACCGGAACTGACTCAAATCACGAGGCCCAGTTCAGTCAGCCTGAAATTTCAGCGGAGCAAAGATACACAGGCTACGGCTACGACTATGACTATGAAGAGCCTGCTCTAAATACACAGACTTACTCGGACTCGGAAGATGATATGGAGTCATTTCAACCGGGACCAGCAGCTTCAGGCTATGAATCAAGAGGCTCTTACCCCTTCCAAGGAACCAGCTTTAGTAGATCTATACCACAACCAAGATATTCAAGCCATGAAGAAGTTGCTCACGATACACGTACTTCCATCAACGAGCAAGATGACAACCAACATTTGAGATCAATGCCTACATACTCTAGCCTAAGCTACTCTCAAGAATACCTTTCGGAGTCCTATCCAACTCAAGAAGTCCACTACAACGAGCCTGAGCCCCAACAAGATCAGCCGATAACGCCCACATATCAATCGTCATATCAAGATACCATTCCAGCAACTCCATCAACAGCTTTAACCACAAAAATCTCAACCGAAACATTTCCTACATATGACGAATCACGACCTGTTTCCCAAGGTATGAATTTCGGGTTGCCAATCAGAGGAGCAGAACGTGTTGAAACGATTCGCGAAACTCCTGAGACCACATATCCTTCATATAATGAGTCGATGCGATCTCCCGCACCGTCACGACTGCCAATCGCGAGCCAAAGATCGTCAGATAGTATGCGTAGAAGCTACAGCCCTGAATTGAGAAAACAGAGTAGCTATTCTAGATATGGACATGATGAGCCTGGACTAGGAAAATCTATGGGTTCTTCACAGGGATTCAATTTTGGTCATTCCCCGACTAAAATTCCGGGTTCTATTGGGAGGTCGAGCAGAGTTCCAGATGTTGGAAATGAGTATGGTCATTCAACGAATAGATATGGTGAGCCAGTGCGCTCTTTGGGGGCTTCGCAAGGATCTAGATTCGGTCTACAGGGTACGTATCCAGCTAGAGAGTCTCATGAGGAAGTTCCAGAATACGGAAACCAAAAGAGAAGTAGTAATGTGAAGGATCTTTTGAGTCGATTTGAAGGTGGCGAATCCTCATCCTCAGCTCCTTCTCAACAAGAACGTTTCAATATCCCGACATATCAAGAGCATTTCAGTACTTCTCTTCCTCGACCCGCTGAGAATAGATCGATCGGAAAACAGCCTCAATACGAACAAGAAAGTCACTTTGAGGCTGTAACACCATTTGATCATAATCGATTTGATTTCATGAGTGAGGAAAGTAGTCCGGTTCAAACACCTCTTGAAGAAAGAGAATTACAGCTAGAGAGCGGAGAAAGCAGCGAGGTACAAACGCCATTGGAGGGAGAATTTAGACTGGACGAGGGGACAGGTGGAAATGTAAATGCAGGAGTACCGAAGAAGAGGAGGAGTAAGAGGGGTAAGAAGAAGGGCAATTGAGGGACAGGTGGAGGTCAGGCTTGAGTTGGAGAGAAAATGAGACTAGAAAGTGCGAGATGCGGTTGGAATGAAAATGTGATTGAACGAGCGATGGGCAATGAACGATGATTGGCACTTGATGTTAATAACAAGGTGGATGAATGTCGGGAATTGGATGATTTTTTAATGATTTTTGTTGGGTTTTGGCTTTTGTAAATAGGGAGTTTGGAGTTGTGTCGGAGTTTCTGCTTGTTATCCGTAGCGATGCTGTCTAATAGTCAGTTTTATATTTTCAAAGAAGGACTTCAACAACGAGCATTTGTTAATATCTCCCGGAATGTGAAGAGAAATTTTGTGAGATCCAGAGAAGTTCTTTACATTGCAATTTCCTTTCATCATGCAGTGACTTGGCTTCGAGTGCAAACCGAATATCATCAGAACTACACGGAAATCTCGTTTCTTGATTGATTTGAATTTGAGAGGAATCTGTCTTTGAAATTATTGGAGATGAAGATCTATATTGTTTTGAATCAAGTATACTTGGGTACTGGCTATGAATAATGAGATAAATCCTTGAAATATCTTACATAGTAGTAATATGTGAAGTTCATAGATCGAAAGCTTAGATAGCTCCTTCCTGATATCTATTTTAGATTTAGACATTTAGCAACGATAAGCTGGAGCTGTTGAGAAGTGCATCTATAGTAATCGTGGGGATCGGAGAATTTTGAGATATACCGTTTGAAATATTTAAGAGGGGTGGCTGAGTTCACTAAGTCAGTACTTGGTACTTCAAAACTGTGGTCGAAGAGAGCATGCGATGAGTTTTATCATTCTTCAAAGTGAATGAAAGAACATACATAGCAAACTTTCATGATCTTCAAATGGGAGCCATACACCTGGATTATGACATGCAGGAAATAAGAGATAAGTATCTTTAGTTCATGAATCAAACCTAATATTGATCATATCTGACTGAATATCACTAGATGGGTGTTTGTGATTGTTTGTTTGTATCAATATCTCTCATTGTGTATATTTCATCAATATCAGCGACAAATTGTAGATAGCACATTCACCTAGCAGCCATTCATCAATGAAGGATATTAAAAACATAATAGTGAATTATTAATTTGCCATGTAATAGCCGAGATACAATAAGTTAAAAAACCATCCTAATTAACCAGCTTGTTGAACACATTCCTTAACTAGACCTTAAAGAAACAAGAAGCAGTAATCAGCCGATAATTATCAGCTGAATACTTCATAAATTCTTACCTGAATATTAACCACTACATAATTTCGTCCCATTGTTGTAATCAATCATCAATCTAATGACAAAAACTAAAGGATACCTCTTCTAGCAGCGAAAACAAATGCTCCAATAATAGCAGCAGTTGGGCCGGCAACGAAGCAGGTCATGACAATTACGAAGATCTAGAAGACACATAGAATTAGCAATGAATAAAGAGATGGCAGTAAAGCGGTAAATGGCAAGAACTTACGATGAGGTAGGGGCGCTCAACTCTGCGACGGCTAGCACTCTCCAAGTCTCCCTCCTCGCTGGCGATAGGTGCATCGACGTGGTCATCAAGACGTTGGTCGAGGGTTGCTGATGGATTGGGGCCAGTATACTCAATAACTGTTGCAGCTGGAGCAGGACCAAGGTTGATGACGGGCGAAGCAGGGAAGAGGTTCGAGGGAGCGGTACACTCGTGATCATGGTTGATGAGTGCAGAGCAATTGCTGATAACGCTCTCTGAACGACCACGAGAAGTTGATCCAGTCTCATCGTGTACGATCCACTCGTCCGAAACGTTGAGGTAACCGTTTAGGACATTCGAGACCCATTGGCGATCTGAAGCAGTGCTACTACCAAAAGTGGGTGCGCGCGTGAGTCTTGCAGAAGTGCCCTCGCAGCGAAAAGCAGCAAGATCACCTTCCGATCCCCAGCTTCTCAGGCTTGGCTCTCGAGGAATAGGACGAACCAAGTGGCCAAAGACCGGGTGCCAGCTTTCCTTAGCAGGATGATCTTCCATGGAGCCGTCTCCGCATTTTTGAGATTGAGGAACAGCTTTGAGGTATGTTGCATCGGGTAGACGAAAGTTGAGAATTCCACGCCAAACTTCGGTCTCGGCAGTGTCGTGCGCAAGATTGTAGTAAGCAAGATCGGACACACGTAGTTGAGTTTGCTGGGCAATGCCCTTGAAAGCATGGAATTGTGTGATAAGAGTTGCGCACCGAGCTTCCATCTCCAATGGGTTAAGGAAGGTTTGAATGCAGAATGTCGGGTCATCTTGGAGCTTTTGAACTTCGAGATATCCTGCAGGAAGAACTGCACTGTAGTGAGCCGACTTCAACTATAATTAACATCAGGAGTTAGTATAGATTTCTGGGACAAGGGAAAAATAGTTGAATTCTGGATTGGATTCTCGGATTCACTTACAAAATCCTCCCATTCAGCAACAGCACCAGGATTCTTGTAATCATCATGGATTTGAGTCAACTTTTGCTCCTCCTTGTTTGGAATCGTTGTCTCTTCTTCCTCCATGGTTACTTTGACTTTGTCCATGTTAATTGCTATCGATCTATCTTATTGATCAATGGATGGAAAAAGTTGTTATTGTTCGAAGTTGTTTTGTTGAGAAGAAGAAGCTGAGTCAAGATCGTTATGGAAAGAGGATCGCTTCGGAACGGAATAATTATTGTTGACGCGACAGCTTCACCTTCGGATAGACCAGTATCTTCCTGGTCTATCTTCGGATAGGAAGGGTGAAGATTGCAAAGAAAAAGTAGAAGGAATTCGAAAGGAAATGCCTCTTGGATCGAGATTGTGTAGTCTTACAATATAATTCTTGAACGAACCCATTGATAAGTGTCAATTTTCAATTCATGGCATAGCCAGAACTTACATGATACAATCTTCTGTCCATGTTTGATTCAAGAAAGGATGTATATAATGGAAGATACTGAAGAATCTGAAGAAGATGTCTTATGAGGACCAGATGCCGATAATAAAGAGTTGTAGAAGAAAGAATAGCAAGGAACTGGAGAAAATATCTTTTATAGATAGAATTCATCTGGTTAACATGATCTTGAATGTTGTGGTATTCACTGACAATGTCCACCTCCAGAACATAAGTGGAACAGCCTTTGAGCATTCCCCGCCATTGTCAGCTTTTTAAAATCTACAATATATATATATATATATATATTGATAGATAGCCGATTGTGTTGATGAAGATAAATATAAGTGAGAGAAAATAGGTATTACTACATAGAGTAAGTTACTCAATGTATTCCTTTTTCGTGTTTCTGAGTCACCAGATTTGATATCAAACAGAATCACTGCCACAAGCACAATAATAAAAATCAGAATTGCTCACAACTTTCTTTTGCAAGTCCTTGATAGTGAGAGTGATGTGGAAGAGAAACTTGTTAACTCTGCCTCCTAGCTAAATAGGTTGTTGTCTCACAGATGGACAAGAAGACTCCTCCCTAGTGTACCCCGATGGAAAATGAAAGAACACATCAACCAACTATGACCTTGTGTATTGGTGATTGGCATATTCTTGATATCATGGACACCTGATAACCATAAAGCTTGTCAGATTCCAAAGAAACTACCCACGACTTTCTCCAAATGAGTAGCTCCGCATCATAAGTGCATAGCTCAAACAAGATAACTTTTATCCCAAACGCCTTTTTATGCATCACTTCCTGCAAGTTGTCTGCGTTTCAATCCATCCTCCTCCCTTTCCTTCCCAACCCCAAATCTCCCATTCTTACAAAGCCTACAAGTGAAAATATAGCAAGTTGCGTCTTTCCCATATAGAGAAAAAACATGCTGTACCAATCACTGCGCAAATGAGTAGCATCACTGCAGACTATAGATGATCTAATTAGAATACGAATTTGTGCCATGTCTCCAGAATGACTTGCACCACTGAGGTCCGAGTCTTCAATGAACGATGGATAAATTGTAGAATTCATCGTGCGATTAAGGGTAAGCACTGTGCTTAATGTGAATGCGATCGCGAGACGAAGATGAATGTGATGTTTTGTGAAGGATTGTGGTGGCTGTGTACTTGGAACAATTCCGCCGAAACGAAGTGCTGTGTTTGAATTTTTGTTATTGTATGGAATATCGTGAGTATACAGCTGTGACAGTATTGGTGGTTGCAAAATACGGCTGCCAAATTTCATGAATGATGGCCTTCGAAGTACCGAAGAGACCAGTGGATGAGAGACTCAGCTAAAGATCGCACTTGACGTCGTGGCGGCACAATGAGACCTTTTGATTAATTGTTTGTGATGATGGCAGATGACGAATTGAAAAGAAAAAATCTGTAACAAATTGTTGAGAAAGCGAGATGAAACGTTCGAGTAGTGAATATGGCTTGGTATCACGAGAAATCCTTTTGATCTCCGTCCATCATCAACATCACGTCTTTCACATTGCCACTTGGACCCAGTCTCATAGCATACTGGAAAATTGCAAATCTTCAAAACTTGAGAAAAAGTGGGAGTGATGAACCAGACAGCAAAGCTGTAGTGGTTCAAGAGAGACCCCTTCAGATTGAAACCCTTTGCTGCATGGCGTGTCAAGTACAATCTCAAAGGCATATACTTACTTGATCTTAATATAACTATTCGTATTCTCTGTTATCTGGACGCGAGAGGCGTTGACATCAATAGCATCTACAAATGCCGTGGTGCAATTGCTATTGCGAAGAAAATGTTCACCGTTTCTGGGCCGCCTATTCACTGCACAAGCTTTGTACAGTATTGAGTACGATGGCACTGGACTCAGTACCACCATGAGATTCAATCTGCAGTCATTCATTGCTTTTCACTGTTGTTTGAAACGGAGAACTGAATCGGGTTCCGTCCCTTTGGGAAACACAGTGTCGTCGTTGTACCACTAATCACGTGATATCATTATGACTTTCTCACGTGCTAGCTATTTTCCCAAACAATCACCAAATATATGGACATTCTTGAAACATTTGTAGATCCCGTTGTATCCGTGGTATGTTATGAAAGCCTGCAATCACGTCAAGCGCATTACTACCCTTGCGGGGGATGTTTTCAAAATGCTCGATGTTATTGGTCAATCAGTGTGCGGAAGCGAAATATGGCGAAATGGCTGCAGGCATCACACAATATTTCAGGACCCCATCAAGGATAAGTGCAAAGCATAAAGATATCAATGCATGATCGCATTCAAAAAAGGGTTTACTTCGCATTCTGATAGCGGCGTCAAGGTACGTTTCTCGTATAATAATCAATGGTGCCCGCGTGGATAACACGAAACTTTGTCAAATATATTTTCCTGTCATAATATGAATGTGGGATTGGATTCACTTCGACCTGGAAGCATATAAACGTAACATGGGCTTGAAGTTTGAAAGAGTTGCTGTGATCGGTGCGGGTGTCAGTGGACTAGCGGCTGCGAGACATCTCATAGATTATGGACTTGACGTGACGATTTATGAACGATCTTCAAAACCCGGAGGCGTTTGGTGAGTTATGATTCTATATCAATTTCTTTTTAAAGCTTGCGAGGAAAAGACTGATATTGATACGAGGAGCTAGGGCATACGATGAAAGGAAGCCGCTTGAATACAGATACCCATCAGTTTTACCATCAGTTGCAGGCCTCTACCCAGAGGCGGATTCAGATTGCGAGGATGTTACGTCGCAATCAGAATTTTCCCAGGAAGAAATACTTAAGTTGAAGCACGCACCACCAGGTCCTGCATATTTTGGTCTGACAACAAACATCTCAACTAAACTCCAAGAAATGAAAGACCATCGGTGGAAGGAGGGCACAGGTGATTTCGTCAATGTGAAGGTTGTTGGTGAATATCTGAACGATTATGCCAAAAGATTTCACCTAGAACGTTTCCTCAAGTACAATACAAAAGTCGAAACGATCAGGAAAGTAAATGGGAGATGGATTGTGAAATCAAAGCTGTTAAACAGAACTCATGACGGAAGTGTGGAGTTCTTGGAACATGAAGAGGTAAATTGCCGAGTGAGCATCTGCAAGCGAATACTGACTCGTGGCAGGCATTCGACAAAGTAGTTGTGGCAAGTGGACACTATCACGCCAATAGAGTGCCTGACATCAAAGGATTGAGGGAATGGAAGAGAAATCATCCTGGAAGGGTTATGCACTCAAAAGCATACAGGAGACCCCAAGAGCTTGCAGGCCAGGTAAGTAATAATACCTAATAGCACTACCATTGACTGACTTTATCAGAACGTTCTTCTAATTGGGGGGAGTGTATCCTCGACAGACATTGCTAGGGAGGTCAACGGCGTAGCCAAGACGGTTTATCAATCCACCCGAGGTGGTCAATTTGACCTTCCACTCAGCTTTTTACCTCCAAGCGCAAAGAGAGTTGGAGAATGCGTGTCTTTTGAGTTTGAGACGGGTAATGAAGGTCGAGGGGTCACTCACTTGAAAGATGGGACAACGCTTAGTGACATTGAAAAAGTGATAGTTTGCACAGGATATCATATTTCATATCCGTTTCTTGATCCGTATCATAACGATTTGTTATCCCCAGCCGAAGCAGATGACACAGTTCTTGTAACTGACGGAACGCAAGTCCACAATCTCCACAAAGATATATTCTATATACCAGATCCAACACTTGCATTTGTCGGTACAGCATATTACGTATCGACGTTTTCCTTGTTCGAGTTCCAAGCCATTGCACTCGCAGCTGTATTCGCTGGCAAAGCATACTTACCACGCGAGCAAGAAATGAGAGAAGAATATAGACTTAGGGTGATAGAAAAGGGGTTCGGGAGAGCTTTTCATGCTTTAAATGAAGGACGAGAGCCTGAGTATGTTCGTGAATTGGTAGATTGGATCAACGCAGACGCTGCGTCGAGTGGGGGACAGAAGGTCAAAGGTCACTCCGAGGAATGGCTGAAAGAAGATGAAATCAAGATGGGAAAACTCCGCGAGAGGTTCGAAAAGAAGAAACAAGAGGAGAAGCAAGAAGAAAGTCCTCGGACATATAGTCTCAGGAGCGAAGGGAAATTTCCTCATTCCGGATTTCAATTGTATAATGGCAGTGGGAGCAGCAGAGCATTAGAGGAGCAGACAGTCGGATGAGAGGGCAATTACCTTCAAGATATCCTCATTATATGAAGAATGATTGTGGTGATAAGTCAAAATGATTAGAGTCAAAGCGGAAAATGAACAGCATATCATTACTCACTGTGTACCGTGATGAATACGATTGATCTGACCAGAACGAGCAAATCATTCAATCTCTACCCACGATGTATGCCGTCTGAAGTTCGCGATTCTCAAAGTCATACTTGTGAACGGAGTAATGGATAGGTAAGTTACTCTCCGTTCCAGACCATTGTTTATGATATTCTCACTCGCACGATGAGCGACGAATTGCGACGATTGGATCAAACGATTCACCGTATATTCTTTTGAGCAAGTGAATGGGCAATTATTTCTCACAAATATAAGTAAGAGTACCATGTTGGACGGAGATGATGATACTGCTGCTGCTGATGACTGTATGAAGTGAAAGCATGTTGTCTGAGAGATGAGACGGAATGAAATGAGTTGAGCGGTTGGATGTGAAAGAATAATCAACCTTGCATGAAATTTAGCGAAAGCGCGTCCAGGTGAAATTGCGACTTTCTGATAATTCAATTACGGATACACCATACATTTCAGAACGCCCACAATTTTTTTAACAACCAATATAATTCATGATAATACATTTTATTTTGATATCTGAATATACGAGAATTCGATTCTGGTACTAAATACAAGACCCACAAAGTTTCAATGTCGTCTTTCGCACAATAAGTCCAACCAGTTCCGAATATCGAAACGCGTCCCTAACTACACTTAAAGACGAACCGCAGACTTAGAATTTGACTCCAGCAGAGGTGCAATATAATCTGCCATAATTGGCACATTATTTGACGCGTTTTGCATCTTTCAACATGTATTTACCACGCTCACAACTTGCCACACTATATCTCCACCTTCAAAAGACTCATCATCCCTTATCTCCGCCAGTCCTTATACTAGTTGCTCTCGAACCTGACGCCCTATGCGGATGCCGAATCCTCACCCAACTTCTTAAACGTGATTATATTCCTCACAAGATACAACCAATTGCTGGATATGGAGATCTGGAGAAAGCGGGGAAGAATGTTATACAACCCATGATGGAAAACCATGGAGGTAGTGGGGGTGTTGTGGTTTGTTTGGGTGTTGGAGGCTTAGTCGACTTGGGTGCGTTGTTGGGTTTTGATTCCGAGGCAGACGAAGCTAGTTATGGTGGTGTTGAGGTTTGGGTTGTGGATGCAAGACGGCCTTGGAATTTAGGGAATGTCTTTGGAGGGTTTCCAATGATATCGCATGAGGTAGAAGGCGGGGAAATTATATCAGAACCACCTAAGGGTGTAGTTGGTGGGATGATTGCAAGAAACTATAAGCCAGGCAAAGGAGGAATTATTGTCTTCGACGACGGGGATATTGAAGAAGATATGAAAGCGGAGAAGGATGCATACTTGGCACTAGTGGAAATGCCTGAGATGGAAGATAATGAAGATGATAGTGAGGGCAGTGAAACGGAAGGTGAAAGTGATGGCAATGATGAAACTCCGGTCAAGCTGCCGGGGAAAAAGAGAAAGTCTTGGTCGGATCGAGATGAGGAAGATGATACTGACGTCGAGGATGATCGACCACGGCAGAGGCGGAGGAGCAACTCGGTAGGTATCCTAGAATTCAATAATCTATACCTGCTAACGATGATACTAGTCAAGTCCAATTCCAGAATTTCCAACTCGTGCTCCTCAACGTGGACTACTATCACTAAACGATCCGACAATATTCTCAGATTCACATTCACGGTCCGTATCGCCTTCGCCAGCACAACTCCCTAAACCACCCTCCCCGAGAGCATTGCGGCGAAGATTACGAAAATTGCGTCGGAAGAATGAAATGGTTCTCCAAACATATTATAATCTCGGTGCATCATATTCCGAACCCATATCTTCAATGATGTATTCCTTAGCATCAGAATTGGGGAGAGAAGATAATGATCTACTTTGGATGACAATAGTTGGAGTCAGCTCTCAAGAATTATATGGTCGATCGGCAATTGGAATCGCAGTAACTACAGAAAAGTCGTCGCCGTCAGGATGGTTAGGCTCCCGAGGATCACGAACACGACAGCTTCTGCGAGACGAAGTACGACGTCTTAATCCCCCAGAACTTTCTGACTCGGCTTTTAATTCGAATCGGAATTTGTCACCAGAGAATAGTGGCATAATACCGACAACAGCGCGTAGTCCAACGGACACAAGTATTCGTCTATCACCAGAGCCAAAATTTCTCCTTATTAGACATTGGAGTTTATATGATAGCATGTTACATTCCCCATACTTGTCAGCGAGATTACACATTTGGTCAGATAGTGGGCGAAAGCGACTACACAAATTACTAGCAAAGATGGGAGTAAGTCTTGTTCAATGCAAGCAAAGTTATACTCATATGGATATGGAACTTAAACGGGGGCTTCGAACAAAATTACTAAAATACTCGGAACTTTATGGGCTAGACGATCTTGTCCCAAGTGCAGACACAGATGGAAGGGATCGCGGAGGCTCAAAGGAAGGATGGGGTTTCGTCAGAAGTTGGGGTTGGAAGGCGACACTTAGTGCTCAGGATGTTGGTGTTGTAGTGGGATCTATCTTGGAGGTTGGGAAGAAGGCAGTCACTACTCCAGAGAATGGTGCTTGGGACCGAAGTCGAGAGACCAAGGAGACTAGTGATGAAGATGGTGCTTTGGAGGGTGAGGAATGGGTTGGGAGGTTTTGGGATGCTTATGATGCCCTCGAGAAGTAGGTTTCCCCCTATCGATTTTTTATATTCCTCCATTATCCCCAAATGCGAGAAGACAAGATTTCAATATTAATTACACCACCGAAACAGAATCGAGGAACTCAAACTCGCGCTTCCCATAGCTCAACATCTCCACCGCGCAATTCTCCGCACAGGAACCTCACTAATCGAAAAACGACAAATCAAACATTTACGTGCCTTCCGCATGGCTGTAGTAAAAGATGGTCCAGATGTCCAACTCTTCACTCATCCAGCTGCGCTTACTAAACTCGCGCTCTGGATCGGTGAAGCAATTGCCGAACAAGAAAGAGAAAGTAAAGGAAAGCTCGGAAATGGTGGGAGAGGTACCCCGTTGGTCGTGGCGGGTCTAAACGAAGCCAGGGGTGTTTATGTGGTTGTGGGTACTGGCGGTGGAGGGGGTGGAATAGGTGGATGGGGATTTGGCGATAAGAAGGCTGCGAGGGAAAAGGCGAAGAAGAAGGAAGAAAAAGAAGCGGCAAGAGCTTTGAGGAGGAAAAACAAAGACAAAATTCGCGAAGACAAACGTGCGGCAAAACAAGCAGCACGAGCGGAGCGAGGTCAAGAAGAAGATGATGAAGAAGACGACGAAACGGAAGAAGAATCTTCGGAATCAGAATCAGAAGAAGAGGAAGAAGACGAAGATGAAGATGAACAGGAGAGAGGAAAGGGATTTGGGAGGAACAAATTCGGAAATGCGTTCCAAGAAGTTGTAGAGGAAACGAATGCGAGGGTCAGGATTGATAGCTTTGAACATTGTGTGGTGGAGGTCAAGAAAGAGGATTTGGGGGGCTTCTTGGAGAGTTTGAGCTTGAAAGGTGTGGTTGGTTAGGGACTGGTTGTGGTATGAATGGGAGGTAGAGGGTGTAAGAAAAATGGGAACGGAAACAGGAGTGAGGTGTAGATAATGATTACGAAAGCTTGACTAGGCTAGGTTCATATGGGATGGGAATGGATTGCTAAATACATTGCATGGCATTGCACGGCATGGCGGATGAAAGGGTCGGGTCTCTTTGTTCGAGCACATTGGGGTTCATGTATTGTATGAGTATACTCGTTTTTATGGATAGCGCGTTGGATGGATGGATAGCTGGTATGATACTCCCGGGATTAGTGATTGCATAAACGAATGAATCGATTCAAAACACACACATACCATGTCTTTATATCATATTCCGACCAGTGTTGATACATGTAAGTTATGCAGTAATGGAGTGAGTAAATGGAGCAAGTAGAATCAAATCTTCTCATCACATACAGGCCCAAGAAATGAATAGAGACCACGCCCAGCCATCCCCTCCACCAACTACTCGTGAAAGTCACGAGATATTTCATGTCGCACGGGCCAACTGTGTATATAAGCGATGAATGTATGTTGTTCTCGTCTTATCCAGTCGCCATCTTGTTTATTTTATCATCATCGTCTCTACATTCGATGATTGTATATTTCCCTTATTGGATAGTCTTAAGATAGCATGATCGGGGATAATTATGTGCTGGTTACTCACCCAGCCCCCTTGCGTGGCTGTGAGATGGCAGCAGTCTGCCTCTGAATTTGCCTCGCAGTGCATCAGGATGCAAAATTGTTACAGCCAATTAAACCTGGTATACGAGTTGATAATGTTTGATCCCGTCCCTTCAACGTCCCGTGTCTCAGTAAAATATTCTTCCCTGGCATTTGCAGCTCCAGCAGGGCGTACATGACAAGTTCCGTTGTACTATTGCACTGAAAAAGTTATGCGAAACTCGCAAAACTCATGGTGGCAATGCTGCTATTCACGAATAGTTAAGATCACAATCGCATCAAGGTTATCTTTTATACCCAACAATTGTTTCTTTTATTGCACTTCTCGCATGCTCATTTGATATTATATAAGTATTTCCCCCAATTTCGTTCGCGCAATACTTTTACTGAGAAATACCTGACAGTTACGTAGGTTCCTCCTCAATACCCAATGGCAGAAATTACAGGCTTGAGTCTAATCCATCCAGGTGACGAATTTGGGAGTCAAGCTCATGGTATCGTCGATATAGTGTTCGTACACGGACTTCAAGGCGCAGCCACTGCTAGGTCTTCGGACAATGAGAAGGGACCAAAAAGGCTCTGGTTGTATGATCTTCTTCCTAAAAGCTTACCCACTGCGAGAATTTTTAATTTTGTCTACCAAGGTGACGCGATTTCCCTTGTCAACTCGAGAGGATCTGTCATCTCAACCTATGCTGAAAGCTTGCTCGAATCTCTCACAGCCTTTCGAGCCCCATCCAAGAGGCTAGTCTATTTCTATCTCGCGTTGTACACTCTATCTTTCTAAATACCTACGAAGCTTCTCTTATAATTACTTGTACACTATGTCAAATCTAGACATTGTGTAACTAATACTTCAAACAATTTTAGGCTCCACTGCGACCTATTGTATTTCTTGCCCATAGTTTTGGGGGCCTTGTCGTCCAGAAAGCCTTGATTGCCGCGTCAACAGGGGCTCGAGCCGATTTTTTCTCCATCGAGCGTTCTACTGCTGCTATACTGTTCTTTGCTACACCTTGTCATACAGATCACAAAGGTATCATCAACATCCTCCGCTATTTCTCGGGTGTGAGAAAATTTCAGGGAATCAGTGAAGAATTCGTATGCGACTCTCAATTTCAGCACAATCTAAACGATACCTCTGCACAGCTAAGACAAGTTCAAGAGGACTTTGAGCACCTTCGGCTTCAGGAGTCCTTTAAATTCAACACTTATTCTTTCTACGAGGAGTTACCTGTCGCGAACTTTGGAATGGTAAGTAGCAAAAGGTCTTGATGGAAATATACTGATTAACCAACAGGTGGTTGACGGTACATCATCATTGAATAGTTTTTCAAATAGCGCTCTGCTTCATTCAGACCATCAAGTAAGATCCAGAGCTCTCCGAACGATTGTCCTAGTATCACGACGTCTAATATGTATCTTAAGACAATCTGCAAGTTCACAAGTGTCGGTGAACCAAACTTCAAGCGAGTATTGGCAACACTCAATATAATCCTCAACCCAAGCGCAGAGTGCGTACCGAACCTGCAAAAACATCAGCAAGGTGTGTAAATTCGGATTGATTTGTTGAATATTGTATAACTTTGACAGAAATACTTCGTTGGCTGGCAACAAAAAGATCACAAATTGCCATCTCTGCAGCACCTGGATCCGGCAAGTGGCTTTTGGAAAATCGAGAGTTCAGGTCATGGCTATCGAGTGACCAAAATTCTATCTTGTGGATCAAAGGAAACCCTGGTGCTGGCAAATCAACACTTGCTGCCAATTTTTATCAAGATTTTAAAAATCACTTTTTGGAAGACCGGCCCGCAATTTTCCTCTATCATTTTTTCCATTACGGATCCCCTGATACTTCCGCGAATGACCTCCTGCGCTCTTTGATCTTTCAAATTATGTCAAAAGATTCGAGTCCCTTGTCAGATCTGATTTATTTGCTTGACCAAAAGCGAAATTATTATCACAAGGTCGAAGAGCCCCGCAATAGCTGGGGAGAGTGGATTTCTCAAGCGGTACTCACAGATGAATTTCTAGCAACATGTTTAGAAGCAGCCGCCAAAGCCCATCGATTATATATCATCATTGACGCCCTAGATGAATGCCCCAACGGGGAGATATCTTCCGTTTTTTCTCTTTTGCATTTTCTCAGTTCGATTGTCTTGGAAAATTCGATCAAATTATTCATTACATGTCGGCCTGGTTTGATGTACGAAGAAGCGTTCTCCGATTTACCACATCATAAAATCGTTCTAGAGAATGAAAACCAAACCGACTTACAACAATTCGTCTCCTTCAAAATGTTAACAAAATTTCCAGATTTTCCCAATCAGAAGCAGGTCTCCAATACATTATTAGAGCGAGCATCTGGTACTTTCTTTGGGTCAAACTTGTCATACATAATCTACGAGAGTTTACACATTATGAAGAGAATGACACCAAAAGATCAATTTCCTCCGAGTTCCCACAAGCTTAGATGATGTATATAACGCCATTTACGAATTTGTACTTCGGGCGGAGTCAAGGGCTGCACTGAGACTTCTAGGTTGGGTTGTGTTTGCTAGACGGCCGTTTTCGCTGAGGGAATTGAAAGTTGCTTTGGACGTCTATCAACGGTCAATACCAGCATCAAGTCAAAGCTCATGGCATATTACTCAAGATCAATCACTATCGCCATACCGAGCTAGTATTGATGTTCTAATCGCATCCTGTCATGGACTATTAGAGGTTGAAGGTCCGGATGGAATTGTTTCCCTTGTTCATCTAAGCGCTCGAGAATTTTTGATATCAAGAGCCGCCTCGGAGACTTCTCATCTAGGGTATTCTGATGCCAAATACTTTAACAACACGCACATTTCTATTGCCGAAGTATGCGTCACCTATTTGGCAATTAGATCTCTCGACGACAAATCATGTGTAAATTTTGATCTCGACAACTCCGGTTTCTTGCAATATGCGGTCGTTCACTGGGTCGAACATGCAAGAGCAGCTGATCGCTCTGGCGTATCGTATCAGGTTCTTTTCAAAAGTTTGGATTCGTTGTCCCCAAAATTTCTGAAATTTTGGATTGCCCAATATCAAAAGCATGTAAACTCAAGGAGTTCCTCGAAGTACATGCTAGAAGGATGGACAGCTCTCCACATTTCCGCTGCTTTTGGAATTTACAATCTTGTTGAAACTATTAAAGAAGTTGGAGAAGTACAGAGCTTTGATACCAGAGACGCGTATGGGCGTACTGCCTTATCCCTGGCCGCTGAGAATAACCACGTATCTGTTCTTCAACTTCTCCTAGAAACAGGAGCAAGCATCACCACTCGAGACAATCGTTATGGTCTCACTCCACTGGAATGGGGAGCTTTACAAGGCAATGTTGAAATAGTCAAGATACTTATGGAAAAAGCGGTTTCTTGGTCCGGCGCTTCCTTACTTTCTATCGCGGCAGCAAGAGGACACGTGTCGCTTGTAAAATTCCTACTGGAGAAAGGTGCCAATATTAACTCCATAGATCAGTATTGGGGATGTACGGCTCTTCACCTTGCTGCCGGGTATGGGCATACAGCTATTGTATTTCTACTTCTTGCCCGTGGTGCCGACCCGAATATTATCGATAGATCTAAGGGGCACACGCCGCTATACTATGCGATATACAAGGGTCGACACGAAACAGTCAATGTTTTGCTGGATTATGGCGCCAGAATGGGTGAACCATCTAAGAAATCATTCGTATTGACTGATACACCCCAATCTACTTCTTGGCCTGATCGGGTTGGTAGTTCGATTTTGGGAGATCTAGCAATCAGACTACGCACTTGCACGCAAGGGTCGGAGGCTAATGGACAGTCAAGTTCTGGTAATTTCAATAAAGGTATTTCTGGAAACTCCGGTAATGGACATAAGAAAAGATCACATCAGGACTTTCAAAGTGACGGTTCTGGTGGAAATGGTGGCTTTGGCGATGAACCCAACAAACAACCTGCGTTAGAGCCCACTTCTTCAACAAATCCTGCTATGAGTGATCTTGGGTTAAATCTTGCTTGCCCCTACTTTAAGCATGATCCGGGAAGATACGGAGCCAGCAGGGCTTGCCGTGGGCCTCCGGGCTACCCAGATATCAACAGACTAAAGTAGGACACGCTACTTGTCATCGATTCGGCATGCTAACTTTGAGCTAGGCAGCATCTGTACAAGGTACATTCACTAAAGATATGTCGAAGATGTCATTTGATTTTTAATGACAAGATTGAGCTCCAAAACGAGATTGAGCTCCAAAAGCATTATGATTCTCTAATATGCGCTGCGATGTTTCAACGGGACTACGCCGATGGCTTTGATGAATCTCAGCGTGATAAGCTCAAAAGGCGAACCGAGAAGAGGAACCACCCGGACAAGGCGCAGTATTGGGCAGCGGTGTACAGAATACTATTTCCAAACACCGATGATGCAAACATGCCAACACCATGTAAGTGACTTATAGCGCAGGAAATTTAAACACTACCTGATTTCTGAGTACAGGGCTTGAGGAAAACATAAACAGAAGGCAATATGACGAGTCTTGTGCTCTTTCGCGACTTCAGGATCCCACCCTCCGGAACGAACTTTCCCAACATGTTCAAAGCCAAGACGAAATCAGTGCTATATTAAACATCATCAACAGGCATCAAACCGAATCTTCCAGGACGATCACTATTGGAACGATGCCGAGAGGATCTTCGCAATTTCCAGAGCGACAGCATCCCAGGACTTCTCAGAATGACCTGTATCAACAACCACATCTTGGACGAAATCCACTTGGTCATGATAACATTACGATGATGCCTTTCGATTTCTCGCTACCTGATTTCATGATGGAGCCTTCCAGTGACTCTGGCTTCTACGAAGGCTATTCAATTGAAGATGAATTTAGTCGGGGTACTCTAACGGGGGTTTCTGGATCCATGACGAGGGAACACGAAACTGCGATAAACGCGCGAATTCTGACCCAAAACCATTTCCCAACTCCCGGAGCGCAAACAAATCGCGAGAATATAACTCAAACTCAGCAAGTACATGCCTCAAGCGAAGATCCTTTAAGTACGTCCAGCCTTCACAATATCTTTGATCTAGACCAAAATCAGGATTTGCAACTACAAGAAGACCCCGTATTTAACAACCATCAAGACCAAGATCATAACACAGATGAAGAAAATAATAGCACCTGATGAGGAGTAGGCTTGATTCAGCAGTATCTTTAGCCAGTGTCGTAGTGCCGACGATAGAAAATTCCATACGACGGGTATGAAGAGTTTTATAGTAACAAAAAGCAGCCTGCAAGATGAGATATTTACACTAAAGAGTTATAACTAATACAAAAACAAACAAAATTGTTTGAAAACATTCTCATGTGTCTGCCAGCCATGATCTCTGAGGAAAAGAGATAAAACCATTGCGATGGACTAAGTGACATCCTACAATCCCAAGTATTTCCCGCTTCTTCCCCTTGACGGTTTAGTTCTCTTCCATATCTCAGTTCTACATCTATCAGAGAAAAAAGATATTTAGGGAGCTTCGAATAGTAGGATAGGTTTCACTTCTAATATGTACTGGTCATAGTATACATTCCACTCTCCCAAGCCCGTACCTCACAAACTCTCTTCCCACTCTCTAGTTTGTGCTTCACCCCTTCAATCTTCCTCATCGCTATTCTTACTTATGTGATTTCTCAAGCACCCCCATCAATCTTTCAACAACCCCTTCCATTTTCCTCTCACTCCTACTACCGGAAGATGCGGGCAAATTGTTCGCTAGACGTTCGACTACTGTACTGGGACTATGGAGGTAGTGTGATAGCATTGGCGTTGTATTTTCTGCTGGGAGATTTCTGTGATGATGGGGAAAGGGTTAGATATTGTATTGTTGGTTGCACAGTGGTTTGACAAAGGGTTTTTTATCGAGGATGATGGTATAATGTGGAGATTGGAGCAACGAGGATTTCTTACTTGAGAGAGCTTTCCACGCTCGTTTGAGTCTGGGCTGGGAGTTTCTGCGGTGCCATGGTAGGGATAGGAGGGGTAGCTAGCTACAAGCTGTACGATGTAAATTTCTGTATCGGAATATCAGTAATTGATGAATCAATTGGCTATTCTGAAAGTGACGAAAACAGACCTCGCGTCAGGGCAAGTTTTTTATGTCTCTTTTCACGAGTATTTGCGACAAGTATAGAGTGTTTGATCACATTTGAAATCTGATATTTGTCTCAAGAGCGTCTTTATGTATTGGGAGATATCGATGGTTAAAAGTGCAGAGCAATTTACATGTTGTGCAACTCGTCGCAATACTGAAATCTCTGTTATAGTATATTTATATTGCAAGTTCGTGGAGAAGCCAAGACTTGCACTGGATGAGTTATATCAATGGCTATGGTGGGGCTAGCGAGAAGAAACAAGACACAGAAATTCTTAATTATTCAGTACTTGTCGCTTTCTCAAAGACTTGTAAAGTGTGCGCAAAGACCTTTTCTCGCAAACCCTTTTCTCGATAGTATTCTAATGCATCATTCGAAGAAGTAACAACCTCGCTTTTATCATCTATCCTCCATGTTTTCCCTCTTTTAAACCTACCACTTGTCAAGAGAAACGCCTGCCTGGCACCACACTCTGCTGTTGAGACACTGAAGAAAGTGCCAATGAGCGGCACTAATATCTTTCCTACAGAACTAAAAGAGTCTGGTGCAGTTAAACGAGAAAAATTATCGCTAACTACTAACCCAGGGAATGAGAGTATAAGAGTGATATTTTGGTTTGCGTCCCTGTGCGACAGATATTCCAATCCTAGCGTCATCATCGTGGTAGTATGGTTAATAGCTACGCGAGGGCCAAAGTTTTGAGGATTCTGAAGACCGATATCTTCATCTTGCATTATCTGCTCTTGTCCCGCGTTGAGGACGCTCAAAACACGCGGACGTGGAGAACAGCGTAGCAATGGGAGAAGATTAGTTAGGAGTCGCATGCGTGTATAGTACGACAGGGCGAAAGTTATTTCCAAACTTTCTTTCGTGTCTGTAGATTATTAGATACAGATAGCATAGAAGAAAAGAGTTGATGAGGTTGCATACATTGGGGTACATTCAAGGGAATGCATCCTTGGCTCACATACAAATGATCTATCTTCTTTTCAACATCCAAGATCTGCTTACAAGCACCATCGATATCGGAAATCAATGACATTTCGACTTCGAGAAGCACAAACTACTGAGGAGCTTCTCGCGTTGAGTAGCGAATCTCGTCGCTGATCTCCCCAGTACGTAAAAAGTGGGGGATTGCAACATCTCTGCTAGTGCCTCGAGAGTAGAAGCACTGATATTGCTTGTTGCTCCAGCAAATACACAAATGAGACCTTGGGGACTGTCATTGTTTTTGCCGAAGCTAGCGTTTGCTTGGTAGATTTCTGGAATTTTCACCATCTTTGGTGATTTGAAGGGGGGAGAGGGATTTGATTGTGGTGGACTTCCTTCAGTAAAAGAGCTCCAGAGCAGGAAATCAAGGCTGCTTGGAAATGATCGGGGAATGTGAGAATTGCCATTCAATATCATCAATGAATCTCCGTCGTCCGGGGTGTATCTCCGTCAGCTAATAGCATCCATTCACTGCGACCCTTTCTTCGGCTCTCTGTCTCGTCATTGAAATAGAAAGGATATACCTCTATCCTATCCCCCCCCCCAAAATCTGATTAGAAGGGAAATTTCTTTATTTTGGATCTCGGGGTTTTGGTCGACCATACAAAAATTCTACCTGGTCGACCGTGAGCTGTGAGCTGTGGTGCCCAGCGAGCCAGGTTGCTTTGGTCACTGGGTTTTGTGAGAAACAAAACTGTGCTTATGTAATGATCAGGTCGGCATTTCTATGCCGATCCTCCGTCGATAACCTCAAGCGAAACAAACCAACTTCACCCAAATCAACAAAAACAACAACGACATGTTCACGATGGTATCTTCATGAACTTTACGATTATGAGTTCGTCGATTGTATCATTATCTTGAGAATTTACACTGATTATCGTTATATCGTACTTATACACAACTTCGTTCCCTGAATTGTGATGTTCAACTACATGTTCAAGATGCTTCCTGGCGCCTATCTGATCCGTATCGTCACCTATTATCGATATATATTTCCATATGCTATGTAGACTTCCTTCAACCGAGAGCCAATTCAGTCCTCAGTTATTGTGGATACCAGGGCGCCTAATTTGTTCTATTCGGAAAGTATTTGAGACGCCAAACTATCGAACACGGATACGGCGGTGTACAGTGGTGGCCGGCCATGTTGGCCACAGCCTGCCTTAACCTTTAACAATATCCATCATCATTCGTTATTGCCTTCGGACTCTCTTTGCCATGGTCGTCTTGCAGGTCTTTATGCAAGAAGATTTCCTCGTTGAGGGTGGCGGTCATGAAGGCCTGATCTTGATCTCCAGCACTTCTTTCCGCAGTCAAATATTAATACAACGAAGGATTCTCTCTGTTGGATTCCTAACATTTTCCAACATCAACTTTCGTTTGATTCCAAGGTTTGTATAGCTTGTTCTATACCCACAACATTCTTTTTTCTATCTCCTGGCAAGACTTTCCAAGTCCTGTTTTCTTTTCTAGGGCGATTTATTGTAGTTGCATAAGTTGAGATTAAAAGTACTAATCAAACTCCTTGGCCCAATTTTCTTTCATTTCTTTTGATTTCTCTCTTTGTTTCACTGGTAAAAAGGATTCTTCTGTTCCCATACGGGAATCATGACGTGTTTTCGTCTTAAGTAGATCGAGGTAATATTTTACTGCCTTATGACTTCACGATCGCATGAACCGCGATACACTAACTTGGAATAGCTCTCACATCTCGGTATGGGGTTTCTGGACTTTGTCTTACGCAAATAAAGGGTTCCCGCCATGAGAACCATACCAGTCACACACAAAAATCATCGAAGAGCAACAAGACTGACACAAGCTACCAGAGTGAAGTGCCGAATAATGGATCTTCAAGAGGTCGTCCACAGGATCCGCAAAATGCAAGAAAAGTTCACTCACCACACAAAATTGAACATCGGAATGAAAACTCCGGTCAGCCCCATCACGTACATAAAACACCTTATTCGATCGAGAAGCAAATCAAATATATCGAAAAACACATCGTTGACTGGAATAAAAGAAACCCCCCTAGTCGCCACGTTAAAATCGATATCATTATCCTTCAAGGTCTACTCGACATTAACCAGAATTTGACAGAACCAAGATCCAGCTCTCAAATAAGATTCATCTGTAACCCTGAGGAGGTCTGGGGCAAATTGAATTCAGAACAGCTACAAATTGCATGCAAGGAAAGGAAGTGGCACCCAGATTTTTCGTGGTCTCCTTATGATTTGGATGAAGATGTCCAAAAAAGAATGTTTAAAGAAATTGCTAAAGATGACCCGGTCTACAAGACGAATAAGAAAGTCATGATAATACGAGGACCCCCACGGGATTATCGGATATGTCAGCGCATTGATCGTCTTCGCGGTTGGGAGTCGAAACCTGATCTATATAATTCCAAGTTGAGCAGAATAGTGGAAGATATTGAAAGTTACATCAATAGCAATAAGAAACAGTTAGAAGACACACGGTCCAAATCGAAGAAGGGCACCATCACACCGCGAGACTTGATTAAAAAATGGCAGAAAGATTATCATTTCGAATTTAGTAAGGTGCTGCGATCGCTAAAGAACAACAGTGTGGAACGATCGAAACCGAGTGAACATAGCGGCACAAAAAGTCATGAATCTCACAAGGTGGATGGACCACGTGATTCTGCTATTTCTCTTCCAAACACCGGTCGACGAGCTCTATCTAAATCAAAAGGACCAAAGCCATCAAATCATGGTTCCGAAAGTGATACATCTATATCTACACGTCCGCGCCGAGTGCATCAGCAACACAATTCTGCTGTATCACCTTCAGGCGCCGGTGAACGACCTTCGTCTAAGTCACGTGCACATAAACTATCAGATGATGTTTCCGACAGTGACCCATCTATACATCCGCGACGACGTAAACCAAAACCTTCCCAGCCGCTTATTCAAAGTAAACCTCAACCCAAGTCAAATCGCGATAATTTAGCAAAGACCGCTCCTCATACACGACCGTCAATAACGATTCAGTCGCAAAGTAAGGACGGAGGGAGGTCCTCTAGTAAATCTCCACATAGAAAACTTCATGGACGCTCGCCTCGCACCCCTCGTACACCTCAAACGCCTGTAAATAAAAACCCAGGAAAACCATCTTTGCCTCCGTCTTTATATCCGTCAGATCATGGCCGTCAGAAATCTCCTGCACGGCCTCGATCTAGCGACCGCAGAATTATGACTCAGGAAAGTAGTCATCGAGACTTCCTAGATCCTATTACTAGCCAATCGCAATCACAATCTTACCCTCACGCAAATAGCAATGAAGTGAGGCCAAGGAATAGTTATCCAGATCTATTCAACAATAACCCTAATTACTCTCAACAGCAACAAAATTCAAACTCACAACTACTCTCGCCATACGTCAACAGGAAATACGGATACCCGAGGCAGTCCAATGAAGATTCAAACTTGCCATCACCTGCAGACGCAGAAGATATGTCATGGAAAGATGGTCGAACGCGTGAGCAAATAGAAGAAATACATAGACAAGAGTACGAGAAACTCAGGTCGGAGGACGGCATTAGTTGAATAGTTATAGCTCATGAATCTTCTTGACTGTTTTTATGGTTATTTATTTAGATTTTGTACATAGCAACTTATTTTCAAGTCACAAAGAAAATCATCTCCCTTTCTACGACCTATGCTAATAACCTGTGGCATCTAGGATTGATACAGGTCATCCAGTCACTCGAATACTTCGAGTCACCTTTTCTGAAATCAAAATTCTATTCTGGCTTTAATATAATGTATATTCTCTTGTCTACTGAATGGTACTCATCTTTCATATATATTAATCCGCATCCAGCTCGAGGAGTGGTATTTTCGATGAATATTCTGGTAAATTTCCTGCCTAGTTTCTCGCCTCTCAGTAAATTGTGGGTCTTTTACATGTTCGATCAAAGATCCATACGCCTTCCGTCTCATGTATCCTGAACATTACTTATCTTGAAATGTACCTAGAGTCATATCAAAATGAAAAAGAAGACGGACATCCAAGGAAATATAATGCTGGCTGCTTAGACTTGATGATTCACTTTTTAAAGTTTCGTGAATACTCCGGAGTTCTTGCGACCGACACCAATTTCGCTAAATTTAGGGGCTGTAGTATCACACTATCCTGTTCCTTTATCGAGGAATTGCGAGACTAGTATCAATGCCTCCGAACCATGTTACGCAGTCTTGGACTTCCAAAAAAATTACCTTCCTAATTAGATGCGATCCACAAATAAATTGCTTATCCCGGCTCGGATCATGTCATCAAGCCAATTAGATTCGGCATGAATGAAGCACCGGTATAGAAACTTCGGTATAAGAATCATTTATACCTGCAACACTAGCACCAATGATTTTACGGCGTGAGTCACTGTCATAGGATTACCCCGCGATCCAATTTTGGTGAACATTGAAAATATATATCCACCCAGTTCTATTTCTATAAATATCACACTAATAATTACTTGATCTATCTCTATATCTTCCCAAACCACCAAACTCCCAAGCACACTTGCCCTCTATTCAAAGAACATGTCGGCCACACGTCTTACAAGTAAAGACATCGGATATGTTCCCGGGCAACTCCCGCCAGGACCCAAAAACTCCATCCTCGATGTTCCAGGTTCGTTACCCTAAAACCTCATGTCACGAGAATATCACCCGTTTTTAAATTCAAACAAAATATTCTAACCTTAATTAGGAGTCTACGTCGGTCAGAATACCGTCGGAAATGATGGCGACGATGCCCGTAAAGGCGTTACTGTTATTTTCCCCCGCCATCCTGATAATATCACTATTCCCTGTTATGCGGGGTTACACACGCTTAACGGAAACGGGGAATTAACCGGAAACTACCAGATTAAAGATTGGGGATATTCTAATACCGTAAGACTCTATTTCATCCCAGCCAAAGAAGAAACCAAAGATGTTCGAACAAATAATCTAATACACCAAACAGCCAATTGCAATAACCAATTCCCTCTCCCTAGGAACCGTCTACCAAGCTCTCTGGCAGCGCGTTCTGGATCTCGCCTCCAAAAAAGAATCTCCCATTGAAGAAGTCTCACATAATTACGGTACACCAATTGTAGGCGAAACCGCCGATTTCATCCTCAACGATGTGTATAAATCGCTATTAACTCTCGAAGAAGTAAAACCTGCGTTTGAGAATGCGATGACGCAGGGAGAAGTTCAGGAAGGTCAGTATGGAGGGGGAGCTGGTATGACTTGTCATTTGTTTCCTGGCGGGACGGGAACTAGTTCGAGGGTTTTTTGGGAGGTGCCTTGGGAGAGTGGGGAGGGGGAGAAGAAATTTACGGTGGGTGTGTTGGTGCAGAGTAATTATGGACATTTGAGGGATTTTATAGTTGGGGGTGTACCGATTGGTAGGTTGTTGTTGAAAGAGAGTAAGGAGTTGGAGGAGAGGGAGAGGGCGAGTGAGAAAAACGGGAAGATTGGGGAGGGCAGCATTATTATTATTTTGATGTGGGTTTTCTTCTAAAGTACTAGTATGATTTATATGACTCGTACTAAACATAACAATAGTACCGATGCACCACTTCTTCCTCATCAACTCAACCGCGTTGCTCGTCATTGCGCTGTAGGACTTTCCCAAGTCGGTGGCCATGGGATTGGTCGCAATCACTCCGGGATTATAATTCTCGCTCTCTCGACCGGCAACAGACCTAACGAGACGGTCGGTAAACCACAAGTCAACGGGCTTTCAAAGATCGAAATCAACGATATTAAAGTCATCCGAAATGAAAGTATCGAGACACTCTTCCGAGCCGCAAGTGAAGCTACTGAAGAAGCGATCTTGAATTCGATTATTGCGGGGAGAGATGGAAGAACTGGAGTAAATGGGTATAGATTGGAGGGATTACCTGTGGAGAAAGTGAAAGAGTTGGTGGAGAAGTATAGAGTGGATATTGATGATGAGAGCTGTCTTTCTTCGGGGGAATATCTTACGTTGCCGAATAAGGTGTGCAGTAAGATTATTCTTCTGTTTGAAATGAAGGGATGGGTTGTTCTAGGACCTACAGATGAAAAAGACAAAAAACTTATGTACATGCCTCTCAATGGCATAATGCACGACTTTGTGCTTCTCTCCCTGATCATTCACGATGTGCATGGTGATACTTTGAGAAGTAATTGTATTAATTGGCCGTATGAAATTTCTATACAGTGATTGCCATGAAACATGTAGTACATTTAGAATGTGACTTCATGATGCACATATTGTCGATAGAACCTCCTCGTGTTGATGAGTGATGTTTATCAGTAGCATTTAAATCGGGTGCCAAAACTCAGGAAAGTCAAATACCCAAAATATTTTTGATTACCCGCGAAACCCGAGATAGGATTCTAGCAAGCCTTCAATTAAACAAAAGTTTAAACCCTCCCGTAACCCCCTTCTGAAAAACACCCAGCGGATCATACTTTTACTTGCAGCTTGAAGCTTCGCCTTATTCACCGCTCCATACCCATCAATCGGATCTTGCCAGTTCGCCGCATAGTTCAGATACTGCCAGTCGTTGTAGAATCCAGATGCCTTGGCATACGCATCAATCGTGTCGAACATATTCTTGGCAGTATTATCAACAACGGTATCATCGGCGATATTGCCCCATGTTGCGGTAAGAAGAGCAACAATTAGTGGTCCATCCGCGGGAGTTACACCAAGGAGATTTCCACCCGCAGAAGCTGATTTCGCAGGAATGTTAACGGGAAACTGGTTCAAATGATAGTGACCAGGTAATATTGGAGAGTGATTGAATGGAGGGAAGAGCGGCGTTCCAGGCGCTGTAAGTTGCACTTATCATTTGCTTATTGGCTTTGAATGTTGTTGTTATGAACTAATGTTCTGTGAAGATGTTAAAACAAGCTCGTCAGGAAAAAGCCACAAGTATGCTGAAAAAACAAACCGTAATTGACTAAACGTGCCACCTGTTTCGCTTCCAATGTCGGTTAAATTTGTAATTCTCAAGTGTTGGAGTATTGAGGCTGAATTGCCGTAAAGGGCTGGTATACTAACGGATTTGCGACCGGCTTAGTATACACAATGTTATTCACCACCACGGAGCCAATGCTAGGTTAAAATGCAAAACTCGTGATCAAAGAGCATACTCATTCATCAGCTGGGTTGCTGCTAAAATCTGCCAAAGCGTTGATCTGTTGGTCCGCGGTAGTTGCTGGATACAAAATATTACCGCCCCACAACTTGCCTTGTTGAAAAGCATAGAAATCGATTCGGGTAACTACACCTAAATTATTGGAGCCGCCTTTCAAAGCCAGATACAAATCTGGATTCAGATTTGCATTTGCGTTGACAATTTTACCGCTTGCAAGGACTATTTCGAAGTTCTTGGACATTGTCCACATGTGAATCCTTTCCTGGGAGAGAAATAGGATATTCCACCTGTGTATGTGAGTTGGTTGATTGATTGGAAACGTAAAGAAAGTGACTAGCTGAACTCACCTCCAATGGTCAATCCTCCAACGCCAACTGAGTTAACTCGTCCACCAGGAACAGCAAGTTGTAAAGCATCTAACTTGAGATAAACTTCTCCCCATTTTAATCCTGGACCCACCGATACCACAGAATGGTCGGTGCTAACATCTATGAAATTAAGCGGACTCAAACCTATCGTTACTCCTTGATTGATGTTGGCCTGGCTTACGCCTGGTGCATGGCCTCCGGATCTGATAGCGAATTGACATGACGGACTCCAATTGGCAAGTTTTCCCAGAATAGACAGAATTCCGACTGAAATTGAGACGTCTATTGTGGATGTTGGTGATACAATACAACCTGGAGACAGTTGTGATTCTTGCTGGGAATAGAAATTGTTCAAAAATGTACTGTATGCTGATGAACTTAGATACGAAACTTTCGAACCCAATGCCAATTGAAGAGCTTTGCACTACATAATGAGGTTAACAGTTTGTAATCAAAGCATTAAGGCGGGCAAAATGATTCGAGTAAATTCATATTGGCCAGTGATGAGAAAGACCATGGACCGCCGATGCCAAACAGAATACTTACGCAAATATTCACATTTGTAGTTGGAGATTTTGTAACACTAGCAACAGCCGAGTTTATAGTAGCATTCGCATCATCTGCATTTGTAGCAACGGAGAGAGCATATAATAGGGGCAGGACAAAAGTGATGGACAACATTCTGATGAAAGGAGAAGCTTGGAGTATCAAACACCTTCCACCCAGAAACATCGGAGATCTTATGCTCAAAATCTCGGTGTTTAAGTTGAGGAGACTTCCCGCTCCCTGACAAAAGTTAACGCCCTTACATGCTTTTGTTATCAGTTTGCAAGGATTCTCCACAACAACTTCGTGTGTCGATCGCTCCCAATGCTTACTTAAATTGCAAAGCAATCTAGATCCCCCTGTGAAACAAAACACGAGAAGAGATATCTTGGTAAAAACCCTGACCAGAGGATGAGTCTGATTTGCAGACATCAATCCGAAAAGCGTAAAGCTCTCAGCACTTGACACCGTCTTTCCAATCTACACCATGTGTGATGGCCAAGCAGCCATAAGATACGCCTCAAGCTTTTAAGGCTTATGGCTTTTTCCCCCCAGCACATCAGAATTACGAGTGGCTAGATGTACGCCAGATACATTGAAACTTGGTATAATCATCTCTGGATGGTACATATCTTCGATCCACCGCAGAGCGGGCTACCCAATATATTTTGCAGCGATATCAAAGGGGTTTGTCTCAAAATGGAGGTTAAAGTTAAACCCCGTGAGCGAGCTAATTAGTAAGCCACATGTGACCAATCCCCGAAATTCCGACACATCAATCTTCATCAACATCACTCGTGTTGCTCTGATCTCACATTTTCCATTTTACGTCAAATTCCATACTGGATATCTTCCTCACATGGTACAAATTTTACTCCTGCACTCAAATCATTAGGATCTTGAAAACTCTCTCAAAGATCAACAGTGACATTCCACACCACATTATCACACTCTCATTGATGGAGATATTAGCCACGATTTCCTCAAGCCCATGGCCATTCTAAACTGTTCATTAAGCCAGATACTTATCGTGGTTTTGAGGAATTGAAAAGTTGCAGTTCAAAAGTCCCTGGCTATCTAGAACATAGGTCAGATTCTTCATGACGACCCTCGACAATAAGTCACTATATATTTTGATGTTTGGCATGCACTGGGATTGCAAGATTGTGGAGTAATCTCTGTTTATTTATGGAAAAATGTACGTGGAGAGGCAAATAAAGGAACGCTACCCCGTGGAATAATACATCTTGAGATAGCCATGCACCTGACTAGTCAAGTAAAAAACCATTGCGATTTGATTCATATATCTCTCCATTCATTGGCAACTCCGTTTCCGATATCTCTTCATGTGAGAATTGCTACTTAGTACATGATATCTGCTTCTGTCTTTAACAATTGTTAGTCAGTGATGGTGTACGTCTTTGGGAGAATAGTGCACTTACTAAAATCTGCCGCTAAAATCCAATCTTTCTCTACGGACTACTTCTACAGTAGGGAGAAAATTCTTTATGCCAAGACTTCGCACTTCCTCGCATAATCGCTCAGCTTTCGTATTGCCCGCACTGTTCTCTATTCTATCCACCGGCTCGAGCACGATCTGAATTCGTATATGACCACACTTGAGCCTGAAGCCAGTCGATCGAGCCACTGTTGTAGTGGTTCAGTCGATGTAGCTGAAGAAATAAGGTCAATGTGGCTAGGTGAAGGTGTGATAATCAAGTTTCGAAAGCCGTCCATACTCAACAATCGAAGTGGAAAACCTTGACAGTGGTCCCGTCCCACAACCCAAAGAGTATCCTGTTCGATATCAAAGTACACAGGTCGCCCTTGCAGTAATTTCCAAAGCTAAGCTTGTATCTCTTTTGGGCGATTTCTCGTGAATCATGACAGATATAAAGCAAAGCCGGAATATTGGCTTTGTATTCATGTCGTGCAGTAAGGATAGAACCTAGAAATTCTCGAACTTCAGGCCGATTCACTTTGTATTGCCACCAATATAATTTGAGTTTAACGGTTCGAGGCTCGATATCATCGAGTGCGTACTTCCAGATGGCTAATTGTAGTTCTTTGGGTAGAAACTTGAACATTTTGAAGGCGCGGAAGCTTTTGGGACGAGAGCTTTTGATCATTTTCCGGGACTTCGCTTCTCTGATGCGAGATTTGATGCCAGAGTGGGCTATTAGGCTCAGACATTTGCCGCCGTAGATTGATGCTAATGGGATGCAACAAACTACACCACCTATGACACAAGCTGTAATCTTCGCGGATTCAAGGGCATAGAGGTGTATTTTCGAGAACTTAAAAGGCATGTTGAGCGCTGGGTCAATTGAGACATCTATCAATTAACTTTTAGATTGTCTTGAAGGTAGTCAAAAAGATTGTTTTTTTAAGGAAAGTTGTGGCTATTCTGAAGTCTTTTAGCTTTTCTGCTTCAAGACTTATTTAGAAAAGTTATACCGTATGATTGAACTACTAGAAATATTCACCTGTCACAAACCGTTGACTTATTTGTAGTGAATCTCAAATATCTTTCTGTGATTTTTGAGGTAAAGACATTACAAGATTGTTATTGATTGAACTCTGGATAAATCCCAATTTGGCTCGGGATTGGTGATTGAAAGAAAATATGAATACAAAACTTCCATTCAAAAATACTTCAAGCCATGAAAGCATGGCTGTGTTCTTCAGAGAGACGTGATGATTGGTGAGGAAGCGATACAGTCAGAACTTACCTGGTTCCAATGACTCGGTACTGTAACACTAAATCACCCCGCTTGGTTAATACACAAATAAACAACCTACTTTTGTAATAACCCTATTGTCAATCACCACGCTTACATCAACACAAGACTATCAAATTCTATCAAGGTTTTGATTCCATGCAGCCAACATAGCATCAACCTTAGTCGTCAATAACAAAAGATACCTTCTTCATTAAAGAGACCAAGGAAGTCTTTCCGTACATTCAATCAGACAACCTTTCTCACAAATTGATTGCATTTAAACCAAGAAAACAACATCAATAATCCAACCAATATCCATAATGTCACAAGCTCATTCTCAAGACGAACATCATCCCGATAGCCATGGTCAAGATAGCCATGGTCAATCCGATGCTCAAGATCAACCCCGAAATGGCGATCAACCTCAAGCCTTAGTTCAACCTAATTCGTGTAAATTCCAAGTTGATATTGATGCTGGCAATTTTAGCTGCTTTTCAAAGCTACCTCTCAAACTACAACGCAACATTTGGGAGATTGCTGCTGTCCCACAACCTCGGGTCATTGAAATTGAAACAATTTGTGAGCGAGATGCTGAAGGAAAAATTCATCTCACTGATGACGACGATGATGAAATTGTAGATTGGAGTCCTACACAGTGTTCACCGACACCGCTACTTGGAATCTGTCGTGAATCACGGTCGATTGCCATGAAGTATTATAAATACTCTAGCTTCCTCGATCGTCCTCTATTTTACAACACAGATCTAGACACTCTGTGGGTTAGAGGAAATCCGCTTTTCAGATGCTTCATTGTTGATCTAACATTCGAAACGACACTAGAAGTTTTATCTTGGCACAGACGTTTTTCCGAACTGAGGCCATACCTTTTTCGCTCTGTTGCCCTTGACTTTGCGGGAATCAAAGCACATCATAAGATTTTTCCTTGGGAGGGAAATGTACCACAAGACGCCGATCTTTGCGAGCTTTATGCTGTCTCTAGAACAGAGGTGGAAGAAGTCTACATTGTTTACTCTTCTGGGGACTGCCGGGATGAAGTTGACCAGGAAGTAAAATACTTGGTGGAACAAATGAAATGGATTGCCCAACAACCATACATCATGGAATGGATCCAGAAGATGCTGAAAGAGAGGAACGAACGAGATGGCACGAACTTAACGAAGTGGAAGATGCCTACTGTTAAGGCAATTCTGGATACTCGACTTCTTAATCCCGTCGAAACATTTCACAACTTCCGTAATCTTCCTCTCGAATTACGATGCGCGATTTGGAAATTTGCCGCTATCCCGCACTATCGCGCCATTCAAATAGAAACCAAGTACGAAGGAGTCAGAGTTGAATATGGCCGTCCCCAAAAAGTTTGGAGGAAGCAAGCTGCTTCACCTTGTTACCCGAATGGGCTTTTCGAAACCTGCCGCGAATCCCGTGAGATTGCAATCACGAAATATGACCATAGTAAGGTTCATACTATCTCTACTCCACTTAAAGAAGAGTGTAATATTCCGCGTCGGTTTTATTATAACGTGGACAACGATATCATGTGGATGAGAGGAGACCCTTTACGCAAGACCGGTTCACCAGAAGTTGAACGCGAATTTCTAGACAAAGTTCCTCATGAACAATTCTCAAACATTGCTATTGACGTCGAAACATTGATGGAGTCAAATTTTCCTCAAGATCCAGCGCATTCATATCCTGCGGGTTTTTTCAACCCAACAGAATTCTTCATTGCCATGCCATTCTTTCAAAATTTAGCCGTAAAAAAGGTGTATTTAGTCTACTCCAGAGTAGACAAAATGGGCGAAGCTTATGAGATTTTCGAAGATTTGGTCAGTTTCATGAATGATCATGAACAAGAAAAAAGTGAAATATTCAATTCGATGATGGTTCGCGATGGCATTAAAGGTCGTCTATGGACATGGCCTGTACTCGAAGTTGTTTCGGAGTCCGATTTATTTGAAAACACAAAAGATGGGAGGGGTAATATCATTTTGGCTTCCATATGTCATGGTCGGAGGAGTTGTCTAATTGAAAATTGAATATATCTGGCAGGATCCACGTAGGACGACATCGCGGGCTACGATGCGATTTACTTTGTTTGTTTGAGCGATGGATCTTAATAATTCTAAGAATTACTTTTCAATCATCATGTTCTCATTCTATGTGACTGATATTTTCTTCCACCATGCACAAGATGTAGTAATCTCGACATCTATAACCATTTCAAGGTTGGCAATCTGAACTTATTCAAAATTACACTTTCAAGAAAAATCTCAACATTCCACGACCAACATTCGTATCTGAAAAGGGAAGCATACTTTGAAGTTCAGGAAACAATCTAAAGCTGAGCTACGTACCTAGGTATTTAACGTTCCAACACAATATCCCAAATTTATCTCCTTTCAACCCGAATAAGTCTCCTATTTTTCAATTACTTCTTCTCTTCCCTTCCATACTCCTAAATTAGGTTTTACCCCAATCTTCTATCTTCAACACTGTAGTGTCACTTGGTATCCAGGTCTAGGGTTACACCATCTCTGACTACCACCCAAGAACACGACCACAGAACCCAAGTTACCCCCGCCCCCCCTCTCGCTAAAACTCTCCACTCCATATAATTCGAGTTTTCCCCCAGAAATGATAGATGCGGAAAATATCTCAGGGGTGGAAAATGGGTTTGTGAGATGCCGATTTCTGCGCGACCTACTTATACTCGCAAATTTTTAAATTTCATATCTCCATATCCTTAGCACAAAAATACAAAACATCACTGATTCAGAATTCGCACACAAACACACACACACACATTCTCTCTCACTCTCTCTATACTCTAACTCTCAGAACAAACTATACAACTCTCTTAACCACCCCACATCAACCACTAACCACTTATCTCCCGTCTCCCTTCCCTTCCCTTCCCTTCCCTTCCCTTCCCTTCCCTTCCCTTCCCTTCCCTTTTCTTTTCCTTCACCAAGCGCGGACGAGGCTGGACTGCACACTTACTGAAATGTGTAAATAGGTATGATTCTAAAATGAGTTATTTAGAGAGAGAGGTAGATATCGATGACTAACTATCTTTTATAAAAATATTGAAAATCATTAATATAAGTAAACCATGATTCGCACACTGTGATTCGCACACTGTAATTCTCACAAGATCTAATACTGGGAACCCAAGAATGGAGAATCAAATTTATGTAAGATCTTACATAGTGGATCGATATAACTAGAAGTTTAAGTTCAAGATGGTGGAGAAAATGAGAGAGGTTGAAATAGTGTTTAATCTTTTAAGGGGAATTGTAATTTCTTCTTTGGGTTCTGAGTTGTTTGGTAGGGGGGGAGGGAAGGGTTATGACATATTTAGGCGGAAAGGAATGAATCAATATCTGATTTAACAATGATATTCCCTATTATTAATCACTTAGAAAACTACTCAAAAAAGCAGTCATCTCATTACTCTCCTTTCACCCCTTTCACTCCACCTTTCTAAACAATTTATACGCACTGAAAAAATCCTCGTATACGAAAGCTACCAACTCTTCAATTTTGCGGTATACAGTATACACTATCCCCATCATCTAGCTTTTATACCAACTAGCTAGCTCGCTCGCTCTTCCACCACAATCTGGATACACGAAAAACAAAAAAAATAAACCCCACACATGCAAATTAATTCCCCACAGCAACCAGTTCAGCAGCTTTGCCCGGAACGTCTCCTATTTTCTCATTTTTCCAATCGGAATTCGATGCCGCTCCACCCGATCGAGTGAGTCTCTCTAATTCCTCCTCGGCAGCTTTCGCTACATCGTGACCATAGAAGTAGTCCTGATAGTCTTCGGGAGTTACTGTTGGTTCGGGATGGTGTTAGCTCATTCTTTTATATTATCACGTTCATATATATATATATGTGCCGGAGTTGGTATTCCTAGTTACGGCTTGAAACTCGCGATTCTGTGTCTGATTATCCTAGGATCCTCATCCTGCCAACACATCCTCGAAAATTCAAGGTGAGTGGGAGGGAATTGAAATTTGGAAAGACTCACAAGGTAAAGTTTGACCCTCTTCCATATATATCCTGGCCTCCTCTCTATCTGCATCCGATTGAAAATATCCCCCATTTGAAAGCATTTGTATGGCGCTTGCGCGGTTTCTTCTTAATTTTTGGAAACTGGCAAGGCGGGCTGCGATGGTTTCTTTTGTGATGCTACCTTCCGGGAGATTGGAAAAGAGGATGCCGAGAGCGCAACCATCTTCTATGGCTTGAGCACCAGCTTGGCCCTGGACTATAGGGTGAGAGGCTTGTTAGTATGAGTTACTGAGTGTTGGGGATTGAACGTTGAAATGGAGACGAAGACACGGATAAAGGGATAGAGGGAATGGTAAGAAGGAAGAAACAGTAGATAAATACATACAAGGTAACATAGGGTGTGCGGCATCGCCTAGAATCACGAGATTTCCTTGATGCCAAGAAGGAAGCGGGGCTCTGAAAATAAGTTTCCAGAGTCTGACATCTTTTGTCTTTGATAATAAATGCCGAAGTGAAGGATGACATTCTTTGATTTCATCGACAAGAACTTGGGTTGGAATGCAATTATTCCAGTCTAAAATATTATCAATTTAGTTTACTGAGACACTTGATCTAATGGTTGAAGAAAATGAAACTTACCATGAGAGGAGTCGAGATCCTCTTTATCAGCACAAAAAACTGCGATATTGAGTACTTCATTTCTAAACACAATGTAAGTATTGAGAAGAAAGTGGCAAAAATGGTAAATATGTAACATACCCTCGACAGGGATACCAAACAACCTTCTGATGAACATAGTTGGGCCAGATGAACATACGAAGCTTTCCTTCCATTTCTTCCATGAAAGAAGCACATTCAGGATCATCTCGAATCTCTTGAACAGGCATCAAGGTTCGAAAACACGAAATACCTGTTGGAATTGCTGGATTCTCATATCCGACAACTTTCTTCACTGCTGCAGAATGAACACCATCTGCACCGACAATTAAGTCTGCTGTCTTGATGGTTCCATCGGCGAGAGTTACTGATCCATTTACAGTGTCCTGTGATAAAGTTCAGTATAGTTCCTTGAAGAGTTTGGACACATAAATACATAATCAACAACTTCACATCTGTTGTAAATCACGGCTGGTTTTCCCTCTCCTTCTTCTCCTGTGGCAAGCAACTTTAGTTCTGTGTGTAAATCAACTCTATGACTGTAGAAAAAACTGGTGCCGTATTTCTCCTTCATATTCGACCACTCTATCACGTGGGTATCAACGAGTTCATTCCCCGAAGTAACGGTTACGGATTTAGCAGCAACTAAACGTGCTCTTTCGAAATCGAAACCCCATTTAGCGACGACTCGAGCTGCATTAGGTTGAACGTCTAGAACGTATTAATTTTTTTTACAATTCGGTAATAGGACGGGGAAAATTGCTCACTGATAGCCGCGCCAACTTCATGGGATAGTGAGGATTTATCGAAAATCTTGTACATTTATTAGTATTGAAAGAAGATTTCAAAAAGGATCATATGACTTCTCAAAGCTGGGGAAAAAATTGTTCTTACCAACACTTCATGACCGGCTCTTCTAAGACCAATAGCAGCCGCGAGACCACCGATTCCTGCGCCAACGACGATGACCTTCATTTCGACTTTTGTTGATAAAAATCTTTTGTAGAAAAGTTTCGTTCTGAGACGTAAAGTTGTATATATGTAGCACGGATAGCAAAGATCGACCGAACAAGCTAATTCAAAAGCTAAAATAGACTACCGAGTGACGATCACCCGCTTGGTCTAACGGAGAATTAACTGATCTTGTTATTGATATTAATAACAGGCCAAAGACCTCCTTTAAGTAGTCATCTAGGATCAGCCACATACAGGGAGAGTGGAAGGCGGAAGAAAAATATCTGGGGTCGTGGCATCGAGAATGGATGAAGATTGAAGGGGCAGATGCAGTGTGACACTTCTATCACAAAATTGGAGCCTCGGAGTTTTCAAAAGTGTCCGTTTTGCGTGTACTGCACTGTAATATATCATTCATGTCATGGAAATGGCATTGCTGGGGCTTGATAGGTTTGTATGCTACGGACATGTTGCTTCCAGATCGACAACATCATGAAATAAATAACAATTTGTGGTTCAACGACGGACAGACCGTGCGTATATCAAGTTTGATATTCCTTGGGTAGGCATTTCACCAGTACATTGCAGCGATTGATCCTCTAGATTTGGTTATAGTTTCGATAAAATCCTTGGCTGCGGAGATTTCTTATTTCGACGGACATGATCTCATACTGGGAGCCCACATCGATGGCTGGTCTGCTCGTATGTACCGTGAATGCTCGATGCCAGGGTGAGCTTCTCATTTCCGCGTTGAGGTTGTCTATTTGGCATATATTGATAGCTTGAGTGGGTATTTGTTAATGGCAGTCGAAAACGGCATTTGAGAAGAAACGTTCGATATTCTATTTCTCTTGATATTGATACCTAGGATTTTTTCGTCAATGATCTTCAGGGGCTTTTATTTCTCAAACGAAAGCTGTCGGCCAACAATCGTACAGGTAGGTATCTAGTTGAAGACGGCAAACCAAACGAACAAATAGTCTGAGACAAAGGAGACAATGAAAAGTCGGATCATGTCTTTCCACCAAGCACATATTATTCATTTGTGTGCCAAATGTGTTCAAAATTAGGAGTGTTGGATCAATATCGTCGTCGTCATCGTATGTCTGAGTAGTGTATGTGGTGTATGTGGTGTATGTGTATTACCAGGGTAAATGTCCGGGACCGAAACCTTAACGCCGAGACCGAGACCGAGCCCGAGCCTAACGAATGAGAGGATAAAAGGATAAAAGGAGAATACGATATATTATGCACTTGCATAACAAGGTCTCGACAGCACATAAGGGTTTCAAATGCATGAAATACGGAGGTCCGTACCGTACCGTTGTTCTTGAATCTTAACTTAATAACGACGCCACATTAATAACCTTTTTGGACAAACCTTGGAATGATCCGATGGTCTTGTTTCCCTTTTGGGCTGGCCGATAATTCTGACGACCTCGGGACATACCTACTGTATAGCATTGATTACTAATCATGATCGCGATTACTCATCATGTTTTCCTATTTTGTACCGCATCGTGATTTACTTTCTGTTAAGCTTCATTGTTGAATGTTCAATATCCATCCCCTTATTGCAGCAAGGAAGGCTTGAAACCTTGGCGTATGGTTATAGTCTCAACAGAAGTCTAATCTGAGCTCACGAGTCACATTTGAGATGATTAACTTCGCCGTTCCTCTTGTGGAAAGTTCTGGCTTGAACATGGGTTAAATGACATGACATATCCATCATGGGAAGGGATTTCTGACAATTTAGGTCTGACTTTGGTATGATTGGAGATATGAGATGTGGAGTTGAGAAGCCATGATTATCGCAGATGCGGGGTTGAGACATACCTCTATATACCTAGTAGGTATTCAACAGAATTCTGTTGACACAAAACCAGCCAGAGCGAATATACTCAACTCTTTCACTCGTTGTATCCCTCCTATCTTTACTCGCAAAACATCACCCCATCATGTCTGAAACTACACCAGAACTCAAAACCTACAATGGAAACTGCCATTGTGGTGCATTCAAATTCACAATCAAGATGCCTGAAATAACTGCTGCTACTCAATGCAACTGCAGCATCTGTTTCAAAAAAGGATATCGATGGGTATTTCCTGGTGAGGGTTGCTTCGAGATTATCAAGGGAGAAGGAACTTTGAAAGAGTATCATTTTGGACAACGTACAATGGCTCATAGGGTAATACTGCCATCCTCAATTACGGAAATGATGCTTATGGATCTAGTTTTGTCCAACGTGCGGATCAAATGTACAAGGATTCCGCTACAACACTCCAGCGGGAAGAGATATTGGTATCAATGTGAGTTGAAAGAATCTCAAGCACATGTATATCACGACGGCAAATGACTGATGGCTCCTTAGGTCAATTGTCTCCAAGATATGGACCAATGGTCACTGGAAATTAATAAGTAAGCTGCGCCCAGCAAACTCTCGCAGTGGAGACAAATTTTTAACATCCAGTCCCCAGATATGATGGTCTTGATCGTGAACCACAGTATGTGGCAGTTAAATACACTGGTGAATTACCATCAGCCAAGTTCGAAACCGAAAAGCTTTATACTGGTGGTTGTCATTGTGGTGCAATAACTATCGCATTCAAGACTCAAGCTCCATTACCTAAGCGTCACGAACATATACAGGAGTGTAACTGTAGCATCTGTTGTCGAGTGAGTACTCTATCGCCAGCTCACTTTGATATCAAACTAATCAACTATAGCTCGGCATCACTGTCTGTTATCCCAGGCGAGACCAAGTATCTGTTTCGGGCATCTCGAACATGACCGAATACTCATTTGGTCAGGGTTATAACATATTTCGGTTCTGCTCAACTTGCGGTGTTACTGTCGATATTGAAAAAGACATGGCTGCAGTGTCTAGATCTCCTAAAACTTGGGAATTGTTGACACCAGCACAACGGGAAAGATGGCCAACTATTCATTCAATTAACTTGAGATGCTTTGAGGGAGTTGAGTGGGATGATATCAATATCTATAAGGCGAACACTAAAGCGATAGATCCGCAATATGTTGTTCCGGAATAATCGACGTATGTTCATCGAAAATGGAGAGGCGGGGGCGGGGGGACGCATTCGGTTGAATTGTTGAAGGGTATTGGAGGAGCTCGAGGGGCAAGTATCTGGATTCAATCTTCAAAAAATGTCCAACGATATCGCCAAATTTTCTTCACATTATTATCAATTTGTTTTCTACATATATTTTACTATTCACTGGGAATACCCTTAATCGTCTCATCAATTCAAATTCCCATGGTTGTCGTACCAGAGAATTGCCTCTTCACACGTTGATCTATCATTGGTTGTGTTTCATCCACGTGATTGCTGACCTATTTTAAGCCACTTTCACATGCAATAATATTTTTTTTCTTTCTTGCGATAGCAACGAACATTCTTATCGTCTCCTAGAAATATTCGTCTCCCCATTTCAATATGAAATTTCCATTCACCTCTCCTACATGTTCTCTTTCTCTTCGATATATATTCATATTCCAGATTCAATGTTCTCTCGATTTCACTTGATACAGCAACTACGATAACGGTATAGATTAATCTTGGCTATGAGGGAGAATTGACTGATCTACAACTATTCCGGAAACGTTCGTCCTGGACCTAGACCATCATATTCGACCGGAAATTCTTGTTTGCGTCCAACAAAACATTTGCTTGCAATATTTTACATATATCTCCCGAGAACCTACTTCCGTACATATCCTTTCCGCCGTAATAGGTATTTGATATATATAATGTACTCACGATCTACCCGTCGTTCCAAACTAAATATTTCTCGAGAGTCATATCTACAAGAAGACCAAACCACATCGTTGGAGGATCCGAAATTTATGATGCAGAGTCAACGATATCCACCCACCTTTACTCCAAATTCAGAAGAAGCTTCTATGCTTTATTCAATGCTTCCACATATCGTGCAATCACGTTTACCTCGCATACCATCCATTCGAAAGTCTGTTGACATATATGGATTTGTGAGTGGCCGAAAATCTGAAAGCACATTATCGGGAGCCAGTACACCAGGATCCCTATCGTCATCGTCTACAATGACCCTCGTCAATGAACGAAGCTCTATATCTAGTGATGGAGAAACGGATAGCTATTTCTTAGACGATTCGCACTCTTCCGATGAGGATTTCCCTAAACCCCTCAAGAATGGGCAACTCCAGACGATAGGATTGTCTGAGACAAAGTCAGGCATTGGATGGAAATTTGCAAATCAAGGTTCGACCGCTACAATATTTAATTCGATCAAAGATACTAATTGATTTTAACAGGATATAGTCTACTTGCCCTTTCATTCGAGGAATCATCGGCAATTTCCCAAAATACTCGATTTAGCAATACTTCCTTAGCGAGACAACTCTATGTCCACGCCTTAACCTACTTACTCCGAGCTCTTCCCTCTGATCTTTCGACAGAAGAAAAGATAAGTCTACAAAGTGCTATACCAACAAAGATAGTAGATTCCCTACAAGAAGAATCCTACACCAGTGAAAATAGTCAAGATTCAACTACTGGCGAACCCCCTTCGTTACTTCAAAGAAGCATCGCAGCTTTTATTATTCAATTATTCATATTGTTCCAATTTATCTTACCATATTTGAAACACATACTCTCGTCAGCATATCAATACGATCGAACTCATAAGATATCAGAAAAGGTTCTGTCCAAGGGTATAGTAACAGTTGATACGATCGGAAAATCGAGCCTGGCAGTTACAGGCGCGGTTTATGGAATGAGTGATGGGAAAGTTGGACAAGCTCTTACGGATGCGGCGGCTTGGATTGTTGAGGGAGTCACTGGGGGTGTGCATGAAGGTGTTAGCGAGGGATTGATAATGTTGGGTGCGAGGAATGGTACTTCGCCTAAGAAGAAGTAGATAGAAGAAGACGTTCATGAAGTAAAGTATATTTGGCGCGGTTAACTTTTGACGATGGATGAATGGTGATACCCATGAGTAGAACAGGAGTTTTTTCGGATATGGGATAAACATTGGTACTTGGAGTAGGTAGGATAGAAGGAGTTATATCTTTTAATGCATTAATACAAATCAATAAACAAGGATTCTTAGTATGTTTTGGTAGTGTTGATAGAGGGGATCTAAATTGGTATATGGGGGCGAGCCCCCAAACCCCCATAGCTCGCTGCGCTCGAATATTTGTAATCCGATGATCTACCACCATATCCTCTGACCCGCCGTGCTTGAACCCTTCAGACGACCATTGTAGCTTATTTTGAACAGGAAGAATGAGCTACAAGGAAATCAAGATACTTCATTATTTTTCATCGTCTCTTTCAGATCCAAGTCAGGTACCGGTAGATGGTCTGTTCGTCTCTCAGACTCTCACATCCATTTTTCGCTTGGTATCCGATAAGGCCCAGTCACGTGTCTAATAATCTAGCTATCTACATACTAGCGGCAACAGATAAACTCATTAGCGTCAAAAAAAAGTTCTGGGAGAGGAGAAACATCAAGTCTGATTTTTTGCAGAGGGGAATCCAGCGACTTCGACAATTTCAATCAATCGCCACTTTGATTTCTACACTGTTGAATTTAACAGTTATAACTTCAATTGAATTGTTATTACTATCTTTTCAACTTTTATCCGTATCCGGATCAGTATTTAATCATGTTTTCCGTCTGCAGAAGAGGTCCCGCCTCAATATCTAGAGCCCTTCGCGCAGTCCCTTCAACCATTCGAATTCCTTCAACCAGACCTTCAACTCTTTCTCTCATTTCGCAAAAGACCTCTTTACCAGTTTTGGAGTCAAGATGGTTACATGTATCCTCGGCTTCACAATTACAAAGTGCTGCCACTCAAGAAGCTGCCGTCGTTCAAGAAAATAAAGTCATTAATCGTTTCGATGAACTCACCAAATACGGTCTGGTTCATCCAAATGTTGTCAATGAAATCACTCAAACCATGAAACTCGAGACCATGACAGAGGTCCAAACTTTGACTATTAACAAGGCTTTACAAGGACATGATATGTGAGTTGTTGAAAAAAAAAAACATCTGGACTTGAGAGTCTCGTACTAATTTATTCGATAATAGTATTGCACAAGCACGAACTGGTACCGGAAAGACAATTGGTTTCTTACTTCCTACTATTCAAAATATCCTCGAGAAGAGTCCTGAGCTTGCATCTCGTCAACGTTATTCCAGAGCAAGAGCTTCTGATATCCGCGCAATCATTATTTCACCTACCCGTGAATTGGCAGAACAAATTGCTGTCGAAGCGGTCAAGATTACAAGAAATACAGATCTGATTGTACAAGTTGCAGTCGGTGGATCGAGCAAAAGAGAGATGCTTAGAAAAGTTCAACGTGAGGGTTGTCATATCCTTGTCGGAACCCCAGGAAGACTTCAAGATCTTTTGACCGATGAATACAGTCAAGTATCTGCTCCGGGATTAACAACTTTGGTTCTCGATGAAGCCGACAGACTTTTGGATGATGGATTCTCTAAGGATATTGATAACATTCAAGACTTCTTACCCAAACGAAACGAAGTTGACCGACAAACATTATTATTTTCCGCCACCGTTCCAAGAGAGGTTATGGGTCTCGTCAGAAGAATCTTGAAACCAGATTATAAATTCGTCCAAACCGTTAAGGCAGGAGATGTAGCCACACACGAAAGAATCCCTCAAAAGGTTGTCACTACTACTGGAATGGAGAACATCATGCCAGCGTTGGTCGAAATTTGCAAGAAAGGAATTGAAAAGGCTAATACCGAAGGTTCCTCTCCATTCAAGGCTATCGTATACTTCAACTCAACCGCGAACGTTCAATTGGCTGGAGAGATCATGAAAGGAATAGATTCCCTTCAATCAATTGATGTTTCTGCTATTCATGGCAAGCTCACACAAGAAAGAAGAACTAGAGTTACAGACAGATTCCGTCGTGCCACGTCTGCTGTCATGTTGTCCAGTGATGTTACAGCTAGAGGAATGGATTTCCCCAATGTTACTCACGTCATTCAAGTCGGTATCCCTAGAGACAGAGACACATACATTCATCGTGTAGGACGAACTGGAAGAGGAGGCAAGGAAGGAGAAGGATGGCTCTTATTGACAAAATCTGAAGTCGTAGGAGCTCGTCGAACATTGTCTAATCTTCCGATCACATCTGATCGTACACTCGAGACCCCCTTTGTCGATATGAAACAAGATGCTCAATTACCATCCACTACCGCAGAAATCCTTAATGAAGTCGGTCAAGCAACAAAGAGAGTTGACCGTGAGATCAAAGTCGACGCATACATGGGTGCTCTTGGCCAAGGTCAGAAGGGTGCAAACCCTAGGGCAATTTTGGAAGACATGAACAACTGGACCAAATTTGGTTGGGGTTGGGAGAAACCTCCTATGATTGGCCCTGGCCTTGCACGCAAATTGGGAATTGATAGAATCCCCGGCGTTAACATTGGACATGAACCTCGCGAGGATGATGGCGACTTTGGTAGTGGACGAGGATTTGGAAACAGTGGTGGAGGACGAGGATTTGGAAGCAGCAGTGGTGGTGGTGGTGGTGGTGGTGGAAGAGGATTTGGAAGCAGTGGTGGATCCAGTGGAGGAAGAGGATTCGGTGGTGGCCGAGGTGGTGGAAGTGGAGGTGGTAGAGGATTTGGTGGAAGAAGTGGTGGAAGAAATGGTGGAAGTGGTGGAAGAAATGGTGGAAGCGGTGGAAGAGGATTCGGTGGTGGTGATAGAGGTGGTTCCAAAGGAGGATTTGGCTCATCTTCAAGTTTCTAAACAAGGTTTGATACTTGATTTGTTCGACTAAATCGCTTGTTTGTGTATCACCACTTCCTTTCTGTCTCAGTTTCCTTTCCCTTTCCTTTTCATTTTGCTTTTGTCTCGGCTCATCCTGTTTTGCTACATTTTGTCAGATTTTCGACTGGTACAAGATGACAAGGAGATATGCCATACGCAAGATTCGAGAAAGGAATTTGGGCAGAAAAACGACACTCAAATTTATGCATGTACGATACATACAATTCTTCGATTCTTGTTGGAAAATTGTAGCAAATAGATAGGAAGGATACAAAAATGGGCAAACCGGCGGGGAATGGAGCTTAGGCGTTTCTTGTTTGGGAGCGACGATAGCTGTGGTTCATTCAGCAAGCGCAATGCTCCCTTGTATACCTACCTACATACCTATGTATAACTTACGAGTTAGATGGATAACGAGGAGAATCTTTTGAAGGCATGGGATGGGATGGAGAAAATGGAATGATTTTTTATAGTGGAGAGTTGGGGATGGATAGATTTGCGGTAGGGGAGGGGGAGAAAGGCATTACTGGATGAGTCAGTAGTGAGTGGATGGGGAATGGATAGGATAGTCATATGGATAGGCATAATTCTACTCTTTATTTTAGGAATATTCTTTGGTACTATTCGTTTGTATGTGTGTGCTTTCATCTTCCTTTTGAATGAGTCATGGACATGAGATTTGATTTTACAAAGGATGAATGATGAATGGGGATGCGTGATGAGGTTATATGGTAAAGGAGCTTTGCAGTGGTTAAGGGGGGGTATTATCAAGTAGCCGCTTATGAAGATTCTTTTATAAGTATATATATACTTCCTCTCTTCCTTCAATCCATATCCAGACAATATCATTCTAATCGCAATCTCAAGAAAATTTAGAATAAATAGACAATCAGTATGCATATGATTTAATTATATTAATCTATACCAAGTTTTTCATCGCTTTGAACCCCTTCCCGCAGGATAAGTGTATATATCTATCTCTGTGCGATGCGCCCTCCTCTTAATTTCCTAGTACCCCGATAACCCGATACCCAATATCACAGACTTTTCTATACAATCCAGAACGGAACATCCACGCGTAGATTCTACATCAAGAACTCTGATCTATAAAATTTCCATTTTCATATCCCTCACACCAAAAGGTAAAACGCCATTCATGTGGTATCATATCGCATCCAGGGACATGTGATTTCCCAAAGTATGCAGAAAGAAAGGAAATTCCCATTAAACTTCACTAGAAGAAAGAAAGGCGAAGGAGAAGGAAGGGAAAGGAAAGAGAACTGTGTCAAGAATTATGCGGTCATAACAGAGCGAACATCCCAGACCAGTAATCTTTCATCCCAAGCAGTGCTAGCGCACCAACCTTCCCCAAAGAGACACCAATCAACACCGTGTACAAATTCGGTGTGAGCATCCATGCGACCGATTTGGCGAGGCATGGTGGCATTCATTGTACCATCAGTCCAGATGCGACAAGACATGTCATAACTGGCACTCAAGAGGGTATCGCTAAGATGTGGACTCCAGACCAATTTTCGAACAGCATATTCATGTCCTTTTAAAACGGCGACAGGTCCACCACCCACATTGCGAAGATCGAAAGTTCGAATCGCTTGATCGACACCAGCCGTTGCGATAACTCCCTCACGATATTTATTCCAATCATGGGTGAGAGCTTCGGTTGGAGGTGAAACTTGACGATTACTTCCGACTGCTCCCAGAGAGCCTGCACTTGGTGGGGAACCATGGATTGGGACAAGTGAGACTAAATGATTGGAAGCCGACGAAGGGGTACGTAGGTCAAATATTCTTAAATGCGAATCTGAGGAGACAGATGATATGATCGAGGGTGAATGAGGAGAGAAGGCAGCGCTATATGTGCAAGAATGTGTAGGTAATGTGAGAACTGAGCTTGTGCGATTTGGGTTCCACTGAGAATAGAAGAGTCAGCAATACTGTCGATGAGACGGTTACACCTAGACACAGGGGATCCTCGTACCAGTTTAATTGTACCATCCCAAGAGCTTGAAACAAACGTATCTTTTGAGACCAAATTCCAATGAACAGCAAAAACTTCGCGACCGTGTTCATGAAAGTTTGCGACGGGGAATGATTCATGAATTGCGGTGTCGAATAATTTGACGCTTCCATCACCACATGCGACAGCGACTTGGTTTTCGTTTGATTCGGACCATGCTAAATCGTAAATGGAATCTTGAGTATCGAAACTATATTATGAGAAAGAATGATGGTCAGCAGGAGCTATGCAGACGACGAAAGTGCTAAGATCCGAGTCTGACCCCGAATAGTACCTACGTTTTTCTGTACTTGAATACCTTGCGGAGTCAACATCAAGCTATAAAGTCTCCCATTTCCTACCAGCCCATAATTGGCAGAGGCAGTTACACAAATTCGATTGTCAAAGAAGGGAGAGTATTTGACAGCAGAGCCCTTAAAGCCTCGAGTAATAAACTCCATTATTATTATGAAAGGGGGGGATTGTCGCCGAACCTCGACGTTACGAATGTATTTATTGCTGTAATCGTCACAAGTGATTAGCTGAGCTGAATTGTAGGGAAACCCCACCACCAATTTATGCCGAGGAGTTAATCGGCTGAGTAATCGCACACGTGACTGTTGCAATGCGAGAAACTTTGAGTTGATGAACCACGGCCGTAGGGGAAAGCCAATTTATATATGTTGGATTTAAGCGATTGTTTTTGCTAGCACCTACAAGCGTTCAAACACCTTGGCAAGCTTGCCCTTCAGTCATATGGACAGATTGCCGTAAAACACTTTTCCCTAAATCCTGGTACGCTGTTAGCCAAAGAGAACCACCACAGCAGTGGACCCCGATTTCGATCAAACACACCCTGTGCCTTCAAGAGAAATTGGTCAATATGATGGATGCCTTTGTATCAAGAAAAAAGCGAAAGCTGTCTGTCTCTTCCCCGTTACCACTGGAATCAAGCACGATCGATCATATCGAAGATCTCTGTGTTCCAGATGATGAATCAACGGAATTTAAGCTGGCGTTATTGTCATCTCTGCACCCTGAAGTCGAACAACAAGTCCTTCTTGAGATTATACTTGAACATGATGGCGATGTTGAGAAGGCCTCTAATTCTTTGTCTAGTACAGACACATCGTCTTTGCCGATACCAAAGAAGCCATCAGCCACGGTAGGATATCAAAGTTCTCTTTCTACTTTCATCTCGAGTGAGAACTCCACAAAGCGAGTTAAGTCTTTGTCTAAAAAAGGCAAGACTCTTCATTTATATTCTCCTCAAGATGTTGCAGCTCACACTCCTTGTTCTATCATACATAACTTCCTACCGGTGGAAGAGGCCAATACGCTACTCGAGGAATTGTTAAAAGAAGCACCAACTTTCGAAAGGATGACCTTTAAACTTTTTGATAATGTGGTTACGAGCCCTCATACGGCTTGCTTTTATGTTGAAAGTTTGGAAGAGCAAAGGGCTCAAAAGACAGAATACCTTTACAATGGTAGTCTACTAACGGTGAGTAGTGCTCAGAATTTGAAATCTCGGATTGCTAAACTGATAACTTGCAGGATGTCCGTCAACTCACTCCACAAATGAGAAAAGTCTCGCCTAAAGTTCAGGGTGCTGTCAATTCAGAAGTCGCAGCCCGAATCAGAACACAGTATCCTAATGGTCAGAAGCTCAAGTACCAATCATCGGACCCATGGAAGCCAAATGCAGCTTTCGTCAACTGCTATAACGGTGGCGCAGAGAGTGTGGGATATCATAGTGACCAGCTCACCTACCTTGGACCACGAGCTGTCATCGGATCAATATCTTTGGGTGTGGCACGTGAATTTCGTGTTCGAAAAATAGTCGCTCAAGAGTCAGACTCGAAAGAGAAAAGCAAGGAGTCTTCCGACGCCGAAGGTCAAATAGCTATTCACCTACCACATAACTCTTTGTTGATCATGCATGCCGAAATGCAAGAAACTTGGAAACATAGTATCGCACCAGCACAAGCCGTTGATCCTCATCCAATCTCTGGGAACCGACGAATCAATATTACCTACCGAGATTACAAAGCCTCATTACATCCTAAATTCACGCCAAAATGCAAATGTGGTGTACCGACAGTATTGAGAGTCGTGCAGAGGAGGAAGGAGAATTTAGGTCGATACTTCTGGATATGCCACGCGGGAAATGTTCCCGGAAAAGAAGGTTGCACGTACTTTGAATGGGCTGAATTTGATGAAGATGGTAATCCGACCTGGCACGATAAAATCAAAACTGAGGCAGATATCAGTGACCCGAAGACTGACAAAGAGATCTCTTGATCTGGAGACTTTCTAAAAGTCTGCATTGCAGCACTTCACGCTTCATCTTCGGCAAAATACCAAACCTTAATGTCGCGAATAAGCTGGGATCGAAACGTTCTAGGACGACTAGGCTTGGAAGCTAAGATTGTCCGGCTACGTTAGCTCCTTGGTCTGATGAAACTACAAGGTAAAGATGCTGTCATTTCACACAAAATTTCTTAGAATCCTTAGACTTCTACAAATGAGCATTAATTTTTGAAAAATCGAGTGTACATAAATTCTTTTATCTACAAGGACAATCAAATTTCCACATTCCATACACCTATAGTTCCTCTCTTCTTACCTTAGAATTCAATCGTCACTTTTCAGATCAAATATCGAAGAAGCCGATATCTTTGAGAATCACTTTACACATAAAAAAATCATCTCAGACGGGCCGGTGTCCTTCAACAATGGCGACACAATATGATTTTTCTGACCATAAAACACCAATAGTGATGAACCATAAGTCTTCAAACAGTGTCAAAACGACACGTTTTCTACCAGATATGTCATCTCTTAACTCACTGGGCGCCATCAACAATAATTCGGAAAATGTTGTCACCCAACTTCACCAAACGGGTGTTTTTTCCACTCACACAAGATTTTTAGACAACGATGATAGTCTGACCGAGAACGAAGCTCATCAGCCCCGTGTCCATATCACTCGCCTTCCTGTAGAAGCTCGCAATCGATTTGGTCACCTCAATGAACTGTCCAAATTTAATAATCTTTGGACTAAAAAGGCATGGACGTCGGAACTATTGACTCTTCGAAATCGTCATGAGATCGAATCAATACCGACCTCGCGAATTCATATCACAGAAAAAACGCGGAAAACATAATTCAAGTTCAATGCCCTTCCTGGTGAAATCCGAGAATGATATATGAATATACTCTTCTCAGACCTCTCGAGAAGAAAAAGAAATCCGCATCTAAGGCGCCTATATTTCTCAGAGCCCTAAAGATATACGGCGCGCAGAGTCTTTATCTCGAAGCGAAGACTACCTTCCATTCCATCAATCAATTCACATATAACATTGTAAAAACTCTTAAATTTGCAGATCCTGAAGTATGTGGGATGTTTCGAAATTTACTTTTGATTATACCGTGAGTTTTCCCGGAGTTTTCTTTTGGTAGTCTAGAATGTAGGTGGACAATCAAAAGCTTTCAGCTTTCGAGATCAATTGACCATTCATCGCTTTGGATAATTGAATACTCTGGGAAAGTTGAGTTGTTTTACAGACACTTAAAGCCACAGATTGTCCATTTACATTTGTACCACAAAATTAGCGACTAATACAGCTCTCAGTACCACCTTCACCCCATTATCACAGATTCCAACCCAGATGTCTATTCTTTATTCTTCTCTCCGTCATTTAACACTTCGTAAGATGTTCTCCTATGAACACGGCGGATTCGAAACGTTTCTCACACACTCATTGCCGAAATTCGAAAGATTGATCAGCGTGAAAGTCCAATGCGAGTATGGGAAATTTCTCACTACATCATTTATGCAAAATCAGGATAGATGGATATCTCTATTGAAAAAAATGACCACGGGGGAGAATGGAGAGTTTGTACAAGGTATACAGATGGAAGAGAAGGAAACCAGTGGCAACGCACCGAGTGCTCCTACTTGGGTTTGGACAGTTGAAAATGGCAACTCGGAAGAAACTAAAATTATGGATGGTATGAAAAGAGAGATAAACTTGGTTATTAAGCATAGAGTCTCTCATGTCAAATTTTAGTATGATATCCCATGTTGACAGCATTATTTTGGATGTCATTCTGAACTGATTAGGCGTAGATTATCTCATATTGTTCAATATCTTACCTTCTTTCAACAATTAGAATAGGATTCAATAACCCAAAAACTATTGCCGGGTGATTGTCTATAATATTTGAAATTCTGAGGTCGACATAATTTTCATCCAGATACATAATGATACACCTGTGTTTAAGATCGTATATTGTGATGTGTATGAACTTCAGTACTAACCGATGCTTTTGGGCCATGACTCATGGATAGCTTCCTCAGTTTGTTATACGAAGATGCGTTAGAGCCTTGAATTGTAATTTGCAATAATCCTTGCAGGTAGCAAAATTCTTACATTGAGGCTACGCTGGATATTACTTTCACATGATTTCCACACATGAATCATTGCAAACTTCGAGAAAGAACTTTCATCTCTAAGAGATTTATTTTTGCCGACAGGATAACACCTCCCAAGTGGCATGTCTCATATCATCAAAGATGATTACTCGCGTATATACAAGTTCAATTGGATGGTCAAACTATTTACAAACGCAAACATCCAATTCCATCTCATTCCACGTTTCGAAAACGAACGATCAGTCATTCTGCATCTCCCAATCCTCCCACAACCCATCAATCCTACAACCCCTTATCAAATCCACATCATATTCCCCCGCGTATGACCTCATTCACAATCCATCCCCTTTCCCCATCTCCACAGTTCATATCCATCCCTCACAACTCAACCAGTCCACAAAGCCGGTCCTGGGATGGTATAACTACTCAAAGTTACATAAGGATTAAACAAAATTCCTGGGTCAGTCGCCTTGTAGAAGGTCGTTGCTGCCACGCCCGCAGGTTTTGCTGTTCCAGAGCCCGTCACATCAATGTTAACGCAGAAAGGATAGTTTTGTGCGCCATTGGCTGTTGTGGCACCGTGGAGCGCGATGATTTCGTGGCGGAATACGTAGTGTCCTGTGGGGATGTTAATAGGAGGGTCATCAAGAGGGGGGGAGAGTTAGTTCACATACCGGCAGCAAGTGTCTTTGGTACAGTGGTCGTCCAGGTATTGTTGTTCGCCATTAAGGCTCCTGTGGCCCAGACTTGTGTGTTGAAATTGATACCTGATTGATCGATCTTCACCCATTTGAGATTGGCTTTGTTGACCTGCTATTTGTTAGTAGACTGATTTTCGTTGTATTAATTTATTTATGATAGGTCGTTTGTATTTCATAAGGACCGAGATACTTTCAAGATGAAAGCGGAAGAGGAAGCAAAAGCGAAATCGAAAGCGAAATAACATACAGCAGCGCAACTTCCCCCACAATTAGCAACATAGGTCAACACTGGCCCAATGTTATGCGGCCAGGTAGTCCATTGGAATTGTACTGTTCCTCCTGCAGCAACAGTAGCCGATACATTTGCATTTACTGCGTTCTTATGGCATATTATATCGGAACTCCTACACCAAGTCCAAATTAGCTCTTGCCAAAATCGAAAAGAAAGATTCAAGGAAGAGAAAAGGAGAAAACATACGAATACTGATCAGGCGCAATAAACCCAATATCCAACGCCTCCTCGTACCATCCGGGAGTTTGTGGATAAGGAACCTTGTTTACAACGTCGTACCAGTAGGAGATTTGCCAGCCGGAAGTGTAAACGCCGTTTGCTACAATTCCGGAGACGTAGCCATGAGAGAGGACGGCGGGGATAAGGGAAAAAATGGGGAAGATGGTGGAGAGGAGATGCATGATGATGTAGATTGGGGGGAGGTGGCTGGAAGGTTGGGAGTGAGTGAGGGAGTTGGAAAGGAAATGAGCGGATGAGGGAGTTTGAGGGAAATATATATTAGATTGGTATATAGTTTCAAAGAGGAATGAGTGATGAAGATATCTTGGCTTCTAGTGTGGTAGTATCGATTGGACCTCGTGATCGTTGAAGAATCACTGACAAAATTTGACATATTAATGAAAATCCGGGGTAATGGGGGCTAAATTCAACATTCAATATAAATGCCGTGGAAGCATTGGTGCGAATTCCCCTAAATCCGGGGATAATAGATCAAGTGGGATGTTTTAATATAATGTTAATATAGAAATACCGTTGAGGTTGTTGCTAAGCCGGTCATTATTGTGCAGGTTTCGTCTTCAGCCGGCATTTCGGAACGGCGGGGCGGGGTGATATGTTCTGGTGTTTGCATGACATGTCGCAATTTGACTTAAGGACTTTGAAGGACCTTTTTAGACGAGGTCAAATATTTTGTGCTTCAGTGCTATGTATCGCCATTGATGAAAGAGAAATTGTGAAAACTTGGAATGCTAATGTTACATACTTGTTCTTCCTGATTATTGTGTGAGTTCAATGTGCAAAGATACTCTAAGAAGGGGTCCGCTTAATTCTATGTTAAAGATTTCAGGTAAAATTTTATTCTTGCTATTCTTAACAGTATGGCCAGTAAGTTTTAACCAGTGATATGAGATGTTCTCTGATATAGTTCGCCCGAGGTGTTTATCGAGATTTTAGATTCTTGCGGCAAGGGGGGCCTTCGTCCCGTTTCGTAAACTTTCTACTCCTATCGTGTATCGGTCCACACACGTACTTCTTATAGATCAATATGATCTCTTCATAAGCACTTGTGTAATTCTAGACTATACCAGAAATCATCACATGTCATAAAATTGCCTTGAAATGTACTTGGAATGATAGTAAACTATTAGCCACAAGGCCACCACCGCCACAAGAGATTTCTACGAGGTTGTATGTGGAAAGGTCTACATGATTTCACAAGACAAGCTAAGAATTTTTTTCTGAAGTAGAAGGTTCCATAAGTTGTCCCTCGCAAGGAATATGTCATCATTATCAAGTTCAGGCCCCATCCTTGGTCCTTGGTCCTCGACTTCGACTTGTCCAACCTGGTTCCTATTGACATATCTTGTATTCTTTACCTAGTTAAACATTCAGTAAGGTAACACCGCCCTTTGTACCCAAGTCACTTACTTTCTTAATATGCCATCAACGACCTAGTTGATGAATAAACTAAACCAAACATATGACATGTTCATCAGTGTCAAAATTGTGTTTCTCCCGCGGAACATACGCAGTCTCGTCTGCGTTATTTTTCTCATCCATGGCTGACACAGGAAGAGTCAACGCCATTCCAATTCTTTTATAAACACCTTGGTCTCCTTCGATACGTTTCAAAATTATTCCCTGGTGGACAGAAAGCGGCAATAATATGTAAACGTTGTACGTTTTGCTGTTAACTTTCACTCGCCCAGTACCTTCTACACAGTCTATCTTATACCAATAATATATCATAAAACTTCCGCCCAAAAACAAAGTATTGGGCGGGATAAATTCGGCGATTAGAAGTGGAGGACATGATAACCACAATTTTAAGTTCGGCATGTCGCCGAATTGATTTTCAGTCGCTGGTTTCTCGACTTTCAAAATTCTAGATAACGGAGTATCGCAGACTGAATCGCTGTCTAAGCTTTGTACTTGCGATGCGACTGATGCCCAGGACCACGTTGGAGCACGTCGAGGTGAAATTCTTTGCCTTACGTGTTGATCAGTGACATTCCAACATAGTCTCCTTATTAAGTCGTTACTCCACATTCCTGCAAAGTATTCATCTTTTTTCTGTTGCTGCATTTTCGCCGCAATTCCGGCCAGTCTTATAAGTCTATCCTCTTCGTAGGTCAGATGACGGCCTGAGTAATTTGTAACGATTTTGTCCCAGATATCGATTGAAAGCTGTTCCTTTTTCTGACGCTCAGTTCGATCAGAGTAGAAAGCTGAGCTCTCTGAAACAAAGTTCGTATGGCACTCCCAAAACACCTCTTTCCATGTGAAATGCACAGTGCGTGGCGAGAGAAGGCGCTCTTGTAATGTCCAGCCTCGACTTTCCAACGGACAAACGATGGGATCGTCTAGAGGATGTTTCGTATTTGGTATGCAATCATACATAGCGTCATTATTTCTATTGATCTTGAGAGAGATACGACACTTTAGGAGATCTTGCCTATCAAAGAAACATCCTTGGCTACCATCGATGGAGCTAGATGCAGCAATGTTCAGCACACCGCTACCGTAGACATCAATCATAGTGACAGACTCTCTCGCCCAGTCTTCTTTATCGTCCTGTATAATGCAGAGTGAGTCAATCCAAATATACCTAATTTTCAACTGCATACAAACTTCAATGGCATCTTCAAAGGTCTTCGGAAGGTCTTCCATTTCTATTCTCGACAAGTAAGTTTTTAGGCTTGATTTTGTTAGTGTTTGATATTTCCTTCTCGGGGGATCCCCAACAATGGCTTAAAGAGTCGCATATTGAAGATTACACTTCTTGATCAGATTTCGCAAACGAAGTTTTGGATAGTTTCCCTGAAGATCTATGAGTCTTGTCGGTATGAAATCTGGCTTTTGAGCGTTACATTTCGGATGCAATCCTTAACATGCACTCAACCACTGTTCAATCAAAGGGATTGATTGACTCGTGTTCGAACTTGGATTGGTGTTCTCAAAAACTTTATTATCTGAATAAAATTTTATTAGTTCCAGTCGTCTGCAAGGTTTCAAAGATCAACATGGGAAATGACTTGTCCACAAGATCTCTTCCTGGTAGAATCCCATTCATAAGCTTAATCCAAGCGTCAAGAGCCACCTCACTTGAGTTTGAAGATACAAATGGAACTTTCTGGCAGTAACCATGATCACTATAGATTTGATTGGTTCTTGCTATAGTGCCATGTACCTGAGCTGAAAAATACTCAACAACCTCCCATTACATGACTTACAAATTTCAGGCGTTGTTCTTAGATCTGCTATAAATGAATATCCCAACCTCTCATTCGTCCAATGAGGATCAGTTGCAAAGTTCAACTCAACAGACAATGGAAAGTATTCAAATAAACCAGAAATTACGGATACTTGTGAAAATGGCATTAGTGTTTGTCCAAATCTGGCCTTCCATCCATCAATGTGTTTTGAAATTATTGCGTCACGCTCCTTTTCATCGTCTGTGTGAATGAATGTGTCACACAAAGAGCAACCATCTAACACAGACGTCTTTAGGCTTAGTGGATTCCGTACGTGAGATATCCCTGTTTCCAAAAGGTCGCCTGTAAGCCAATCAATACGTCCCAGTTCATCAACCATATTCTGACAAACGGCACACAGCTTCGATGGCGGCATAGTATTACTCGAAGGTAGTCCATCCAGAACATGATCGAAGGAATGATCCTGAGAGGAGCTTGATCCATGGGCTTCTGTATCTTCGGGCTTTGGTCCAGGTATATTGGACCCTTCCTCTGTTTCAGTTAGACTGATCAAATCTTCTTCAATTCTGCTGCCTGAGTCCAATGAAGGCGTTCCTGATAGACTGTCTTTTAACATCTCGCAATCTCGTCCATCCATCTTAAAAAGTTTAAGAGCGCACTAAAATGTGGAGGTGGGTTTGGAAAGAACGGAGTGTGATCAAATTCGTTGTGTCTATAATATAGCTAGCGATCGATGAAATGATGAGCTGGAATTCTGAATAGATTAGTAAGATTCTTCAACCAACGGTTGATTGTTCCGGGGAGACTTCTTTTCATGGGTCTTCGACTATTTAATTGGTCACAGTATGACTCAGCCCTGCGAGGTCAGTTAGCCTCTTCAAACAAATCGTCGATTCAGCAAGAGAATGCCAGAGTACAATACTCATTTGTGTCAAGCATCATCAGGTGATATTTTCTTGGTCCTCGATCAATTCAGATGTCCCCAATGCTCATTTGAAATCTCTGGTCGATCAAGTGTAATCCATCTTTCATTCAACTTTACATCATTTCTTACCTGTAACTACCTACTTGACACTACAGCTATCCGCCAATTCCTGCAAACTTATAAACTGCTTCGCAACAGTCTCCCCGGTATCATCATACGTACTTCTCCCTCCAAAAACCTGCACCATCTGTCCACTACTATTTCCCCATCCTAATTCCTCCAATCCTCCATCAGGCTTTCTTGCAAATGCTAACCAAGCATCCTGCATCGCTCTACTCGTTTCCCACTCCAACTCCGTATTCTTTCCCCTAAAGTCCTCCGAAGTTCCAAAAATCATAGGGAGCTCGCTAGAATGATATGCGCCTGCCCATGGTAATGGTGCGACATTAGAGAAATTTCCTCGGTATTGAAAACGATAGGTTTTAAGACCGAGCTGAGTTCTATAATATGATGCAGCCGAGTTTGGACAGATGTAGCGACGAATTTGGTTGATGGAAGCCAAGGTGCGATTAGCCGATTCGGTCAATGGATCTGCCGGGAATGCGTCCAGAGACATAGTATCGTTATCATTAAAGCCATAAACCACGGGAAGGGGAGAGACTTGGTTGTTCATGAGTCGCTGCGTGTAATTTTGGAAGACAATCGTGTCGTCTTGAACGATGTTGAACGACAAAGTGGGGGTGGTAAGAGCATCATTGTAAGACTTGAGAAAAGCTTCGATATCGTTGGCTGGAACTTGACGCATGCATGGAAGGAGTTCGGAACCGGTACAATTGAAATGAGAAGCCACAAATGTGAAATTCGAGTAAGTATGATCGTTTATCGGCGTAGCCGTGAGTGAAATGCCTGAGTTACATGTGAAACCTTTCACGATGGGATCATCCGGATAAGCATAGTTGTATGCATCTGTTGATCCTGCTCCAGCTGATTGTCCCCATAGAACCATCTGTTCGGGATCTCCGCCGAATGCAGCGATATTCTGGTGAATCCATTCCACTCCCGCCCGCTGGTCAAGATAACCTAAGTTTTGAGATTCGAGACCAGGTGCATTTGGAAATCCAAAGATGTTCAATCGATATTGAATACTAACCACGATATGAGATTGTGTTCTTTCAATCCATTTCGCAGGATTTTGATAGGGTACTGAGAAACCCCCAGTTTGAAGTCCACCACCGTAGAGGAATATCAGAACTGGTAGCTTGTCTTCTGGTTGGGAGTGAAGCGGCGCCCAGACACTCAAAGGGAGACAGTCTTCGCCGCTTGGTCCCCAAATAAAGAATTCTCGGACGAAGGTGTTATAGATGGAAGAGATTGCACTTTCGTATTGTGGACAATTCAGAGAAAATTTTGTTGCATCAACAATAGCGGGACGACTGGTTGGGTGGTAGTGCATTCGGTGGCATCCAGCGTAAGTTACCGATGGGGGGTTGAGCGAAGGGTACGCCTAAGAATTGACGAACATTTGGCGTGGTCCCGTTGATAATTCCTTGAACTAAGATATGTTAATGTTGTTTCTGAAATAAGTGTCAATGAACCCTTACTACGGTCACTCGTTGTGGAAATACTCAAGTCTACATCTGATTTTGACTGCCAATGTGTTCTCGAGCTGACAGCTTGGATTGAGAGCACAAATGTCGCCACTATGCAAGAGAAAGCACTAATATACACCATTATAGTATTTGATTTAAGATATGAGCAGAGACTAGAGACATCAGTACGTAGGTGGAAGCAGGGGACTCTACATATAGTTCTTGGGTCATCCCACTTTGCTACTTGTGACGCCTACCGCTTACAGTGGATATTATCAGTAATTTTTTCTGCATGCTCGTTCAGATAGAATTGATAATCAGTCGACAAACAGATACCTTAACGCTCAATCATCTCGCTCTGAGCTTACCAGATTGAATAAAACTTGGAGAAGCTGATTGGTGTATGTTATTGAAAGAACTCACTCCCAAGGGATTTTGATCCACTATCCAATGGAATTTGAAAAGCTAGAGCTGATTATGGGATAGCTTGGTGTTATTCGGCACCGAGATGAAGCTTAGTTCTGGTGGCAGTTGGGTGACGCGGGGGAAGGTTGCGGGGTAGTGGACTGCTGCCATCACATTTGAATCTACCCAAAGTAAGTAGACCGGACAATGATCAATGAACATGGAATGACGATTGCAATGCTTACATAAGGTCAATTGAATGTTGTTTTGGTTCCATAATTCACGCCTCTGTAAGCGAATCATATTCTGTAGATGTCGCCTATAAACTTGCTATATCAAAATCCGGCTAGATATTTACATCCTATGACATAGAATATAATTTCAATTACAGAAAAATCTCTTCATAAGAATATCTGGGCTTTATAGTCTTCTAGGGATATGGGGCGCTATCCTTATGTAGAGTCATTCGACTAATCCCGACCCACTAACAATTTAGTTCCGCCTAGTCCCCATCAGATCACGTTTCCGTGACATTACCTACTGTTACGACAAGCTATTAAAATTTCGAAATATTTAACGATATGTTAATCATATCTTGAAAATATCACTATAACTCAATTACTTTAGACAAAACTTTCAAAAATCAATCAATTTCGAAAATTCTTTAAATCCCTTTAAAGTAAAATCCTTTTATTGTGACACTTTGCCTTAGAAGAACTGCGAGAGCAGGGTACAATTTATCCTTAGAATCTACAATTATAGAATTGGGAGCAAAGTGCTTATAGAGTGTTTCTATATATTAGCTATATATATGTGATTGTATATATACGCAAGTATGTATATAAGCGATTGCAGCTGCGATTGAATACAATCCATAACATTATCCCTCTCTTTCGAAAAAGCTTACTCTCAAGCTTTACAATTATCTAATCTGTAAACACATCGGTAATCCCAATAAGGCATTATTGTTTACATTGTAATATGGCGTGGTAAACAGGTATGTATGCAAATTTTGCTTTTTTTCGCAATAGGAAGGTATATGGGAAATGGAGGAAACTATTCTGTAGTTTAGTAATAATGCAAAGTCTTCGAAATATATAGATTGTCCGAATTTCTCTTTCTTTCCAAATCTTTTCTGGTTATTTATTTTCTTTATATTCTTTGATTAATAATCAATATGCTTTCCATATTATTAAAAAAATATAATAGCAAAAACAAGTTGTTGTTAATATAGCTAAAGCAATAGAAGGATGCACATATAATAATAAATTGTTTATTTTTCTTTTACATTTACTTTACTGATATATTTCTTTATAATTTATAGTAAAGAGGGTATTTATCTTTTTTATTGTATAAGGTAAATATTTTATTAAGAAAGAGGAGGAGTCGAGCTGTAATGGGAATAATAATAATCCTATTGATAAAAAGGAGGATAATAAGAAAGATAGGTTGGACAACAAAGATGTATATAAGTAAGACTTTTTTTTAATATTTCCGGCTTGCAATTGGCTTATCTAACAAGTGTAATTATAAATATCGAAGGCAATATGTTTGAGAATGGGGTTGATCTTTGATATACTTATTGAATATATTTATTCTATTGTTTTTCAAGGTAGAATTCGGAGGAAGAATATAATCCCTTAATTAATTATATTAATAATTACGAAAAAAAGTTTGCTAACAAATTAACTATAATGATATATTATTTTCGTGATCTCGAAAATAATAGCGAGATAGTGTCAAGGTACGGGTAAAGACTTATATTGTATCATAAGGGTAGAAGAGCTATGGAAGAGTGAAGCCCTATTTATAGGAAGTAGGGCACACTAATATATTATACCTGAGACATAAAGGCAATTACAGATCATATAGTTAGCACCATAACAGTATCCCCTACTCAAACGATCAGTTTATGATTATAATACCAATTGACCTTTTAGAAAACAAAATAATATTAAAATACTCTAATTTCTATTATTAGATTAAAATAAACTTTCTTGGGAGTAATAATCAATTGCCAGAGCTTTTTAGGTCTGCCTCGGCCTCGATTTGGGGTATACTTGGTATAAATATTAGCGGGGGATTAGAAGTAATAGATCTTTTGAAGTTTATTCAAACAGGTAGTTCTGGTTTATCTGGATTTGCTAAATGGAAAACGATAATCGTATTTTCTTAGCTATAAAGGTTTTCAATAGATTGCCAAAATACTGGGTGATATTCTATTTGACTTGATAATGAAATCCATCCTTGTTATAACAATTAAATAGTTTATCGAATTCTTATTGCTTAGTTTCCTTATTCATTTCATTATCTCTTTTTAGAATACAGCCTTGGTTTCGATGGGATCGGCTTTGTTGATTGCTTCTTGATTAGCTAGTCCAGATAAGCGGTGGAGTGGTTGGAATAATAAGTTATGGAATACTAAAAAGATCTTAAAACTAGTAAGGAGCTGAAATAGACAGACTTGTTTATAAACTTTTAGAATCTTATAGGGGCTATCTCATTTGTTATTACCTTTCTTTATCAAATGATTGGTTTTCATATTCTTAATATTAACCTATACTTTGTTATCTTCTTTATATAAAGAAGTGTCGATACAAGTCTTATTAGTATAATCTTCATATCTCTGAATGGATTAAGCGGTTAGGGCTTTCAATTTTGTTAGGATAATATTAAATCGGTTTGTAATCTTATTGATCTTTAGGAATTCGTGTTTATATTGATATAATAGGTTTAGGGGAATAGATGAAAAGGACTCAATGTTGAGGTATGAATGAAAACTATAATTAATAAAGAATAAGGATATATTAGTAATTTTTGAAATAATATTATTAAACGTAAACTCTGTAAGTAAAAGCTAATTATACTAATTATCTTGATAAAAATTCATAAAAGCCTGAAGATATTATTCTATCATAATATTGATCCTCTTTGTTTGTTTATCGGACTTGGAATAAAACGAGGAGGATCGTTTCAAAGTGATCGATAGATATTTGGATAAATGCTTTCAGAATTCTAATATAAATTATAAACCTCTATCGGATATTATATTATCAGATACACCATATAGACAGTAGACTTTTTCGATAAACCGATCAGCAAGCTCCTCTGTGGATAATTCTATAACCGAGATGAAATAATACATTTTCATTAAGCAATAGACAACTATAATAATATATTAATGCTTTTTGTCATAATATTCATTAATTAATAACAGTATAATATAGTTAATAGAGATATCAAACCAGGAGCGGAATGGTACTAGCAGGGGTTCTAGGAATCCGGGTGTGGTAAGATGGAAGGCTTTGATTTGAAAGCAGAGTTAACAGGCTTGTATATAAATTTCGATTTCCCTCAACATATTGGGCCATCAGTATATGTAGGAGACGAGATCAATAGTTTTAACTCAACCAGAATATCCTATCAGATCAATAGAATGTGTTTGATATATAATCTAGGTGTAAAGCTTAGTGAAGGGGGGAATAAAAAAATAGTTACAATAAAAAATTTTATTATTAATTAATTTATAATCTTAAAAAGCAATTCAAAGGTCTTTTCGGATTGATAGCAATCAATAATAAATAATTGGATTCTAAAGTGTTTTATGTATAGTAATAACCAATTCAAATGATTTATATACTTTATCAATAAGATTATTAATTGGCTTTTCAGTATCAGAAATAATTATACTTATAGGTGCCGTGGTAAGATTGATATCGTTATTTGTTTATCAGATAAGATTCTTGAATACAATAATATCGAATATTCTTTTTGAAAAGATTATTTATAAGCAATTCTTGATTTAGTTGTTATTAAGATTGGTGTATACAAAACAATCTTCTGCTTTCCTATTCAATATATTAAAGCGAACTATTTTAAAACCCGGTCTGTATATAATACGAAAGTTGAAATCAACCAGGAATTCAGTCTATTTAACTTGTTTTTGATTTAATATCTTTATTAATATAAAGTACTCTAGATTCTTATAATCAGTAATAATCTTAAATAACTTTTAAATTCTATATAGTTCGGGTTTCTATTTTTCTAAGAACTTAATAATAACTAATAGTTCCTTATTATAAATCTCATAATTACATTCGATAATATTATATTTTGAGAAAAAGTATATAACCGGGTATAGTCAGCCCTCATCATCATACTAAGAGAATACTCTGCCCACAGTCCAGTTAAAAACATCTGTCTTGACAACTATACAGTGATAATAATTAAACATTACAAGAATTGAAACGGAAATAAAGGTATACTTCAGATTTTTAAAGATATTCTTTTAATTAGTAATTCAATTTTATATATTCTCTTTTTTTAATAAATAGTTTAAAGATTCCATGATTTTAGAAAAGTTGTAATAAAGTATCAATAGAAATTAGCAAACCCTAAAAAACATTGAAGGTCTTTTAGCTTAATTAACAACTTTTATTCAAGAATAGTCTTAACCTTATCAGAATCCATCTCGATACTACTAAGAATAATAATCAGGCTAAGATACTTCGTTCTCCTTGTTTCGAATTTGTATTTGTTAATATCAATTTGTAATCTAGTGTTAATAAATTTTTATACAATTTTGCAAACTTGCTTTTAATAATTTATAACATTCTCAAAGTAGATCAAGATATTATCTAGGTATACTATACAATTCTTATCCAGAAGATCAAAAAGAATATGATTAATATAATTCTGAAACAAGGTAGGAGTATTGTAAAGACCAAAAAATATCAC